CTCTACCACATCACAACAGACAGGCCCTGAAATACATCAATCACAGCCAGGGCGAACTATGACGGTAGTCTAAATGGGCGATGCCTACACCCAATCACAAGTCCCATTCCACATAGCAGTATGCAGAGCTGCTAACACAATCTCACAAATGTGACGGTCACATCCTGTGTCAGTATCACAGCAATACAGAATGTAGTTGTAGGGATCAACCATTAGACTGCTGTGGATGCCATGGTTACACTTGATTAAAGAGGACATACCATGTTTCATGTTTAACAATCCTTATTATAACATATACACCTGATTAATGAAATAATATCAGAGAAATGTGTATCATGAGATACCGAATTACATAGGGTTTGATGAAGAACATTACAGACACCAAACAGTGGACACTTTATTGCCGGGGACATCCATGACATTTAGCCAAAGATGACTCACAAATCAAGCATGAACTTACCAAGTTACCCATGTGGTGTGGCTGGCAAGTCCCCACTAATTGCTACATATAAGGCAATATCGCCTCCAGATAATTGTTGAGACTGTCCTCATTGCTTCCTATGTGTTAAATTAATGGGGCAATAAGGAACCTGCGCGGTGTCCTAACTTTGGGACCTTGCTATCAACTAGTTTCTTTGTTACAGTTCCTTCTCATTGCAGGGAGTGAGTATGGTTTTACGCTGCTTTTAGCAATATTTCAGCAATATCACGGCGGAGGACACCAGAAATTGGCTTCACACAATGTACCCATGTCAGGAATCGAACCCGGGTCTTCGGTGTGACAAGTGAACCCTTAACCACAAGGCTACCGGCCGCCCCCCTTCTCATTGCAAAGAAGGTTGAAAGGCTGTGATAAAATCTTAATACATTTTCTATTCTTGCATGACATGATATTTGTGTATTTTTACCATTGCTTTTTGGTACCAATATTTCTGGATTCAAAATACCTTATTAATTCTGGTAATAGAATTTTCAAATTGGCATTTCATGGGATATACAATCCTAAACTTATCTGGCACTGGGTGATCCAAAACATAAAGGTGTCTAAAGATGCCCACCAGCATTGTTTGTTTTTTGTTGTTGAACACTTACATATTAATCAAGTCCAGACAATCCAGTGATTGACATTATGAACAATACATGCAATAGATGCAATGAAACACTTTCAACCAAGTCACCTGATTCACTTGGTTGCCTTTTATGACCAGCACCACTGCATGGGACGTATTCTAACCTGGAATCCCCACCAGACCCAATGCCTCAACGTGTGATTAAGCTTTGTTAACACAAAGGGTACGGGTCTGACCAGAAGGAAAGGACTTGTGATTGAGGGGGCATGGATACTTCTACCCATGAGAATACCCAGTGAGGGTACAATGGAATGGTTGCAATAAGTTATGCCAACTGTGTACAAAGTAACATAACAGCACACAGACAGAGCTTGTGCCACACCATGCATAATGCTACATCCAGGCGTGGCCACCTTGCAAGCACAACAACGCCAGGCCACACTGCTGGATGACATGAGAATGTGAACATGGGACATGAAGATGTGGAGAGACAGCCCTTCACAGCAGTGGCATCAGTTTCATAGGAAGTTGCTTAGTGTTTCAATACGAGGACAAACATTTAAACTACAGTGTGTACCATATAGTGTCTCTGGAATAAGCCCACATGAGTCAGGTTTCACTTTACGGCGTGACATAAGCCCATGACAATAGTCCTTGCATCTTCTGGCATGGGAGGCTAAGTGAGTGAGTGAGTGAGTGAGTGAGTGAGTTATGTTTAACGCCGCCTTTAACAGTACTGCAGTTATATTGCGGCGTGTCAGCTTAATGTAGGAGGAATGCCCAAAGTGATGCAGGTCTCAGACATTTACCACTTTGGTGAAACCCACGAGCACAGGTATGGTGCTGACAAACCTAGAAACATGATCGGGGCAAAGCGGGATTCGAACCCACAATCATAGGTTTCTGGCGTGCCCAAGGGACGCAACTCTAGGAGGCTAAATGTATGATTGTATATGAATTTTGATCGTGTGAGGAAACAAGTGCAAGTCCTTGTATAGGCTTGTGGGCCTTTCTGACACGAATTAGTCACACAACCTAATCTGATAAAATCAGTACAACTTGAATTTTATAAATGCCAACAATCCCTTTCTGGTTAAACATCTTCTTAATGTCTCATTTGAAGACTATTGATCTGGTTAAATGCACATTTAGTGTTCAATCTTCAAAAACTGTTAAAAATGCTTCATTCACTGAACTCAGTGGGCTTATTCCTGAGATGTTTCCATTACTTTACATTCATGTTTTCTCCCAGCACCATGTCAAAATTAGGCAGAAAAAAAATACATCTTGGTTCGCAGGCATTAATACATCTCATCTTTGAGTGCTTGTCTGAGTTGGCCTTACTCACATAGGCATGCATTATCAATGGGGGATGTCACATTGGAATTTGCCTTTGTTTGAAATAAGCAATCCCATGGACAGTTCGCTTTCTGACACTACTATTGTCACTGCCTGAGAGCCAATTAATCGTTTTTTCTGCCAAAGATATGTTGTTTTACAGCTTCTGTTATATTCCCAACATTAAATGATAACTAAACAACGGGTGTGAACTATAGTTTCCAAAACATGCAAAATAAACGTATACCTTTGAACATATTGATGATTATGCAGTTTTCTCTGAGAGTGAGGACTCATTAAAACATTCCTATCAACCTGGAGATAGTTGATCACATACAAGACAAGTACTAATCTTCTTATGTACATTCCTTCATCAACATCTTGTCAGCAGGAACTACTACAGCCTTCTACACCATTCACACATCCACGCAGTCCAAACTAAATTTGTACAACTTGTTTCACTAAATTTGATGCAAATGTACAACCAATACTCCTATTCATATGTACAGAAGGTAGACAGAGTCTTCCCTCTATTGCGATGTCAAGTTTTCCTCTGACAAGAAATACTGACACAAGTCCTACGGTTAATACAACTATCTCTACCAGTCCATGAATAAGGATTTGTACCTGATGTCAATAATGACCTGAGTAAGAACACTTACAACTTTATGGATAACAACTATATGGATAACAACTTCAAGTTATTGTTATCCATAAAGTTGTAACGTTTTCTTATTTACTCACCAACTTCTAGAAGGCAATTCAAACAGTTAATAGTGACCTGAACCATGACGCCGCCTTGAACAGTATTCCAGTTATATCACGGCATGTTAGCTCAATGTGGGAGGAGTGAGTGAGTGAGTGAGTTGGGCTTAACGCCGCTTTTAACATTATTTCAGTTATATCACAGCGTGTCAGCTTAATGTGGGAGGAAAGCCCGAAGTGAAGCAGGTCTCAGACGTTTACCACTTCGGTGAAACCCACGAGCACGAGTATGGTGCTGACAAAGCTAGAAACATAATCGGGGCGAACCGGGATTCAAACCCAAAATCATAGGTTTCTGGTGTGCCCAAGGGACACAACTCTGCACAGTGAATCGCTGCGCCTTAGACGACTGGGCCACCCGTGCCTCCCAATGTGGGAGGAAAACACAAGTGATGCATATCTCAGCATTTTACCACTTTGGTAAAACCCATCAGAAGGGCACGGTGCTGACAAACCTTGAAACATAATCAGCATGAACCTGTGATTTGAACTTTTAACTGTAGGTTTCTGGGCCGCAACTCTGTACACTGAATTTTGCAAAAGACATCTCGGAAAGAAAAGGCCCCAAACTATATCTTACATAAGACCCAGGCAAACCTAAAGGATACAACTCGTACGGTCCTTCACTGCCTCCTAGTAAACTAATGGAGGACAGGCATTAATCTGAAACTTATCTTACTTTCACAAAACATCATTCTCAGCCCCGTAGCAGCTCATTTCTAGAAGGCAGTTGTCTGTGTTGAGTGATATCTGGGACAAGGGACCCTGTCAGTTGTCATCATGTTTCCATAGTTTCCACTACTGTTCTAACCACCTGTGTCAGAAATATCAATAAAGAATTCCAACTAGTCGCCTTCTTAGGAGACGACAAGGACGACATTTGTTTAATGAATAGGAATGTTCCATACAAACTGCTGTATCACAAATAAAGCATCCTCGAGACGTCACACTTCACCAAAGACTGAGCTACCATAACTTCACTAAAATAGGTAAACCTGTAGAAACATAAAACAAATCAAGAATAACCTCTCAACATTGTCACCAGGCAAGAACAATATCAAATCATTAATACTTTTCACAAATAATAACCCTATTTTCTGATAACATAATCGTGTAAGTGATGTAATGTGAATAAATAATGGCCTATACTAAACACACTGCCCTCCCGGCACGCCTCCCTGATGATGTGATGTTGATGATGATGATGATGATGATGATGTGATGATAATGATGATGATGATGTTGATGAGCATTGGTTTCACTCTGTTGAATGATGAACTACAGGAAATGACAATTGCACAGCTGTGTGATGGTTTCACATGACACACACAATGCCCATTTACAAACAAATTAAACAAGGAAGCAGTATACTTAACATTGTGTTGGCTTCCAACCAGTACCGATTGCAGTGTTCTATGACAGGGATGCCCACAGAAGCAGCATGTCTTTCCCACTCTACAGTGCAGGGATATCAGGCCCAGTGATAATATGCTATGTCTTGTAGTGAGTGAGTATGGTTTTACGCTGCTTTTAGCAATATTCTAGCAATATCATGGCGGGGAACACCAGAATCGGGAATCAAACCCCGTCTTCGGTTTGACGAGTGAACGCTTTAACCACTAGGCTACCTGACCGTTCCGCTATGTCTTGTAACCTGTGCTAATAATACTAAGCATTTTCTATGGTCACAACACATTCAAGTTATTCTTTGGATGATGTTGTTAGAAGTGACCAGATTGTGAAGAAGAGTACAGGTGAATTATTTTCCTTCAAAATGACAAGGTATATTTGGAAGAGTGAACGACAGATATTTTTCCACAACTACCAATCAGCTAAACTAAACTCTATTTCCTAATCATCTCATTAGGAAAAGGTAACTTGTAGTTATTTTTATAACATTTAGGACTTATCATCCCCTCGAAGAGTCTTGGATCAATAGTGAGTGAGTGAGTTGGGTTTAACGCAGTTTTTAACAGTATTCCAGTCATATCACGGTGTGTCAGCTAAATGAGTGGGGTAAGCCCCAAATGATGCACAGTTCTCAGACGTTTACCACTTTGATGAAAGCCACGAGCACGAGTATGGTGCTGACAAACCAAGAAACATAATCGGGGCAAATGGGGATTTGAACCCACAATCATAGGTTTCTTGCGTGCCCAAGGGACGCAACACTGCATAGCAAATTGAGGCGCCTTAGATGACTGGGACACCAGTGCCACCTTTGGATCAATAAAATTACTTAAATCAAAATATGACTTTGAGATAAGTTAAATTGTATTCGCTTTCCTGGAGCGTCATAACCCGCCTTGTGATAAGAACTACAATTGACTATAACCATGGTAACAACATATCAACATCCTAGCCCTCGATCCCTGTCCACTCCGACAACCAAGATACAATTTCACCCTTCAATCATCTTGATTTGCATGCTACCATGGTATCATCTTCATCAGCTAATATGATTTTCAAACAAATAACACACATGAATACTCCCCTTTCGCATGTTGATCCGCATGAACTGTTTACATATTTAGCTGTCTTGCTTGCTACCTGTGATGCTGACAGTTGCCCCACAATAACTGCATCATCCATACATCAATACACCTGATGCACACAACACTGCTGGGCTGATCATAAATCATAAGTACGTAATAAATGAAGCTACATTTTGATACAATTTTCACAAAAGTTACAAAAACCTTCTTACAATCCCTGTAAAAACAGATCAACTTGAAATTGACCGATGACAATTACTTAAATGAAATTACTTTGATGCAATATGCAAAGAATAAGTAAGGATAAGATATACGGATGAACAACTTCTTTATAACAAATTGTTCATCGATGTATCTTTTCCTTACTTAGTACTCCAACTTCTAACCGCCTCTCATAGAAGTTAAAGTGAGGATACTTCGTAATATGATCAAAAACAGCAAGAGCTACTAATCAAGGACAAAGTAAACATAATAGACATGGTAACCATGGTAACATGCTTAATGTCGACACTCACATGAAGTGATTCATGAAGAAAGGAGCCATGTTCTAAATGTGTATCAACAATGTAGCATGACAACACATTCATGAATACTGTAAACTACACGCTGCATGGACCTGATGCAAAATATGAGAGCATCCCTTTCTTGAAGTAATAACTTTCAACATCAAAGAGATGTTGGTTCATATTTCAAAGGAAGGGCAACTTAAATCTTTCAATCGCGGTCGGCACTCACAATAATTTTACAATTTATAGTACGTACCAATTTCTAGAAGTGTATCTCAAGTGGAGAGAATGCACCCTCTTTAGTCCAAGGTTGTGTATCAACTATTTAGAATACAAGATCAGGACTTAGTGTCACAATGAAGGAAACAATCGTGAAAGAAACCTAACTCTATGTATCCTACGGAGAAGCAAGGTGAAGTATGAACAGGACCAACAGTGGGTACAAAATGTGGGTACAACAACATTAAAGGCTCAGTTATGAAAATGTATCATAGAAGATTCAACATGGATGTGTCTCACTATAAAGGATTGTGTAATAAATTATGTGTACCACACTGGACGATACATACAATTCTGTACCAGCAACAAAGGATACATGCACATGTACATCTTCATCTTGGCAGTGCTGGAATAGAGTCACACAGCCAGTCACATTATTGAAACTCTTCCCAAGGGCAAGTAATCTTGGTAACCTTTCTGATTTTTTCATTTTTTTGCTTAAATGACCTAAGGGACTGGCTGGATACTGTGATGGATTTCAAACACTGTTAACTGGCAGACCCAGAACCCCACCCACACCATCCATCCCCTTTTGTCCAACACCTGACTTGCCAACATAGCATGTGTTTGTTCACGGTGTGATTTATATATAGTGTGCATACCCCTTTTTACAAAATCCTGGATCAACCCCTATACAAATTTATGATTATATATCAGTGTTAGCTGATTCACAAGTTCAAGTACTGAAGGTAAGAAAGCGTGTCCGTGCGTGAGTTAGTGAGAGTTTTTACATAGGATTTATGAACATCACAGAAGACTCAATCAAGGATATGGTACAGGATTATCAATATCAAATGTATGAAACCTAACAACACACACACATCTGCTGTCCAGTCTAAGGTGCTACAAAGAGTCAATATGAAAGTTGACAGAGATGCTGAATCTGATCACAGAAGTTGAATCACATGTAAAGCTATATGTTGTACCATCGACACACTCGCTGGTTGGCCAAAACATGTCTGTATAACTACTACTGTTTAGTTTCATGATCAAAGGCAGAGGACATCATGAACCAACCGATGATAACAGGTGCTTGTCATTACACAAAAACAAGATGAGGACTAGATGTGATGTGTGGTGGCTTCAATGTTCCTCATTTGCTCATTGTCAGATGATCCTTTGAAACCACAGATCCTGACAGACAGGTGCTTGTCATGACATAAAGCAAGATGGAGGCTGTCTGTGTGGTGGCTTCAACTGTTCCTCATTTGCTCATTGTCAGATGATCCTTTGAAACCACAGATCCTGACAGACGCTTGTCACAACATAAAGCAAGATGGAGGCTGTCTGAGCGGTGGCTCCAATGGTTCCTCATTTGCTCATTGTCAGATGATCCTTTGAAACCACAGATCCTGACAGACAGGTGCTTGTCATGACATAAAGCAAGATGGAGGCTGTCTGTGTGGTGGCTTCAACTGTTCCTCATTTGCTCATTGTCAGATGATCCTTTGAAACCACAGATCCTGACAGACAGGTGCTTGTCATGACATAAAGCAAGATGGAGGCTGTCTGTGTGGTGGCTTCAACTGTTCCTCATTTGCTCATTGTCAGATGATCCTTTGAAACCACAGATCCTGACAGACGCTTGTCACAACATAAAGTAAGATGGAGGCTGTCTGAGCGGTGGCTTCAACTGTTTCTGGGGACTCTCGTGGATTTTTCTTTGACACATGTCCAACAGACAAGGGCAAGTTTCTTGTGAGAACACTAAGCATGAAGCATGTGCAACTGTAGGAAGCCTCTCATGGTTATTATTCATCCATGACACATCTGGAACTGTACAAAAAACAACATAGAAACTGTGGAATATTCCAAAATTCCAACCTTTGCAAGAAACAATACTTCCAAGCCTTCATCACACTGGTCACCAATATTAGCAGTGCTTCATCATGTTCAAAAAGCGTTGCTTTGCACAATGCACCCTCTGATAATCACAAAAGTAAAGACTGTTCCTCTATATTGTTGAGCTCCACAAGAATTGATCATCAGAATAATTCATTAGCAGACAATTCACAAGCACTCCATTTCAGGCCATTATTTCATCATGTGTCCTTGGTTGTCCTTGGTTGTCCTCGGTTGTCCTTGGGTGTCCTTGGATCTTGTATGAAGACATCAAACATAACCCAAGCTGATTGTCCAATGTAGTGTTACAAGAAAGATCCTTATCAGAACCATTTCCAAATTGAGTCACTTATGTGAACACCTAGTCACAATATCACCCATCATTGTTGAATGAACCAAACCTTCTGTTGTCTTGTGAACTCAACTCCTCTGCTAATCATCACTGGCAGGACATTCTTCAGCTTCCGATGTCTTGTGTCCCCTTCATGGAACTTCCAATAGGCTGAACTCTACCGTCACGTTGACGTCCTGCCTTGATCCAGTGGTCCCTTCTTACAATATCAAAGTACTTACTTCTGCTAATCCAGTTCTTGTCAGCTCAAGACACCAACTTTGGGTTAAACTGTGAAAGACATGTTCTATCTTACAAAGCACGCAGACAAAGATCTCCATCTCATGCAACTGGTCAGGGCAAAGCTTGCACCACCCAAGTCAAGCACATGAAGCATTTCTAACACATGTCCAAGAGTTATAAGGTTGCACTCAATCCACTCAAAAGGTATTATTCAAAACAGGAATTCTTCCATACTCTTTATAAGACACTTGAACATTAAATGTCCATTGCCCAAATAAAAACAATAAAACACATTTCTTCTTTTGGATCTGTATCCAAAGCCCTGTTAGGATGACTGATTGCCAATTCCATGGAATTAATGAGTTCCTGTTATGCCATGATGTAGACAAATGGACAAAGCTGATATGTCCAACATGGTCAAGCCGAGAGTGTGATGATGCTAGGTGTTGAGTGCTTCTGTAGTATCATCTCTGAGGGGTCTGCATCAGCGTAGGTCACAAACACAGCCAGGTTGTTGCAGTTGTAGACCCCTGGGCGGCAGAACGCAGCCTTCAGTTGTAATTGCTGGTCGGCCCCGGGGGCAAGGGTGAGGTTAGCCAGGGTTGGGCCGACCCAGCTAAAGCTGCAGCTCATCACTGGGGGAGTGGGGGAACCGGGGGAGAACTGAGGCGGGGATGGGCTGGAGGCTGTTCCAAACCTGGGTATAAATTAAAAGAAAAGACATAACACAGACATTTATGAGAATATAATGTTAATACCAGGGCTATCTCTTGTCTCTGAGGCTTTTGAGGGGTCAATTTCCATAACTCTGTGATGGAATTCAATCTAAGCATTTCAGACCTGTTTTTAAATATTCAATATAACAGTATTGTCCTGTTCCCAAAAACATTGTTTGGCACCTATGCGCACCCCACCCACCCAGCCCGCCAAACTGTCAGGAGAGAATGGATCCTGTACCTGTCTGAAGACTTGCTGGTGTCCACCAATATATCCACAGAGGTGTTGGTGTGGTTCTGTAGTTTCAGGGTCACAGGGACAATGCACAACCTGAACAACAATGGAAAACAACATTTATCACCAGGAGTCCCCATGAGGCCTGGTTACTGCAGTAACACAGGAAATAACAACATTTATCACCAGGAGTCCCCATGAGGAGAGGTTACTGCAGTAACACAGGAAGTAACAACATTTATCACCAGGAGTCTCCATGAGGCCAGGTTACTGCAGTAACACAGGAAGTAACAACATTTATCACCAGGAGTCCCCATGAGGAGAGGTTACTGCAGTAACACAGGAAATAACAATATTTATCACCAGGAGTCTCCATGAGGCCTGGTTACTGCAGTAACACAGGAAATAACAACATTTATCACTAGGAGTCTCCATGAGGCCTGGTTACTGCAGTAACACAGGAAATAACAACATTTATCACCAGGAGTCCCCATGAGGAGAGGTTACTGCAGTAACACAGGAAGTAACAACATTTATCACCAGGAGTCTCCATGAGGCCTGGTTACTGCAGTAACACAGGAAGTAACAACATTTATCACCAGGAGTCCCCATGAGGCCTGGTTACTGCAGTAACACAGGAAGTAACAACACATATCACAATGAGTCCCTATGAGACCTAGTCTCCCAACTGCAGTAACATAGCAATTAACAACACTTATCACCATAAAAAATAAATCATTAATAATAAATAAAGTTTATGTGAAGAAATGGGCTGTAGCATTTTCATTTAAAGTTTGAGTGACATTTGACAGGAATGCTAACAAATGTATACATTCAGTTTACGATCAGCAATAATGAAAAAGGTTCTCAGATTGAATTATTAAAAAAAATTCCACGCTTCTGATTTTATTATGTTTACGGTTGACAGATTAGTAAACCAAGCAATAAACACCCCAATGCATTACCACGCTTACAGTACATGCATCATGGTACACGTTCGTGTTGGACCTATGCTGTTGGGACATCCCCAGGCTACTGACCCCTTGTTGAAGTCGTGTGTGGAGTCCAGCTGGTGGAGGAAGGAGTAGCTGACAAGCTTCGTCGTCACCTCAGGACTCGGCTGGGGCTCCGTCTCCGGCTCCACATCACGGATAAACTTGAGTGGGGGTTGGTCTTGGTTGGACTAGAAAGAGAGGTCAGAGAGTGAGTCCGTGCATGGTCAGTGAAGTGGCTACTATGTTGCAGAAAATCACCTCATTTACTCATCCATCAATAAATTGTCAAGAGTTATAATTCTTACATGTTTTATTCTTTCCTAATTTTTTCCCTCCCAGGCAATATGTAATGAGTGAGTGAGTGAGTGAGTGAGTGAGTGAGTGAGTGAGTGAGTGAGTGAGTGAGTGAGTGAGTGAGTGAGTGAGTGAGTGAGTGAGTGAGTGAGTGAGTGAGTGAGTGAGTTGGGTTTAACGCCGCTTTTAACATCATTCCAGTTATATTACGGCGTGTCAGCTTAATGTGGGAGGAAAGCCCGAAGTGATGCAGGTCTTAAACATTTACCACTTCGTTGAAACCCACGAGAACGGGTATGGTGGTGACAAACCTAGAAACATAACCGTGATTCGAACCCACAATCATAGGTTTCTGGTGTGCCCAAGGGACGCAACTCTGCACAGCGAATCGCAGCACCTTAGACTCCTGGGCCACCGGTGCCCCCACAATATGTAATGATCAGAGAGTGTAGAAGGGAGAGGGAGAAGGATGGGAAGATGGACTTCTTAAGACAATCCTAATGACTTGATTAACATTATCTTAAATATAAGGGACACAATGACATATGTTATCCATGATTTATACCTAAACATGTTAAGTGAACACAAAACTCTCAAGCATTCTTGACATTTCCAAACTGTTTAAACACTTCCATTAATTCAATACCAACCCTCTCGAAGAGGATTCTGATGAGTTTTACGGACAGTCTTTACTGTAAAAAAAACTTAAATATTAATAGCTTAGAGGCATGTCAGCTTGACGTGGGAGATAAGCCCAAGTGAGCATGTGTCTGATGCTGACAAACTGAGAAACATATTCATACCATGCCTCAGAGATGCAACTCTGCACAGTGAAATTGTACACCTTAGACCCCTGGGCTACCGGGCCAGCGATGGTACTATGCTTGTCAGTGGGCGACCATGTATTTGCCCCATACACGCCTTGTTGTTCCTCTCTAATGTTGGCCCCCCCATTCTGTGGTAGTGCCATGACAGTGTCCGGTGTGGAATACCATGCCCTACCTGGACTAGAGGATATGCTGTGACCACCGTGTCCACTCTCTCGATGCACACATGATGCTGTCCGACAAGGATCTTCAGCTGACCATTCTCCTGGGCAACAAATGCCTAAGGCACAAACAAAATGTTCAAGGTTAAGATGAGGCTGACATCAAACAATAAAAGACCAGACAAAGTTTGAAATATTTTCTTTGTTATGATATGCTACAATACAGGATGAAACATTATATTTACAGAAAAGTAATCAAAATGTTGACAAGTACATATTCAGAATAGTTTTTCATAAAAAAACTCTTTTTAATAAAAATTCAAAACAAAATTATTTTTCTTCACTTATATAAATAAAGACAAGAAATAAATGTAACGGCACAAACATAATTGTTAATTAATATGCCAAAAAATGTAAAGCCTTTTCGCATATCTCGTCCTTTTTGAGCTGAAACGAATGTCTCTCATTTTGGGGGGGGGGGGGCTGAAATATGACCAAATTCAAGGCGTTTTTTAATGTGATTGAACCATAAGTTACATGGACTTCAGTAAACTCAAACGAGCAGACCTAAGTCAGATTGGGTGTGGTGGGGGGGAATCTAACATTATCTTCAAGGCAGCCAAAGGAATATTATATTTTCCAAAAGGGCAAAATTTAACGAACTGAGAGACAAGGCTTCAATATAAAAAACAAACCATGCCAAAAACTTTTTTTCCCAGTCATAATCAAAGTCTTCATGACCAAAATCCTAAATGTAGAAAAAGGGGGTTTCAGTTTTCTATAGATTTTGACATCAGTTAGACTTCTTGATAAATATGGGAGCCAAATGTAGAATGTGAATGCACTGGCACACTGGAGGGTTCATTGCCAAAGTGAGGGTTCATTCAGTCAGCATGTTATAAGAGTTATCAGCATCTTTCCCGGCAACAGACCTACCTTCCAGAGTATGATGAGGGTCAGCTTCACCTCCCTAGCCTTGTTGACACTGGAGAAGTCGGGCTGGGTGGGCGCTGAGCGGTAGGAGGGGATGGGGAGCAGGGTGGCGTCACCGGTGGCGGAGCTGATCTGGCGACACGCTGGACTCCGGAAGTAGAAGTCACAGCAGGGAGTCTGGACACTGTTAATCTGCTGACAAAGAATGATGGCATGGTAGTGCTGGAGAAACACCTCATTGTGTTTTGTATAGATCTGTTACATCATACAACTACTTTTCTGGTTCTTAAAGTGTTTGTTTGTTTGTTTGTTTGTTGTTTAATGCCGCACTCAGCAATATTCCAGCTATATGACGGTGGTCTGTAAATAATCGAGTAGGGAAGTTGGATAGGTGAGCGTGTCTCAACATGACTCTTGAGAGTTTCTAGGACTTCAGCCCTGTCCTACACTGAAGCTTTGGTTGGTTGGTTGGTTTGTTGTTTAACGCCGCACTCAGCAATATTCCAGCTATATGACGGCGGTCTGTAAATAATCGAGTCTGGACCAGATAATCCAGTGTTTGATATCATGAGCATCGATCCACACAATTGGGATCGATGACATGCATCAACCAAGTCAGCGAGCCTGACCACCCGATCCCGTTAGTCGCCTTTTACGACAAGCATAGTCACCTTTTACGGCAAGCATGGGTTGCTGAAGACCTATTCTACCCCGGATCTTCACGGGTCCCTACACTGAAGCACATGTAATACATGTGTTGTCTCCTTAGTCAAGTAATTTTGTTCAAAATATGCCTCTGTTCACTCAGCAGTGAATGGGTACCCAGTAGGTGATGGTAATATGACTGTCAACCTTCCAGCTCCTCAAATGCAGCTGAGGTTGTATACTCCCTAGGGAGCTGAGAATGAAAGCTGAGTGCACACTGATTCACTGACCAGGGTAGTAATAATAACGTAAAGCACCTGTGAGGAGGTTTGGTGGAACTCAGCACTGTATAAACAGATTAGTATTAGTAGTAGCAGCGTGCCAATGGGGTTCAGTGACACAGACCACACAATCCCCCATTATCTGTCTTTTACAACAAGCATGACCTACTGTTTTTAACAAGATTACCAAAAAGATATGTTACGGCAAGCCAGAAGCATGTGAAAAACAAATTGTCATGAGGTTGGCACAAATGCTCAAGCATTGTTTGCACAAGGTTACCTTTTGCATGTCGAAGAATACCTCACTGAACATCAGATTTCCATCTACAAAACAAAGAGACACACATTCAGGGCACGATCGTTTTTATACAACAAACACTGGCCAACTATTGGTGCCACAGAGTTTGAATCCATTTCATAGTTACCGGTATATAACAGTCCATAAACATAATAAAGGGAGGCAACTCTGAATTCATGCTTCAGGCAGTTTTCCAACTGTTCACTTGGCACCTATCCACATAACGTCAACGAGGAATATATCACCCCATAAGTTTGTCACATACATTCAATGATTCCAACCATACCATAACTTCTCAATCAAGCCTTACTGTCAACCAGGGCCTAGATCCACAAAGCGATCTTAGCGCTATGATTGTTGTAAGTCTATGTAAAAGTATGGGAGTTATGATCATCTTAGCGCTAAGATTGTTGTAAGCCTATGTTAAAGTATGGGAGTTATGATCATCTTAGCGCTAAGATTGTTGTAAGTCTATGTTAAAGTATGGGAGTTATGATCATCTTAGCGCTAAGATTGTTGTAAGTCTATGTTAAAGTATGGGAGTTATGATCATCTTAGCGCTAAGATTGTTGTAAGTCTATGTTAAAGTATGGCAGTTATGATCATCTTAGCACTAAGATCGCTTTGTGGAATGGGACCCAAGGCAAGTTTTAGAGACTGCTGCATGCAACTGGGTTGTCAACAGGTTACCCAGTCACGAGTGTTTGTCCGTCATATTCCATCAGTACATACCCTGCAGGCGCTCTGGACACAGCACATGGAGAATCCCCCTCCAAAATGTCTGATCGCGTCTCATGATAATAATAACACTGGACCACCCTTATCCCCTAATATATAGGACCCACTTAAATTCAAGAGCTTACGCTCATGATTACTGGCCCCCTGAACCCCTAATACTGAAGTACTGACTGACAAACATGAGATTTCATCAATTCAACACCCAAACTATGAAACATGCCCCACACCCTTGACAACTAACACATCAAACTTGTCCCACCTGTCTCGCACTTGGTCCCCTTGAGTGCCAGCTGCAGGATGTGTCGACTGCCGATGCGGACGTCCTTCTGGTCGCTGATGCTGAGAGAGTTGACCACCCAGTCCTGACTGGCACATGACACCTGGGTCACCTGCACCTCCTGGATGTGGGGCCGCTGGACCTGCACCTGTACCAAGCACAGGTAAACTACACAACAGGGCAACATCACTGTCAATACTGTGGCGTACACACCATAATCGTAGGGTCCCAGCATGCCTCAGGATGAGGTGAGGTGAAATGGGGTTTAACGTCGCGTCCAAGATTATTGCACTTATATAGCGACGTGCATGTACGTGTGTGTGTTTGTGTGGCTGCTTGTACTAGTCCGGACTGATGACGATTTATAGTGCTAGCTCACTGAGATACCATGCCGCATTTTTACATGAATATCCCACTCAGACACAGTATACCGACTCTGAGCCGACCAGTCCTTGTTTGAGACCCTTAATGCCGAGCGCCAGATAGGGTAACAACAAGTACCACCTTTTAACGTCTTTTGGTATGATGCGGTCGGGGATCGAACCCCGGACCTTCTGCTCTCCAGGCGGACGCTCTACCATTAGACCACGGAGCGGTCGTGCCTCAGGATGAGAGTCTGAACAGTGAGGTGTTTTGTTTGGTTTGTTTGTTGTTTAATGCCACACTCAGCAATATTCCAGCTATATGAAGGTGGTCTGAAAATAATAGAGTCGGGACCAGACAATCCAGTGATTGACATCATGAGCATTGATCGACACATTTGGGATATAATAAGGTGCATCAACCAAGTCAGCAAGCCTGATCACCCGATCCCGATAGTCGCCTCTTATGAAAAGCACAGTCGCCTCTTAAGACCAGTATGGGTTGCTGAAGACCTATTGTAACCAGGACCTTTATGGGTTGAACAGTGAGGTCAAATGGGGTTTAACGTCACGTTCCAAGATTATTGCACTCATGTAGCGACGTGCTGGTGCTTGCACCATTCCAGACTTGTGCCATTTCATAGTGCTAGCCCACTGAGATCCCATGCACCAGTTTAACATTGATACCCCACTCAGACACAGTATACTGACTCTGAGCCGGCCAGTCCTCTTAATTCTGAGAGCCAGGCAGGGTAACAACAAGTACCATCTTGAAACATCTTTAGGCATGACTCAGCCAGGGATCAAACCCCCAACCATTTGTTCTTGGGGCAGACACTCTATCCTCTATACCATGGAGGCAGTTGTCTGGACAGTGAATTGTCACCTTAGATGATGAACTAAACTACGACTTAGCCTTGGAGTGAGTTTCATTTCTTGCCACTTTTAGCATTATTTCATCCCTATGTCAGCATGCTGCACCAGCAGGGGTACCTATATGGGGAATCGAACCTCGGGCCTTTAACGTGATGAGCCTTAACCACTAGGCTACCGAACCTCCCCTTTGAGCCTGTAGACTCTGAATCATACAGTTGCAGTTCTTTGGCAAGAGTAAGCCGGGAACGAAAGTTCACTCTCTGGGCGCTCTATCCTCTACACCATGAACGTAGTTGTCTGAACAGTGAATTGCGTCACCCTAGACGACCAAGCTAAGTGGGCTAGACTCTGATTCTTACAGACCTCCCAGTGCCTAGCCTCCTACCTGACTGAGGTTCTCCAGCTCGCACGAGATGATGCAAGACTTGAGTTCCTGCCGGTCACTGCCGGACACACACGCACTGGGCTTGGTCACCATGGCCCTCACACTCAACGACTCCACTGTGTTGACCACCGCTCGGTGTCGCAGTACTCGATGTCTGGGGAGCAAGGACACAGGGATTAAGTAAGTACAGAATGTACAGTCGCCACATTCAATCTATATCCTGGACCTGAAATAATCTAGGCCAGGAAAATAAAATCATAGATCATGATAAATCCTTGTCATAAAGGTACAATAACACACAAACAGTAATGTCACATTTTTAACCATCAGATTGAAATTTAGTTGGCTCATATGACAAGCTACTGGAAATCTATTCTGCCCTGAAATCAGTGTGAATAACAAAAAAGGCAACCTCTTTATCCTGTATGTACAAATCTCACTTATTCTGCCCCAGAATCTCAGCGGGTGACAGGTGAGGTGAGGTGAAATGGGGTTTAACGTCGCCTCCAAGATTATTGCACTTATATAGCGACGTGCATGTACGTGTGTGTGTCTGCTTGTAATAGTCCGGACTGATGCCGATTTATAGTGCTAGCACACTGAGATACCATGCTGCAGTTTAACATGAATACCCCACTCAGACAGTATACTGACTTCAAGCCGACCAGTCCTTGTTTTAGCCCCTTAATGCCGAGCACCAGACAGGGTAACAACAAGTACCATCTTTTAACGTCTTTTGGTATGACGCAGCTGGGGATCGAACCCCGGACCTTCCGCTCTCCGGGCGGACGCTCTACCACTAGATCACGGAGGCGGTCCGGCGGGTGACAGAGTGTCAGCATGGAATGGAAGGAAAGCCGAAGTGATGCATGTCCGAAATGTTTACCAATTGCAGAAACCCACAGTCATGGCTCTGATGCTGACAAACTCAGACACATGATCAGGGTCGTATACTGCATGTATACTGCTTATACAGTGTTTTAAAATCACCATTCTATTTCAATAAATACCCTAAACATATTCGCCATTGCTTCCTAGTGCCACAATGTCTTCGATTGCATCATGGCATTGGAATCTGGATCAAAATGAAACTATGCTGACAAATAAGTCCAGGATATTTATCAAAATAGAATGGAAATATAATACACCTGATAATCGAGGATGCCAGAGCATACCATCAGATGCACCTGATAATCAAGGACACTTGATCGAGGATGACTCACTGGAAGCTGACTACGAAACTTGAATGCATATTTATAACAACAAAAACAACAATTAAGGATTTTCTTGGATTATTCCCCAGAACAAACATAAATAAAAGCTATAAGACTGATAAACAAGTTACCTCACAGAATCTTTATCTTTGGCTTGTGTGTTAAGTGGTTCATAGTAAAACAGGAAGTCCACTTCGTGTACCCCTCCGATGTCGTTCCCCCGCAGCCACATGGGCAGCGACCTGGTGTCCCCGGGACGAAGGATGTTACCTTCAATAGGAATGTCTATAACATCAGGCACTGAGCGCACACTGCACGAGTCTATGGGGTTGCTGATGTCACTGTCCACGGACCTGGTCTGGTACACGTAGGGGTATTTAGGGAGGTCCTGACTACAGCCGAACGTGAAGAAGTCGGGGTGTGTGGACGTCACCTTGAGCTGATGTAGGGGGCTGCGACCGGTGTTCCGTACTTCCATCTCAATACAGTGGACCTCCCCACACAGGAGGGAGTCGGGGAAGTCACAGAAGCTCACCTGAAACATGACAGACTTCTGTACAAAGGCCTGCCTGGCAATCATGGGGCAATGCTGGTGGTTACAGTTGTCTTGGATATATTACAATACAAAGTGACTGTATTGAGGCTGACATGTATTGCTACATATTGCAAACATGTCTGTGAATGTGGCACAACACTTATTCTGCATGATTTAGTAGAGCTGAAGTTTACAGCATTAATAACCATCATTTTTTGTCCACCAGACCTTATAATGATAAAATTTAGCAAAACCCTTAAAAATGACAAATTTCTACTAGTCCTTATGATACCTTAACTATTGGGCAGTTTGGCAAGGACTGTAGGACTAGTGCCATTTTCTAACAGTGAGTTAAATGTTTCCACTAGTTCTACCCTTGCTGAACTCCCCGTCCCTACCTCCAATATCGGCATCTCCTCGTGGACCGTGAGATCCAGCCTCCTGTCTGGCCCATACAACTTGCTGGTCTTGTCATCCTTGCTGGCGTTGAGCCGCGGCCCCTGCACTTCCAGCTTCTGCTTGCCACGCACATACACGCTGCTGATGAAGGTGGGTTTCTGCGAGCCCAGGATAGAGGGGGAGGCGGTGGAGGAGGGCATGTCCCCGGGGAGGGGGGAGGAGCTCTGGGACTGGGAGCTGGTGGTGCCCAGGTTGTAGGCCAGGCCCACCACCCGTAGCTCACCTGGCTGTCTCGGCACCAGGGTCAAGCGGATCTGTAAGGAGGCATTCATAAAGATGAGTGAATGAATGAAGTTTTACACTACTTTCAGTGAAAGCATCCTGGGGGACCAGAAAAAGGGTTTTTACACTTTACAGCCATATTGTGACTATAACAGATTATAAATTGAGACAATATTATAAAACTGTCAACAAAGGACAGTAAAGTAAACAGACTTATCAAAGATTTTATTTAAAACTAGTATATAACCATAACCAGGGGAAGATGCATGCGGGTGAGGACATTCTGGAGCCATGGGACGGTGTGTTGGGGTGAGGACCATCTGGATCCATGGGACGGTGTGTTGGGGTGAGGACATTTTGGATCCCTGGGATGGTGTGTTGGGGTGAGGACATTTTGGATCCCTGGGATGGTGTGTTGGGGTGAGGACATTTTGGATCCATGGGATGGTGTGTTGGGGTGAGGACATTTTGGATCCCTGGGATGGTGTGTTGGGGTGAGGACATTCTGGATCCCTGGGATGGTGTGTTGGGGTGAGGACATTTTGGATCCATGGGACGGTGTGTTGGGGTGAGGACATTTTGGATCCCTGGGATGGTGTGTTAGGGTGAGGACATTTTGGATCCATGGGACGGTGTGTTTGGGCGAGGACATTCTGGATCCCTGGGATGGTGTGTTGGGGTGAGGACATTTTGGATCCCTGGGATGGTGTGTTGGGGTGAGGACATTTTGAATCCCTGGGATGGTGTGTTGGGGTGAGGACATTTTGGATCCATTGGACGGTGTGTTGGGGTGAGGACATTTTGGATCCATGGGATGGTGTGTTGGGGTGAGGACATTTTGGATCCATGGGACGGTGTGTTGGGGTGAGGACATTTTGGATCCATGGGACGGTGTGTTGGGGTGAGGACAATCTGGATCCATGGGACGGTGTGTTGGGATGAGGACATTCTGGATCCATGGGACAGTGTGTTGGGGTGAGGACATTCTGGATCCATAGGACGGTGTGTTGGGGTGAGGACATTCTGGATCCATGGGACGGTGTGTTTGGGTGAGGACATTCTGGATCCATAGGAAGGTGTGTTGGGGTGAGGACATTCTGGATCCCTGTGATGGTGTGTTGGGGTGAGGACATTCTGGATCAATAGGAAGGTGTGTTGGGGTGAGGACATTCTGGATCCATGGGACGGTGTGAGGACATTCTTGATCCATAGGACGGTGTGTAGGGGTGAGGACATTCTGGATCCATAGGACGGTGTGTTGGGGTGAGGACATTTTGGATGCCTAGGACGGTGTGTTGGGGTGAGGACATTCTGGATCCATAGGACGGTGTGTTGGGGTGAGGACATTTTGGATCCCTGGGACGGTGTGTTGGGGTGAGGACAATCTGGATCCATGGGACGGTGTGTTGGGATGAGGACATTCTGGATCCATGGGACAGTGTGTTGGGGTGAGGACATTCTGGATCCATGGGACGGTGTGTTGGGGTGAGGACATTCTGGATCCATGGGACGGTGTGTTGGGGTGAGGACATTCTGGATCTATAAGAAGGTGTGTTGGGGTGAGGACATTCTGGATCCCTGTGATGGTGTGTTGGGGTGAGGACATTCTGGATCCATGGGATGGTGTGTTGGGGTGAGGACATTCTGGATCAATAGGAAGGTGTGTTGGGGTGAGGACATTCTGGATCCATGGGACGGTGTGAGGACATTCTTGATCCATAGGACGGTGTGTAGGGGTGAGGACATTCTGGATCCATAGGACGGTGTGTTGGGGTGAGGACATTCTGGATGCCTAGGACGGTGTGTTGGGGTGAGGACATTCTGGATCCATAGGACGGTGTGTTGGGGTGAGGAAATTCTGGATCCATAGGCAGTGTGTTGGGATGAGGACATTCTGGATCCATAGGACGGTGTGTTGGGGTGAGGACATTTTGGATCCATAGGACGGTGTGTTGGGGTGAGGACATTCTGGATCCATAGGCAGTTTGTTGGCGTGAGGACATTCTGGATCACTAGGACGGTGTGTTGGGGTGAGGACATTCTGGACCCAGGGGAGGGTGTGTATAATCCACGTATGATTTGTTTGTTGCTTAACACCTATTCTACCACCGATCCTCACAGTCCCATGTGTGAAACTCACCGGAGCCGTCTGCCCTCCTTCAAGCACCACCTCCTTGATGACCGTTGTCTGGATAATCTCATCTGCCAGGTTGTTCTTGACCCCTGTGGACACCTCGTTGGAGATGAGTTGTGGCTTGTCAGCACCAGCTATACTGGGCAGGAAGCTCCACAGCAGCATGACGTCAGACAGCACCAGAGTCACCTGCAGGGGGTCTTCTACCTGCACCTCCACCACGATGTGCTCTGAAAGCGGGAGTGGTTTTAGGTGGTTGATTTACACAACAATCAGCAACTCTGTGGACACAGAATATTTTGCAGATATGTCCATTCACTTTCTGTGTTAAAATCATGCAACTTTTTTCATTTTTCTGCCACAGGATTTGTCAAATACACTGTCGAATATTAACTTGCGAGTCAAAAGCCTGTTCTAAACTTGTAAAAGTTGCATAGGTTTACTTAAACAAACAGTCATTATTTGAATTGTGCCTTGTATTAAAATGAGCGCTATTTTAAACATTGTATATTTGGAGGTATGATTAAATGTAATCCTGATTTCAATTCAAAGTGAAGCTGACTTCTGAATTATTGCTTTATGGATGTGCATGTCTGTATGTTGACACTAATGGTCGCCAGATCCACTGAAATAAACTATTCTAGCCATGATTAAGTCTATAATGATTAAGTTTGTCAGAAAAAGGCGAGCCACATGTCAAACAGGTTAAAAAACTAGCAAATACTTGTGCTAAGGAGCAGCCTGATGTCTAATGTTGGCAGAATTTTATGTAGAATTACATAAAAATACATGGCAGAATTGACAAAAATTGACCACATAATTCATTCAAAGTGTTTTGAAAATGGATAGAAAATTAATAGAAAATGTAGTTTAGTTATATTACAGCATACCCTCCTAACATTGCAGCAAAACAAAACAAAATTGACGCTGATTGTAGGTGTTTTCCACTTCGGTGATCAAGGACCACAAACAGATCAGAGTTTCAAAAAACATTATCACTGGATCCTGGCACGTCAAAGGGATGCAACTATTTGCCTTTGACTTCTGGGCCAAAGTGGGCACCATGAAACACACGTAAAGGATGAATGTTTTATGTCCCTGCTTTACAATGGCAACCTGTGAATAACTGAGTCACAATTTGTGTCAACCCAATCCTCATTAGGCATCTGTCACGATACGCCTCGAGGACTGTGGATCTAATCTCTCAAGGGGTGGGGATCTCTGATGGGTTTCACTCATGTGCGGTCTGTAAATAATGGAGTCTGGACCAGACAATCCAGTGACTGACACCATGAACGCAATTGGGATACATTGACACACATCAACAAAGTCAGCAAGCCTAACCACCCTATCCCGTTAGTCGTCTCTTACAACAAGCACAGTCGCCTTTTACAGCCAGCATGGATTGCTGAAGACCCATTCTACCCTGGATCTTCCCGGGTCTCATTCATGTGAAATGAGACATACTTACCTCCTACAAAAGCTATAGGGCTGGCCCTGTTCTCTGTATTGTTAGTAAAGCATTGTAGTGTAGATCGGAAGGTGTTAGGCAGGGATCCACCATTGGCTGAAATGACAAGCCTCTCTTCCAGCTTCTGCCAGCTCATGTTTCGACTCTCATCGTGATCGAACCACACCCCTGTTGCTGGTGTCTTCCGTGGGTTCTCTGCAATACGTCAATAATGTACATATTTACATGTGATTTATTGACTGATTGACTGTTGAAGTCAGCACTACCCAAATATTGCACTACTTACCGTATTTGACGTAATAAGCGACCAGGGTGCTCTCAAAATTAGAAATAGGGGGCTCTTATTAGAATATTATTTTGGTGAAAAAAAACAAGTTGAAAGAAAAATTCTGTGGTTTATGCTGACAGCCTGAAGTGTTTATGTACGACATATATATTTTTCCAGAATTTAATTGCCCATAATTAAGGGTGCATATAACACACGAGTGGGTATTATAAGCGAATAAATACGTCTTGTGTACATTGATCAATCGGAAGGGGAGCTAATTGGGATTGTTCACTAGCAAATATATTAGCAAATGTCGCCGTGGGCGCTTATTAGAGCGGGGCGCTTATTACATCGAATACGGTAATTATACTTGTTAGCCTGAGCTACATTACTCATAGTTGGTGCATGACACACAACCAGTGAGTGAGTGAGTGAGTGAGTGAGTGAGTGAGTGAGTGAGTGAGTGAGTGAGTGAGTGAGTGAGTGAGTGAGTGAGTGAGTGAGTGAGTGAGTGAGTGAGTGAGTGAGTGAGTGAGTTGGGTTTAACGCCGCTTTTAACAGTATTCCAGTTATATTGCGGCGTGTCAGCTTAGTGTGGGAGGAAAGCCCGAAGTGATGCAGGTCTCAGACGTTTACCACTTTGGTGAAACCCTCGAGCACGGTTATGGTGCTGACAAACCTAGAAACATAATCGGGGCGAACCGGGATTCGAACCCACAATCATAGGTTTCTGGCGTGCCCAAGGGACACAACTCTGCACAGCGAATCGCTGCGCCTTAGACGATTGGGCCACCCGTGCCCCTGACACACAACCAACCAGGGAACACACTGAAACCACTTGATCAATATTAAGTCAAATGAGAAAAGACCTTTCTATCTCGGAACAGACATAGGGATAGTTTTACCTACAATACAGAGTATATCATTTTTATTTCAATTTCAGTTGAATGAGTGAGTAAATGCTGTTTATAGCTGTCCGCAATATTTTGCTATGTCCCGATGGCTTTTAAATAATCACGTCTGAACCAGACAAAACAGTGAGCATGCGATGAACATAATCATTGCATGAAGACATGCCATCATCTGAGGATTTACCTCACTGAGTATTCAACTTGGTTTTGAGCTTATAGAATTAACTCTTTAAATCATATTCAGAAAATAAGCTGTATGGAGTGCTTCAGGTAACTATGGAAACATTCCTTTGAAAAGAAGAGATGTTTTGTTTTTTGTTTTTGTTTGTTTGTTTTTTAATGCAGCACTCAGCAATATTCCAGCTATATGACAGTGGTCTGTAAATAATCGAGTCTGGAACAGATAATCCAGTGACTGAAATCACGAGCATTGATCCACCCAATTGGGATAAGATGACGTGCATCAACCACATCAGCTAGCCAGACCAACCAGTCCCCTTAGTCGCCTCGCATGGGTTGCTGAAGACCAATTCAACCCGGATCTTCACGGGTGGTAAAGACATGAAAGTAAAGCAAGCATCTTGTTTCGGACACAGACTTGGTGGAAGCCCGTCTGCCACACACCTGGAATCTGCGGCTGTTGTTTCCCGAGCAGGACCTTGGTGGTGTTGCTGTTGATGTTGGGCAGGGGCAGCTCCGGCAGGCGGCCGTACGAGCAGTTCTCCCCGGCCTCCTGAGTCAGCAGTTGCTGCGGAACAAGGTCAAGGTCATCTCAACATCAAATCAAAACTCTTAAATAAGAAAATTCTCCATGTAAGAATTGAGAGTATTTTTTTTAATACAATGTTACCCAGTCCAAAAACGTCACTTCTGATTTTTATCAATATTACAAATCTGAATACGCAGTGGACACTGGAGATTAATATGGTATGTATAATGACCTTTCTCTGAAATCCAGGAATAAAATGTTAAACACTGAAAGTCAGCCACTGTGGGGTTCTATGACCGTGACGTAAGAAAATCCGCAGATTTCCCTGGATTGGAGGAAAATTCTCATTCCTGAATATTGAAGCCATATCATTGCAGGGGAAGCCGAGGAATGGCCTCCCCAATATATGCTGGTGACCCAAACCAGAGTCTACAAGTGGGATGAGCAACAGCTCCTAACATTAGGCTCCCACACTATGGTTGACATAAAATGTCCTAATAGCTTCACTTCATACAGAATGAGTGGATGATGTTTTAGGCACTATATAGCAGTTGACGGATGACAAAGTAGACATAACTTATGGATTACAACTTCTTTATTTACTGTACAATAATTAGAGAAGTTGTTATCCATAAATTGTGTCTACTTTGAGTGGATGGAACAGACTGTCTGACAACAACACAAGCAGCCATCTGTCGGACATGGAAGAGACATAAGATATCATTGCAGCCTGTAAATAACAGTCAGGAATCAGGCAAACCAATGGCTGATACAAAAGGTGACCTTCCAAGCATGCCATGACTAAATCAACAGAATGCATATCTTATTTGCCCCCAAACCTCATTATTAACGGCCCTTACAACCTTCTATTCTGCCCTGGCATCCTCACAGTAATTTACTACAAGTGAGTGAGTAAGTATGGTTTTACGCCGCTTTTAGCAATATTCCAGCAATATCACAGCGGGGATACCACAAATGGGCTTCAGACATTGTACACATGTCGGGAATCGAACCTGGGTCTTCGGCGTGACGAGGGAAAGCTTTAACCACTAGGCTACTCGACCGCCCAGTTTACACCTAGAGCGTATGCCATGTAGTGAGATGCAGCACTAACCTTATATACAAACAGGTACTCTCTGAGAAAGGCTCCCTGCTGGGATGCTGGTTGTTTGCTCTCCGCCATCAGCAGGTGCTTGAACGCGGAGGAAGCATTCTCCAGCTGTTTGAGGTTGAATGACTGACGCCCGATAGTAAAGTGGATGTGATCCTGGCAATAGGAACAAACAACTCATTTTAGAACTGATTATCAACAACTTATCACATTTATAGTAGGAAGCAATTACCCAAGTTGGTTGGTTTGTTGTTTAACGCCGCACTCAGCAATATTCCATCTATAGGACGGCGGTCTGAAAATAATCAAGTCTGGATTCCAGTGATTGACATCATGAGCATCGATCCACGCAATTGGGATACGATGACATGCATCAACCAAGTCAGAGAGCCTGACCACCTGATCCCGTTATTTGACTCTTACGATAAGCATAGTTGCCTTTCACAGCAAGCATGGGTTGCTGAAGACCTATTCTACCCCGGATCTTCACAGGTCCAATTACTCAAGTAAAAACAGATATATTCCTTTCACTATGTTCTAAAACATAGCAATTTTCCAGCCATGTTTGCTCTCCCAAAACATAAGTGAACTGTTGCTCAAAACTTGATCTTGAACTTGAAAATGTAGCATTCACCTTAGCAAAATGGATACCACATTCATTATGAGTGAGTGAGTGATTTGGGTTTAACGCCACTTTTAACAGTGTTCCAGTTATATCGCGGCGTGTCAGCTTAATGTGGGAGGAAAGACCGAAGTGATGCAGGTCTCAGACTTTTACCACTTCGGTGAAACCCACGAGCACGGTTATGGTGCTGACAAACCTAGAAACATAATCGGGGCGAACCGGGATTCGAACCCACAATCATAGGTTTCTGGCGTGCCAAAGGGACGCAACTCTGCACAGCGAATCGCGATGCCTTAGACGACTGGGCCACCCGTGCCCCCACATTCATTATGAGACTTTGACAGACTTTAGAAGTTGGAAGAACATGAATACGTGATACTTTTTTTCTGGACAAAAACTTCTGTATCCTTTGTAACAATGTTTCAGGGCCACGTCTTGCCTGTTCAGTGGGTGAATAATAAAGGGGCAAGAAGGGGCCCTGGAACCCGGTTACAAAGAATAGAAAGAAGTTTTTGTCCATAAAAATTTGTCATGAACTCATTCATTAAATATTAAATTTGATAAATGTTTATCGAAAGAATTCATATTTAGTTGTTGGATAACTGACCTCTGCAAGGGACCAGTACTTGCTCTTGAAGACCTGTAATGCTTGCGAGTAGGCCCTCAATGAGTGCTTGCGCTGTGGAATAAATCACTTAGATGATAAACCACACAGATGTGAAAGTATTTTGTCAGGTTAAATAACAAAGATATTTGACTGCAACAAACCTCAACATGTCATATCCACCAAATCCGTGAACAGTGACTTTAAATTGGAACGATTTCAACATAAACATGAGTAAATGATCAAATGATTTGCAAGTATATATTTTTTAGTCATTGTGACACGTTTCAAATGTTTTTTTGTGAGAGGTAAGTGTATCATCTTGGTACTGGACCAAATGGGTTGGTTGGTTGATTTGTTGTTTAACGCCGCACTCAGCAATATTCCAGATATATGACAGCAGTCTGTAAATAATCGAGTCTGGACCAGACAATCCACTGATTAATATCATGAGCATCAATCTACACAATTAGGATCGATGACATGCATCAACCAAGTCAGAAAGTCATAGTCACCTTTTATGGCAAACATGGGTTGCTGAAGACCTATTCTACCCCGGATCTTCACGGGTCGGACCAAATGGGAACCTTAGTGCGTCCATGTTACTTACTTGATACTATCTTGTTGAGTGAAGGAGTCAGCGCGAATGGTTTTACGCCGCTTTCAGCCATATTCCAGCAATATCACGGCGGCGGACATAAGAAATGGGCTTCACACATTGTACCCATGTCGGGAATCAAACTCCAGCCTTCAAACAAACGCTTTGACCACTAGGCTACCCCAGCACTCTGTTCTTTGTGGAAACAAGGGACAATTTATGGTACTACTTGCAACTTAGCTGTGAAAGTTTTCATGTTTATTTTCATAATAGCACAGATTCTGCTTTCCACCAGTGGAATGGCTTTGAATATTTCGTAGATAAGATTTATCAAACAGTGACAAGTCTAGCAAGTAATAGAAATTGGTAAGTGGTGACAAATACTTATCTTAAAATTTTGTATTTATTTCGAAGTAAATTATATTCTAGTTTAATAATATGAGCCTGACCAGACAAACTGGTGATTGATAATACGAGCAATATCCAAGGTACAATGACAGACAATTAACCAAGTCAGCGAACCTGACACCCCCATACATTTTGTTGCCTCTTACCACAAGCAGTAGAGTGTTGGGGACCTGTTTTAGCCCAAACCCCTAATGAGGTGAGGTGAAATGGGGTTTAATATCGCGTCCAAGATTATTGCACTTATATAGCGATGTGCGTGTGTGTGTGTGTGCGTGTGTGCGTGTGTGCGTGTGTGCGTGTGTGCGTGCGTGCGTGCGTGCGTGCGTGCGTGCGTGCGTGCGTGCGTGCGTGCGTGCGTGCGTGCGTGCGTGCGTGCGTGCGTGCGTGCGTGCGTGCGTGCGTGCGTGCGTGTGTGTGGCTGCTTGTACTAGTCTGGACTGATGCCGATTTATAGTGCTAGCCCGCTGAGGTACCATGCCCCAGTTTAACATGAATACCCCACTCAGACACAGTATACTGACCCTGAGCCGACCAGCCCTTGTTTAAGCCCCTTAATGCCAAGCGCCAGACAGGGTAACAACAAGTACAATATTTTAACGTCTTTTGGTATGACGTGGCCTGGGATCGAACCCTGGACCTTCTGCTCTCCGGGCGGATGCTCTACCACTGGACCCGGAGGCGGTCAAACCCCAAATGACTGATATGCACATACCTGTCCCGCCTTGTTAAATCTATGTCCCGCCAGTATCATATGAAACGCATATTTCCGCACCATCGGCGTCTTCATATTGATGAAACAGTGAGCTCCCTGCTCCAGGAAGAGGGCACTGGACAGGTCGGAATCCTACAACATCATTAACACGTGAACATGCCAGGGATACTTCTGGCTGAGAAAAGTAGGGGAGAAAACCCACAAGCAAACAGGATATTCTCAAAACCAATACCATGTTTAATACATTAGAGGTTTTCAAAACAATTTATACCATGATTCAGATTAGAAAATGACCAATGACAGACATTTATCCAGGATTCCAAACTAAGTGCCTTTGGCATACAAATTGGGAAAAAATTGTTACTTTGTTGAGAATTGAAATTATTACAAAACCTCATTTTATTAAATTCAGAGGTATTTTAACACCATATTTTGAACACTGCATCCAATGTAATAATGTAAAATGAAACATTAACGCCTCTCCCCATATATTAGTCCTGTTATCAGTGAAATACCGGTAAGAGTCACCTTCACCCAGGCCAGCACATCAGTTCAAACTATAACAACATGAATTGGGACATGCTTAATTCCAATTTGGGGGCGAATATCGGCCTCTGATCAGGTCAAGATAAATCCATGACTGAGACTTTATGATTATGTAATGTTTTCTTTCCAAAGAATATTTTCACTAGAAAAGAGAGAACTTTTGTGATAAAGTGTCCTAAACTCACAACCCTAAAAGGATCCCAGCAATGCATTTGCTTCAACAATTATGAACTTGATATTAGACTGAAAACCTATATTCTTGTTTTTCAAACCTTTTGCATTCATTTCACCCAAGTATAAAACATTTTCGCCAAAACATTTGCAATTCTGACACCTAGACATCACAGCTCTTCAAACCAAACCCAAAGCACATTGGATAAGATCCAATACTGCCAGGGAACCACTTATTATTCTTTAGCCTTATACTTAACTGAAAAAGCCCAGACACCTTTAGTCTTAATGAATCTACCAACAGTTTTGTTTGCTTGTTTGTTTGTTGCTTAACGCCACACTCAGCGATATTCCAGCTATATGACGGCGGTCCGTAAATAATTGCGTCTGGACCAGACAATCCAGTGATTGAAATCACGAGCATCGATCCACACAATTGGGATAAGATGACATGCATCAACCAAATCACCAAGCCTGACCACCCAGTCCCGTTAGTCGCCTCACATGGGTTGCTGAAGACCAGTTCAACCCGGATCTTCACGGGTGGTAAAGACATGAAAGTAAAGCAAGCATCTTGTTTCGGCCATATCGGACATGCATCAACCAAGTCAGCGAGCCTGACCACCCGATCCCGTTAGTCACCTCTTACGACAAGCATAGTCGCGTCTTATGGCAAACGTGGGTAGCTGAAGACCTATTCTCTACTCAGAAACCAACTATGAGCACTACTGAAGCAGAATTAGTAATGGCAGCCAAACAGCAGTTGGGAGAACATCAGGACAACTGTACTTAGAGATAATTTTAATCAACAGTTCAGTATTGTCGAAAGAATATTATTTATTTCCTTGGGTCTTCTGCAAATGTTCAGTTTGGCACATATTACGTTGTCTCACTTTCAAAACAAATACTCAGTGGTCGCTTCAGTTTTGATCCTGATCATGATGATGTAGATTCAGTGGGATGAAAGGGTCCATCAAAGTCAGGTTTGGTTTGTGTCACTGACACAAATACCTGAAACTGAGCCAATACGTACAAACTTGTCCCATTTGTTCCCAAGCGGTGTGATTATGCTCCTAGAGTGTGAAAGCAGAAACTAACCCCCACCTCATTGGTCATCTTGAGGAACTGCATGGCAGCCTCCCCATACATTCCCCGACACTTGAGTGCCTCCGTGCTGACTAGAGTGGCCCGGATAGCATACTGGAAGTTCCTGGAGGGAGACAAAATACACACATGACCGTGATGACAGGACTACTTGGTGCGTGGCAACCCCAGGCACAACAAACAAAGGACAATTAAGATTGGTTTGTTACTTGCAAAAACATTTGTGACCCTCCAGGAGAAAAGGGGCCTTATGGGTGCTAGGATACATGTGCTATGACATCATTAAGATGTTTGACGTCAACTTACTTCAGTGAAGAGTGAGTAAACGAGTATGGTTTTACGCCGCTTTTAGCAATATTCCAGCAATATCACGGCGGGGGACACCAGAAATGGGCTTCACACATTGTACCCATGTCGGGAATCGAACCCGGGTCTTTGGCGTGACGAGCAAATGCTTTAACCAATAGGCTACCCGCCCGCCCCTAACTTCAGTGAAGATCAATATGTGTTATGTCATGTATCTCTGTCATAAATGTGAATTGAAGCTTGTGATTTTTATTTTTTGTGTTCTGAAGATTATTGATTATTGATGGATACAATTGTAACGCGTGACAAAACATATGATGATTCTTTTAAAATTAGTACTACAAAAAACTTATTACAATCTGCACTTTTCTACATTCAAATGCACATATTGTAATCATACAATATACATGTCAACATTCTGAAAATTTTATTATGAGGACTTCGAACAATAGTGAGTTTGCACTCTTCTACCCAACTCCTGCAAGTCCTTCTCTGTTATTAATGTTTGCGAGTGAGTTTGGTTTTATGTCCATTTTAACATATTCTGTACTATTTTCAGAAATATCGTGGCAGGGGACAGAATGGCCATGTCATGTACCCATGTGTGGAATTGAACACGATTCTTCAGCGTGATGAATCAACCCATGTAAGCTACCCCACCACCCAGTACTACAGAGAACCAGTGACCGTTGCTCTGTCCTCACCTGCATGTGGTCAGGTAGGTGGTGATGGCCGACTCCATGTAGTGGTGTGGGTACTGTCTCTGGCTCTGACTCCCAAGCATGAAGATAGACAGGCTGGCCATTTCCTGAAATGTGGGACAGCATCCATACCATAAGCCACAACAAGGAGAGGAGTCTTAATAAGTTGGTGGGTTGGTTGGTTGTTAAACGCCGCACTCAGCAATATTCCAGCTATATGACGGCGGTCTGTAAATAATTGAGTCTTGACCAGACAATCCAGTGGTTGATATCATAAGCATCGATCCACGTAATTGGGATTGATGACATGCATCAACCAAGTCAGCGAGCCTGACCAACCGATCCCGTTAGTCGCCTTTTACGACACACATAGTCATCTTTTACTGGGTTGCTGAAGACCTATTCTACCCCGGAATCTTCACAGGTGAGTCTTAATAAGACTTTTGCTTTTTCCTTGGCATTCATGGCATTTTATTTTTAGGATGACTACCTGACTAGTGACTAAGAGATCGAAACCAAATCAGCACAATTCCAGCTGCTTCATGGTGTATTGTTTCTTTTTTTAATTTAACGCCACACTCAGCAATAGTCACGGTATTTGATGGAAGTCTGTACATAATCAAGGCTTGACCAGATTATCCAGTGATTGATATCATGAGCATTGATCTACGCAACTGAGATATGATGACATGCATCAACCAAGTCAGCAACCCTGACCACCTGATCCTATTATTCACCTCTTACAACAAGCATGGGTTGATGAAGATCAATTCAAACCCGAATCTTCACCAGTTATATCATGTGTAAATAATCAATTACAGGTCAGGCAAACCAGTGGCTGACAGCATGAGCATGATCCTACAAGCACAGATACAGTGAGACACAGTTAAGCAGTTACACATTGTGACAACTCTTGGGCTGGGACAGGTAACTCGGGTACCCGAGTCGGGTGGGTACTGGGTAGGACCCAGGTACCCACAGGACTACCCGGATCCGTGGTTAGTCATGTGATATATTGTTTCATGACAAAAATTATCTAGAACTCTATGGTTACATTACAAGTCACTAATGTTCGCATTTCTTTCTGACTCTGCACCCATTTCTTCTGATTTTTCATACGGTTGAATAAAGATATAACTTAATTCAACTTCAGTGTATGAATGACCAGATTGTTTAAAACAAGTATCAAAATACGTTTTGCCAGGGCTTTGCTAAAAAAGTTCCCAATTGGACATTTTGAGACATCTCCTGAGACCCACAGTGGGTACCCAGGTAGGGTTTGGTAATAGGGGGGTGGGTACCCGGGTAGTAAATTTGGACTCATCCCAGCCCTAGACAACTCGATACTGAGGATCTATTTCCCTCAGGGGGCTCAGGGACCCATCAGGGGGCTGATTTAACAATGACCTAAGTTTCTCACCAAGGCCCCCGCAAAATGCAGCCATGCATGGTCATTGTTGAAGTCTCTCTTGGCAGTGTGGTAGGTGTGGTAGGCATAGTCGTACATTTGGAAGAGGAAAGCCAAGTCTGCAAGTCGGCGGAGTTGAAGTTCAGGCGCTTCAGACGTGTACCTGGAATATTAAAGTTTCCTTTGGAGACATCAGAAATTAATTTCCCTGTCCATTTCATAATCGTGTGAGTGAGGAAATGGCTTAGTCAATAACATTACAATGCTATCATGTTACTCGGTATTGTGTAAACGGCAGCCCAGCAGGTGCAACCATCGATCCTTCATAAATTCTTACAATCGGACATTCACCTGGAACTGGTAGTCTAGCCTGTCTCTGACTAGGCACTGACCTGTCCAAAAGCATGTAATTTGTAAGATTTTAAGCAACTTTTAGCAATAATCCAGCAGTATAATGGCAGAGGACACCAGAAACGGACTGCCCACACTGTACCCACATAGCAAATCAAATCCAGGCCTTCAGCATTATGAGCGGACACTTTAACCACTAGGCTACCAATGAAGAACATTTTAAAGGCTTACAATTACAATTAGACATTAACAAAATAAGGCGGCAGATTAGGAGGTGTCAACCAACACACAAACCAAAGTATCGGGTTTTACGCAATGCACAAATGTTGAGACTGGACGCAGAAAAAGAAAATAGTGCATCCCGAGGGACGCACAATAATATTCATTGTATCAACAGCACATCAAGAGGAGTTAGGACCACATGATCATTGATTCATTCCAGGCTCTAAAGTAATTATCAAACCTTACAGTACACTACACCATTTCAATACTTTACAGGACCCTCATATTGCCAGCAAGGACCCTCAAAATGAATTATCAGGATGAATTTTGAAACCATTAATTCATGTAGTCAGGGAATGATGACACAGGTCACAGGGCTGACCTTCCAGGCACAGTATTTCTTCTATTAGACCCATACCTCCAAAACAGCTTGCATGAATTTAGACACCGGGGCGTCTAATAGAGGAAATACTGTATATTCAATCCTCAGCATCCACTTTGTCCAGTCATTCCCTATTCTAGATTCTATGACATGTTGGGAGATCAGCCGTGTACTTACACTACAGATGTATTCTGGGAAGCCTGTACGGGTCCGGATGGTTTGTTGGTACCAAACCACTTCTTGGTGGCACTAAAGATGGATCTGTGGATTCCCTTCCTTGATGTCAGCTGCAACAAAGAATCATCCATCACCTAAACATCCTTGTTGGCATTCAACCACGTTACTCTTTTCATCGAGTTCATCACCACAAGGCATGGACAATTCCTCCTGTGAGTGAGTATCAGCTTTCACCAAAGTAGGTGAGTGAGTGGGTATGGCTTTATGCTGCTTTTAGCAATATTCCAGCAATGTCATGGCGAGGGACACCAGAAACGGGCTTCACACATTGTACCCATATCGGGAATCGAACCCGGGTATTCGGCATGACGAGTGAACGCTTTAACCACTAGGCTACCTGTGCGCCCCCGGTCTTCTAAGTGTTGCATAGTTGAACAGATAACTGCTAATTATCTGAATTTTAGATATCCAGAGTGACTACATCGTCCACAGTGCTAGAGATTATTAAACTCAGTTGAAAAGCTGATGTTAAATCCAGCACACAAATGAAGAAGAGAGATTTTCCTGCCCTTACAAGCTGGAGAGCTAGATGTTCATCGGCAGTCCTACTGTCTTGACAACTAGTCATGTGTGGTTGACAATGAAGAGGACTTCTGTTGAAAATTCTTAAAATTAGTTTCGTGTGATTGCAACAAAAATACAGGATTTATAGCAATGATGTAACAGAGGTAGTTGATTCTCAAGAATAATAGGTTTCTGGTACGCTCAAGAGATGCAACTCTGCACAACAAATGGCTGAACTACAGAGAAGCCACTGTGCCCCACACTCACCTGCTCATTCAGCATCCTCATCTGTTTCTCTGCCCAGGGTATGAGGGATCGCACCACAAACTCGTGCATGAAGATACGAAGGCGGTCCATGTCGCTGGTTGTGAGACAGACGCCGTGGACACGCAGCTTGCTCTTCTCCTGCCCTGCCGCCGAACCAGCGCTCTTCCCGTCCTGGTAACCGTTGGCAGCCGCTGTGGCATCCCCGTCATGGGCTATACTGGATTCTTCTACCTGGGCTTGGGTCTCCGTGGAGTGGAATGCTAGTGGGTGATCCATCAACAACTCGTTATTGCTGGTGTTGGTTTCGTTCAAATCTGAGAAAAACATCACAATTTATTTGAACTATCTGTGCAGCCATGTTGAAGTGTTATCATTAAAAGGGTATCATAAATGATAACACAGACAAGACAATAGACCCATTAAGAAAGGAAGAAGGGATTTCATTCAGTATGCTTGCACCAGATCTACCACTGGAAATGACATGACAACAAAAGGAAGACTTTGCCTTGGTGACCAATCAGCGTTAGAAATTGGCACTAGTCCTTAAGTGCAAAACTGCCCAATAGTTAATGTATCATAAGGACTAATAGTGAGTGAGTTGGGTTTAATGCCGATTTTAACAGTATTCCAGTTATATCGCGGTGTGTCAGCTTTATGTGGGAGGAAAGCCCCAAGTGGTGCAGGTCTAAGACGTTTACCACTTCGGTGAAACCCACGAGCACGGGTATGGTGCTGACAAACCTAGAAACATAATCAGGGCGAACTGGGATTCGAACCCACAATCATAGGTTTCTGGCGTGCCCAAGGGACGCAACTCTGCACAGCTAATCGCAGCGCCTCAGATGACTGGGCCACCCGGGCCACCCATAAGGACTAATAGAAATTTGTCTTTTTTTTATGGTTTTGCTATATATTATTATAATAAGGACAAGTGGACTAAAACTGTTAGTTTCTATTGCTGCCAATCAGCAAAGTCACCAAGCCAGACCATCTGCTCCACTTAAGTAGCCTCTTAGGACAAGCATATTAAAGGTGGACTCAAAATCCGGCCCCAAAACTCATGATAAACTGCTCTTTTTTGCAGAAATCAGTAACATTCCAGCTATAAAACATGTTGCCTGTAAAATAATCAAGTCTGGACCAGACAATCCAGTGACAGATATTGTGAACAACAATCCATGACGTTGTTGCACTATGACCATGATGACAGCCAAGTCATCGAGCCTGAAAACCTGATCCAATAAGTCTCCGTTTTACGACCAGCATAGGTTGCCTGGGACCAATTCCAATCGCAATCCCCACGGACACAAACACATGGGACTCAGGTCTTCTAAATACATTTCTCCTAAGTTCTTCACCATACATATAGCACTGGGTTCCACTACAGTTCAACCTCAGTCAGTTGTTTCCAACTTAGTTATTTCCAACAGAACCCCTTACCTGTAAGACTAGAGGAATGAACTGAGGAGATCTTGTCAGAAATAACATCTGGCGTGGTCTCGATCATTGAGTTCTCGAGGTCAGGGATTGTTGAGGTCAGTCTTGCCTCCGACAGATGGGAAGGGAAGCTGGCGTCATCCTGCAGTGGCAGCCCGTCATACTCAACACCCTCCTGGACAAGCAGAGTAGACATATTGGAAATTATATCTCCAAACATGCAAAAAGTGTACAGTCACATTTCCGTATCTGTATCCATTTTGTTCATCTGATACGTGTTGATCTAGACATTTTCATAGAGAAATGGTTTGGTTGGTTTCTTGTTTAACGCAGCACTCAGCAATATTCCAGCTATATGACCGAGGTCTGTAAATAATCGAGTCTGGACCAGACAATCCAGTGATTGATATGAACATCAATCCACACAATTGGGATCGATGACATGTATCAACCAAGTCAGCAAGCCCGACCACCCGATCCCATTAGTCGCCTCTTATGACAAGCATAGTCGCCTTTTACGGAAAGCATGGGTTGCTGAAGACCTATTCTACCCTTTATCTTCACGGGTCTCAAAGAGAAATGCAACCGTCCAGATTAACAGAGATTCACTGTATACAGGCTACTATTCCTCTATCCTGTATATACAGAGGTAAATGTGGGGAATAGTTTGAAAGGCATTTCGGATGGCAAAGTAGACACAATTTTACGGATGACAACTGTATTTGACTGTAATGGTGATGTTTCGGTATAGGTCCTTATACCGTTGTCAAGCAAGGATCTATGCCGATAATGTCGCCATTACAGTAAACTAAAGCAGTTGTTATCCATGTGTGTCTACTTTGTAAATGTAGGGATCATCGCAGTAACTGCTTACACTTGCATTCTAACCTTTCTCTATATGATCCATATTTTACATCATTTCAGAAGATAAATATATATAATATTCCCTTGATAAATATTAACACAGTTAACATGGTTAAAACCTTTACTCAATATCTATCCCCTATTTGAAAACATTTATTCATGGGGCAGTTATTATGTTTGTAGTAGATAGTTAAAAAGTATGGAATTTGTGCGGGAATGGCTTTCATGTCATCAGTGGTTATCGCACAACAGCTATATCACAAATACATCACAACTATATCACAGCAATATCGCAGCCATGAAACATTATCACAGCTTATCACAACACTATAACTTACAAGAGTTCTGTCACAGCTATATAATAGCTATGTGACAGCAATATCACAGCCAGATCAGCAAGAGCTCTATCACAGCTCCATAACTTGTAAGAGCTCTATCACAGCTCCATAACGTGTAAGAGCTCTATCACAGCTCCATAACTTGTAAGAGCTCTATCACAGCTCCATAACGTGTAAGAGCTCTATCACAGCTCCATAACTTGTAAGAGCTCTATCACAGCTCCATAACTTGTAAGAGCTCTATCACAGATCTTTGAACCATCACTGGTACTGATACAGCCATGAGACATGAGTCACAATCAGCAAGGTTACCATGGTTACTACTGAAAGTACCGTAACCATGGTTACTACTGAATGTATCCATGCATCTATCAGCAGCCATTGTGGTCCCCCAATCCCCGAACTGCCCATCATAACTGACACGGTTATTACATTCATGAAATGATATGTTAAACGTCTCCAAATGACGGCATTATGAGGCCAGGAACAGGAACAGGGAACTGGAGATTCAGATGCCACAAGGACTGGATATGAAAAGGGGTGGGTGTCCAACAGAACCACACTTCTTTACAGAAGCGTACATGCAGCATTATCATAAAAATATGGACTGGATTTCCACATGAAATAAAACGGAGATTAAAAGCTGGGATCAACAGGCAATCATGCACCTGCCTGAGCTGCTACATCTATTCAATACAATCCACATCAATGTATTCATGGAAAATAGCAACAGATGTTGGGTAATAGAAATACGCACAAAAATCCAAGTGATGAAATCTACAATTCTTGTTTCAACTAGTGATACACACTGTTTTTTGATACATCTGCTGGAAAAACTTTCATTAGCATTTATTATTGGGTGGATATTCATGGTAATGTGAACCCTGATAATTATATTAAATGTGTAAATGTGCAATATGGAAAGTAACAGTTCATCCCTGCTACAGCCTGGGTCTCCCTAAACATGCTAAAAGGGAGACAATAATTCCACACAATTTAAACAGATTTGTTTGTTTGTTGTTTAACGCCGCACTCAGCAATATTCCAGCTATATGATGGCAGTCTGTAAATAATCGAGTCTGGACCAGACATTCCAGTGATTGATATCATGAGCAATTGGGATACGATGACATGCATCAACCAAGTCAGCAAACCTGACCACCCGATCCCCTTAGTCGCCTCTTACGGCAAACATGGGTTGCTGAAGACCTATTCTCTACCCGGACCTTCACAGGTCCAATTTAAAGAGAAGGCCCACTAATATTGGGTATGAAACTCGGTGTGTATGACTTCCTTAGGCAAACTGTGTGAGTCGGTGTTGCTACCGGTAGGGCAGGGCATGCTTACCCTTTTCACAAACACCCACTGCTATCACTGATTTTCGGAGAACCATTCATATAATTTTCACTGCTGACTGGTTTTTTAAATCGGCTTAGGCGGGTAATCGAGACATTGACGGTGTTGACGTTTAATATTTACATGCTGCTTGCACGACAACTTTGTACATGATCCTACTAGGCTGATGGGCACGACGGGCTTAATGCTACTTGGAACACTACTTCTGTTTGCATTAATAGCACATCATTAATGATATGAAAAAATTTGCCAAATGTGAAAAATTGTTAAAGTTTTGCAAAAAGTGGCCATTTAATAAAGTGCTAAGCCAACCAAAATAATTTAAAATAAGCACCGTCCATGACACTGCGCGCAACACCGATTCATTACATGGTCATTACACCGAGCCTGACCAACCAATCAACTTAGTCGCCTCTAATGACCAGCATGGATTGCTGTAATTCCTGTTCATTGTAATGAATGTGTTTGACGATGCAGTTGGCGACATTCAAGCTGCAACACAGAGGCTGTAACACTGATTATAGCTAAAATGGATAGAATTATCATTAAACCACCCGTATGTTATCAGAAATGAGCGGGCCACTGTAACTTCATAATGCCCTCATATTGCACGCACGTTGTTAGGTGATGTTATGGGTATAGGGAAATGCGACGTCACGTTCAATAGATACCTCATCTGGTTTGTTCTATGACGTTTCCATATTCGCAAAAGCGGGTCAGTGAAATTTGTGTTGATTGCAGTAACTGTTTCAAAACCGATATTGTTGTTTATTTTTATTTGATAGCAAATTCTATCCATTTTACCTATAATAACAGTAATGCTATTTTTCAGGGCATTATCATTTACAGAAGCCCTTGATCTTTTCATGGAAGAGCTTCTGCAAAAGATAATGCCCTGAAAAATAACATTACCCTTATAATATCCATGGGGTTAGTTTGTTTGTTGACTTATGCCGCACTCAGCAATATTCCAGCTATATGTCAGCGGTCGGAAAATGGACCCGACAATCCTGTGATTGATATCATGAGCAACTATCCACGCTATCAGGGTACAACAATATGCACTCAACGATGTCACCACTACGCAAGACGGGTCCCCGTCACACATACAAGTGACCACCTGAGAGGGGGTCGCCCGTATGTGCGACTGCCTGTCCATGGACAACGGAATTCTGCATGTCACCGAGCCTGACATACACGAGTCACAGAGGACCAGTCTGCCCTGGAATCCCTACGGAGGAAGCACACAGTAAACATATCAGTACCTCACTGTAGCTTTTCACAGTCAGGTAACAAAGCAACCTATTGTAAAAAATCAAATACAGAAATAAAAATGAAAGGTACAGTAATGAAACAAAAGCCAATTCACATCAACAACATGAGTTGCAGAATGTGTTTCAAGTTCGGAGGTAAATAAGAAAATCAGCTGAAAAAGAGGTGATGAAACGCAGAGGACTTCTCAAGAAAATTACAGTTAGAAACATGTCTCCATGAAAGCTGAAATATCCCCAAGTTGTGAACATGCAACAGAGAAAGCTGAACGACGACAACGTGTCACACGAGTGATGGAAGCATGGAAAGTGTGACACTGGCGATGCTCCCCACATGCAGGCTGAGGGCGCCAGCGGACTTACCCAGGTGATGAAGTAGCGAGGCGTGTGGGATTTCACCGGCTGGAAGAAGGGAGCAAGTTACACCAAATGTCTCCTGTTTAGTTTCTCAGTGTAAGTAAGAATTGCCTATGATAGAGGACGGTTCAAGGTGTAACTTGGCTCATTTGCTGAAAGTCCCACACCATAAGGGTTTGATAATACGCAATAAACCAAGTCACTGAGCCTGACCACCTCGTCCATTTAGTCGCTGGGGACCTATTCTAACCTAAAGTCCCCACAGGGTGTGTGGTGTAACTTTGTATGGAATTAATTTATACATACTGGTATCATAATACCCGAGTAGCAATACACCATATCATTGTACAGGTTGCTTACACAATATATCCCAATACTCACACAGGCAACTGTAAGAATACAAGTACTACAATACCTCATAATACCTGGAACACTGTGTTTAGTAAATGATGCTATTCCTATAATATTAAAGTGACCATGAAAAAAACAACCAAAAACCCATGGCAAAATGTTGGTCTTGGCCCATCTTCCCGAGGCAAGAGAGTTATCTGACTTTAAAAGTTCAGTTTCCACCCTTGCCGAACTAGGCTGGAATTCCTGGGCTCGATCGTATACTAGCTATTACGAGTTATGTCCTTTCTATGCCTCTCCTATTGACCTATCAGATTTAACCTCTCTTATCACTTGCATTTGCTTCAAACAAAACGGTGGGGCACAGTCAAGACAATCTGATCGATAATCAAGATCTATATTGTGATAAAACGAGTCTTACATCGCGAAGTGCATTAAATCACGTGAGCACCTTGATTAAAAACATGAAAAGATTTAGAAAATATCTGTTGTCAACGAGTTAGCGGTGCACATGCTTTCCAAATCCTGCAGTCGACTGAAATCTGCATGACACTTTACAAACTGGATTTCGATTTCGGTGCTCGATTTTGATTGGACTATGCATAGACTCGTTAGTCCAGCCAAAATGTAACTCCATAATACCAGCCTAGTTTGGCAAGGGTGGAAACTGGACTTTTATAGTCAGTTAACTCACTTGCCTCGGGAAGATGGTCTTGGCCCTAAAGGGCCCATTTTGAAACTCTAAATGGCAAACATTTGTAGTGCAGGTTTTGTGTATGAAACTGTCACTCTTTCACTAAACTTGTATGTATCATGGTTGGTATGATATTTCAACTCTGATCAAGATACTCATCATTTCACATCCCAGTCATTGTTGACCACATAATACTGGAGGAAAGTGTGTGTGGGAATATTGGGAGGACATACAGCCCTGGTGCTACTACCCACCTGTACCTCGGGGGGTTTGGGCAGGAACTGACTCCAGGGGTCGGGGAGGGAGGCCTCAGGCTTCATGTTCTCCACAGTCTGGAGGGAGCGAGAGTTGATCTGGAGCAGGTGGCAACACTGAGACCCAAATGTTGTCTTCATGCTTTGGTAGTAAGCTTCCGCCCTGTGCAACAAATCAGGGTTTTGGGATAATATATACTGGATAATTGATACTGGATAATTAATACTGGTTAACATATACTGGATAATGGATAATTGATACTGGATATTAGATACTGGATAATATATACTGGATATTAGATACTGGATAATATATACTGGATAATTGATACTGGATAACATATACTGGATAATTGATACTGGATAGTAGATACTGGATAGTAGATACTGGATAATATATACTGGATAACTGATACTGGATACTAGATACTGGATAGTAGATATTGGATACCATATACGTGATAATAGATACTGGATAGTAGATACTGGATATAGATACTGGTAACATATACTGGATAATAGATACTGGATAGTAGATACTGGAAAGTAGATACTGGATAGTAGATACTGGAAAGTAGATACTGGATAGTAGATACTGGATAGTAGATAGTGGATGATATGTACTGGATAATATGTACTAGATAATTTGCAAAGAAAATACTTCCCCTGGTTATGTTTGTGTGTTTGTCATTTAACGCCTCACTCAGCGATATTCCATCTACATGACATGATGATGTATGCCTGGGAATAACCCAATCTAGACCAACCCTCCATGTGACTGTTTACAACCATGACCCTTCTTAACTTCAAAATGATAAAATGACCTTGCATAATAAGTGCATCTTATTTAGGACCATTAGGACCAAGTCAGCCATAGTTACAGGTGCCCTCCCATATTCCCTTAAATAACAAATGACTGATCCCCCTAATACTCCAAATAATACTCTATAATACTTCCACTTCTACACTCATGTAGCATGTATAGAGACCACTGTCTGGCACTGACTTACCTGGGCAGTTCGCCGTCACTGACGTCATGCAGGAGGACGTAGTAGGTGAGTATTCCTGGACAGAACCAGCGCGGCACCTTGTTGGGAAACTGTTGTTGCTGCTGAAGCTGCTGATTGGTCAAGCTGGTGAAGGTCGCAATGGGGTCACTCTGACCAGAGGAGGCCACAAATATACCTTGAGGTGGTTAAGGTTGATCAAACTTCTCTGACACTCTGTGAAAGCTCTAAATTTTTAGCGAGAGTTGGGTGTTATGCTGAAGTCAATATTATTTCATTTCCCTAAAAGTCAAGGTAATTGGGTTCAGTATTTCAGTTATATCATGGCATGGTGCTGAGGATCCTGTCATGACAAAGGGAAACAACTCTGCACATTGGAACTGGCCAATTCCTGTGACCGACAAGTCAAGTACCACCCCTCCCTGTGGTCGACATAGTCAAGTACCACCCCTCCCTGTGGTCAAGTACCACCCTTCCCTGTGGCCAACATAGTCAAGTACCACCCCTCCATGTGGCCGACATAGTCAAGTACCACCCCTCCCTGTGGCCGACAAAGTAAAGTACCACCCCTCCCTGTGGCCGACATAGTCAAGTACCACCCCTCCCTGTGGCCGACAGTCAAGTACCACCCCTCCCTGTGGCCAACATAGTCAAGTACCACCCCTCCTGTGGTCAAGTATCACCCCTCCCTGCGGCCGACATAGTCAAGTATCACCCCTCCATGTGGCCAAGTCAAGTACCACGGCTCCCTGTGGCCAATACAGTCAAGTACCACCCCTCCCCGTGGCCGACATTGTCATATACCACCCCTCCCTGTGGACAAGTACCACCCCTCCCCATGGCAGACACAGTCAAGTACCACCCCTCCCTGTGGCAGACACAGTCAAGTACCACCCCTCCCCATGGCCGACATAGTCAAGTACCACCCCTCCCCATGGCTGACACAGTCAAGTACCACCCTCCCTGTGGACAAGTACCACCCCTCCCCATGGCCGACACAGTCAAGTACCACCCTCCATGTGGTCTGCCAGACAAAGGATACACCCCACACAGTGACTCAGGTACTCGTGGTCCGACAGGGCAATCACATCGAGGAAACATTCCCTGTATGCCTCAAACCATGGAGTAGATGCTGAAATACAATCAACATACTGTATTTTCTCCAACTAATGGTAATAATGGTAATTACCTAGGCGATCTGTAAATGATTAGACATACTTGGTTCTAAACCATTTCTGAAGTAAAGGGTGACGACGGTGCGCTCCCATATCCAATCCATGTGGAAAACAGAGACACTGACTACGATAATTACGGTATTAATATACAGCTAAATTAACATACAGCATGCAATTTCAGATGAACAAGAACTTACTAGAACAATTTGCTATGGCCTATACATGTTATAGACTCCCTTTAAAATGTTTAATAAATAATAATAACCCATCACACTTGTCTGTTGTTTAACATTTGTAGAAAAAATAATCAATAATTTCCATTAAGATTTTACTAGTTAACCAGCATGAAATACTCATATCCCCCACCAATATGACATGTTCGGTTGTGTGCAAGTAAAAAAATACTGTACGTTTCCAAGATCTGCTCTGGAAATAAGCACTACCACCATTTTCAGTCTAAGTCAAAGTCGTTGCTATGGAAACTTGAATAAATTTTTCAAAAATCCCAAACTATCAAAAGGCACCAGTTCATCACTAGACCTATCTATGTGCCAAGTTTGGTTAGGATACCCCTTATGGTTTTTCGGCTCTGCTCCGGCAACGTAACGGATGGGCAAAGGACGGCGGACAGCACCCATTCCTATATCCCCCTTCCACTACGTGGCGGGGGATAATTATCCATCATGTCTATTGTTTAACATTTGTTTGAAAAAATCATCAATTATTTCCATTAAGAATTTTAAGTTAATTATGAAACTTTAGCACCAAGACTTCAGACACAAGGATGATGTTACAGAAGGAGCTGTAGGTCACATCACATTGCCCTCCCCTTCTCCATGTTCTCCTCCCTCTGTGATCGTGCCAGAGCATCACTGAACATACACATAACACTCACCATGGAGTTGCAGGTCATAGTTGCCAACTGACATCATATTCCCCGCTCCTCTCCCCCCATCCCCCGTCTGTAACTGTGATCCCGCCACGGCATCACCGAGCATCTTCTTGGTGGTCGCCTGTTGAGGGGGCGTGGCAGACATGTCGCAGGTGCTGATACGCAGGTTGTGGATTGAGTGGGACACATTGTTGGGGTCTTTGATGTGAACTGAAGAACAGGAATGTTGGGAAATATTATTGCTTTGATTTGGTCAGCATGGAGAGAATGGTGAGTGGGAGAATATGGTTATATATATATGCAACATTGACATTTTCTTCGATATGAACATTGCATTCATGATTATTGCATTCATATAGCAACGTGCATGCAGATGTGTTTGTTTGTGTGGCTGCATGTACTAATCCAGACTAATGCCGATTTTATAGTGATAGCCAACTGAGATACCATGCTGCAGTTTAACATGAATACCCAACTCAGACTCCGAGCCAACCAGTCCTTGTTTTAGCCCCTTAATGCTGAGCACCAGGCAGGGTATTAACAAATACTTTTAACATCTTTTGGTATGACGAGTCTGGGTTGAAACCCATGACCTTCAGCTCTCCGGGTAAACACTCTATCCACTAAACCACATAGGCAGTCTATGTGAACATGAAGCAAGAAATATTAACAAGAGAGCAATAGTCAGTGTGTTCAGTGAAACACCTACAAGCAATCGAACAGAATTTTCCAGATTTGAACACAAACCGATTTTCACCCTCTCTCAAGCCTAAGATAGTTTTGTTTCCTGAGAAGGTTGAGTCGCGCCATATTATTTGTGAGGAAAGCGTCTTTTTGTAAAAAAAATAGTGCTGAAGTAAGTATTTGTGTTTGTTTCTGTTAGATGTGATCTAGTTTTCCTGAACTTGGCATTGAAACAAAGCAACATGATGCCAATCAATTAATGTATTATGATAGATTGCTTGAGATCATTTATCATGATTTTTCAACCAATATTCAACACTAATGTTAATAATAGTCCTTTTGTTCATGTTATTTCATTTGTTGTTTAATTCCGCATTCAGCAATCTTCCAGCTATATGACAAAGGCCTGTAAATAATCAAGTCTGGAACAGACAATCCAGTGATTAGTATTATGAGCAATGATCCACGCCATCGGGGTAGATAGAGATGCTACAAACTCCTGAGCCTGACTACTCACTCCATAACGTCACCCGTGAGACAAGCATACATTGCCACAGGGTCATGTTCATGATAAGTACTGACTATCATCATGATCATTGCTTATTTGCAATACAAATAACTACTTATGACGAGGTCAATATATGAAAACGAGGACCTGACCAAGGAGGTGGTCTGACCAATCAAAGCAGAAAATAATGGATGATGAAAAACACCTCTAACAATGCTCACAATGTTAAAATCTTAATAAATTGTATTGTTTTGAAATTGTTCAAAACTATATTATTTGTTCCTCACTTCTATTCTTGTTTCAAATACCCCAATCATAAATTTACCAATACTGTCCTTACCACTGCACTGCAATGCTGATACTATAAAACTTTAAAAGTGAAACCTTTTTCAAGAAGCTAGATACTGTCAGATATTGAAGTTAATCAAATGGAAATGATAAGGGATGGATATTGGAGATCTGTGTGTATCACAATGCTTTGCAATGCACAAGGCCGTATTGCAAATGTATCATGATATATTGTATAATTCTAAATTTTGAATTCAGAAGCAATTTGATACATTAAGGTATGAACTGAAGTTCATAAATGGAACAAAACAAGATGCTGGTACAATATGATGTTACTCAGTCAACAAATACACAGCCATCTTGGGGCCCCAAATGCTCGCTCCTGGGCAGCGAAGGCTTTTGGCAAGTATATAACATTAATCACAAGATAAAAATCGCTATTTGAAATCAAGCAGGAAAAAGTGATATTGCGATACGTATCGTGGAAAAATGAACTTCAATTTACCAATATACCAATAATACCGTACACCCTTAGAAATGATACATGATGCAGGGATCCTGATAACTTTTTGAGCAATTGAGTTTTAATTCTAGGGTTTCTATTTTAAGTGGGTTATTACATTCTTCAATGGGTAAACAATATTTTTTCACTCATCTGTTAATCACTCTATTAGGTTTTTCCAAAAATTAGTGAACATTTTTAGATTTTGAAAAAATGACAATGTTTTAGATGTACATGTATATGACTATTCTATTCTAAATATATACAGAGCTCCAGATAAGCTTTTGGTGTTGTGGGTATTTTACCCATGTATTTTAAAATCATTGGGTATCAGTAATTCTATCTGGGTATTCAAATTTCTGTTACCCACTTGTTTTTTCACATGTGGGTATTTAAGTTAAATATTTAAAAACACTATTTATCTAGTCCCTGCAAACTGGTGTCGTGTGGGTTCGAGAGCTTTATCAGACTCAAAAATACCACGATACTTCCACAAGAAAGTGTGATGGCAAATGATCATGATGTAACTGTCATCATGGAGTTTGGCAAGGTTGACGGAATGCCCGTTTATAATTTCAAAATAAGTTGCTGATTTGCTAATCGAATACGCAGGGTTACTTCACAATTTTGATGATATGCACAAGTTTTATTTTTGTAGCGTATGTGTAATGTTCGTTGCGTATTTGATACGCTTGGATTTTATTTTACTGCGTATTTCTGCATTTCTGATGCGTATTTCACGCAGATACGCAGCTTATCTTGAGCTCTGTATATAGGATTCACTCGGAAAGTAAATTAGCTAGTAATTGTTTTTCGGAAATTAGCTCCTTTGTACGCATGCTGAAAAAGTGTCATTGGGTATTCACACAAGCTGTTTTTATACATGTTTTTCATTTAACATGTTTAATGCATGCGTTTCTGTACGCAAGCTCATTGAAAGTAACTGGGTTTTGAATATTTTGGGGGGGTATTTTAGCAAATATGCTGCTTATCTGTAGCTCTGATGATGTTTTAACATGAATCGGTCTGGAATACTTGCAACATTCGGTTAAACATGTTATTGGGCAAACATGACATTTCCAGTATGGCTGCTGTGGAGGGACCGTCCTAACAAGTTTCAGCTTCATAGGCTCACCTGAACTGAAAGTCCTATGTTCAATGTTACATGTTTTAATTACAATAATGTTTTCAGTTTCGCCATATTCAAAAGGTATTGACAAAATTCAAGGTGGTGTTAGAATCTACATGATCACTACACCTGCTGTGTAAATCAATGCACGATACATCAGCTGTGTGGCAATACAATATTGTATGATTGCTTTTTCCACCTATTTAACAATGTTTAACATTTCTAACGATAAGCAAAAAATGATTAAAAATACTACATTTGAATGAACATGTTGAACACGTTGAAGTGAAGTGATCTATGATTAATCTCCACATGCATCAACACGATCAATACGAAACAAAACTTATTGAACTCCAACATGTTAATCATGACACTATTGACAGCCACATCAGGGTTACCATGGTTACAAATTCCTTGTATTAGAGTGTCAACATGGTCAGTGGTCATGATGGTACGGTCATTATCCCAATGGCATGGTTAAAATAAGTTCCTGGTACCTGAACAGCACAAAGAATATCTTTTAACAAAAATAGCTTATGATCATGATCATGATGATACTGAATATAATATGAAACCCGAGATAAAGTTACTTTTGAAACAGAACTGGACAAACACATGGAAATTAATAACGTTAATCATGTTAATGATTGTATGAACATATGTTTGTTTGTTTTGTTTGTTTGTTGTTTAATGTCGCACTCAACAATATTCCAGCTATATGACCGAGGTCTGTAAATAACTGAGTCTGGACCAGACAATCCAGTGATTGATATCATGAGCATCGATCCATGCAATTGGGATACGATGACATGCATCAACCAAGTCAGCGAGCCTGACCACCTGATCCTGTGAGTCGCCTCTTACGACAAGCAGAGTCGCCTTTTACTGCAAGAATGTGTTGCTGAAGACCTAGTCTACCCTGGATCTTCATGGGTCACGATGAACACATCTAATCATGTTATTACACAGTATGCAGTGACAGAAACTAACAGTTTTAGCCCACTAGTCCTTATAATGATGACATATAGCAAAACCCATAAAAACAACAAATTTCTACTGGTCAGGGTTAGAAATTGGCATTAGTCCTGTAGTCCTGGCCGAACTGCCGAATAGTAAAGGTATCATAAGGACTAGTAGAAATTTGCCATTTTTAAGGGTTTTGCTATATGTTATCATTATAAGGACTAGTGGACTGAAACTGTTAGTTTCTACCACTGCTAGTAGTCCTTATCATGCTTATGATACCTTAACCATGCTAACTATAGGGCAGTTTGGCAGGACTAGCACCAATTTCTAACGCTGCAGTATGATTCACAAAATAAACCTGGGCATTCAGAAGTTGAAAAGGATAATCAATATAATCAATCTCAATGAAAGGAAAGTGGCAAACTTTCTAAATTACAACAGCTAACCTTGCTAGAAGATGATCAAATGTATTTCTTCCTGTAGGGAAACTTGATTCCAATTGGGCACGTCTATATGAGTGTCCCTTGGCACACTCGACAAAAACTACATGACTCCCAGCATTATATGTTTAACTAAATGCTTTGTTTGTTTGTTTGGTGTTGAACGCTGCACTCAACAATATTCCAGCTACGGTATATGACCCCGCTCTGTAAATGATCAAATCTGGACCAGACAATCCAGTGATTGACATCATGAGCATCCATCCACACAATTTGGATACAACCGATCCTGTTAGCATGGTTAGTCGCCTCTTATGTCAAGTATAGACGCTTTTTACGGCAAGCATGGATTGCTGAAGACCTATCAAGCCTATTCTGCCCCGGATCTTCGAGGGTTGTTTAACTATGTGCAGTCTGTGCCAAATACTTTTGAGAGTAATATACCGAAACATGGCTCTTTTCATCATTTCTACATGTGTTCTAGTAGATTTTAGCATTATAATATTGATTTGTACAGGCTCATGCTTTGGACAAGTGAAAGGATTTATCTAGGTCAGTCCAGAGTTCAAAATCTGTGCCCAAGTCTGAAGTCAATGTCATTACAAACTGGAACTACAAATTCCCCACTTCATGTACATGTAGTTATAGTCATAGCTATCTTATGGTGAGTGAGTGAGTGGGGTTTAGCACCGCTTTTAACAGTATTCCAGTTATATCACTGCGTGTCAGCTTAACGTGGGAGGAAAGCCCGAAGTGATGCAGGTCTCAGACGTTTACCACTTCGGTGAAACCCACGAGCACAGGTATGGTGCTGACAAACCTAGAAACATAATCGGGGCGATCCGGGATTCGAACCCACAATCATAGGTTTCTGGCGTGCCCAAGGGACACACATCTGCACAGCGAATTGCGGCGCCTTAGACGACTGGGCCCCCTGTGCCCCCGTCATGTTATGGCTTAGTAGAAGTGACTTTAATACCTCCATATTTGAGAAAATAACAACTTTAACAAAAATCCCAATTTTGAAAAGAGTTTTCCCAGTCTGCCAGTGAAGGGCCCTTAGTTTGGAATCTGTGATAAATCCCTGAAGTGACAAATAAATGCTGAGAATACCAGTGAATGATGACAACAGACAATTTTAGAGCTAGCACATTCAACCTTGTCAACATCCTCAAAACATGGTAAAGACTGGGGATGTCATCAGCATGGTTAGGGCTTTACTGGACACAATTCACATACTACTGCAGCCAATATGCACAAAATTGAGAATGTATGCAAATATTATCTCAAGGCCGTAGTTAACTTTTTTTGACAGGGGGGGCAAATATTTGCACAAGTATCACTTGTCCCCAACTTGTATATTCATGATTCAAATAAACTGTTTTCTATAAAAAATCCAGGGGGGGCAACTACGGCTGGCTACGGCACTGATTATCTCCTGAAGGTGCAGGTGAAAACAATACTGTATTATCTGTTTTAATAGTTTTTAATTGAAATGAGAAATTTAACTGACATTTCTATTCTGATAAGCAATGCAATCGACTGTGCATATCCAATTTCCTTACTTAACATGATCAATCACCAAGTTTAATTTACATGCCCGTTCTCCATTGTCCTAATGATGAATACAATGTGCCTCACGTTACCAGCATAGAGGTCAAGGTCATGGTGGTCCCCCTGGAACCCAAATGTTCATGACCAGGACCCCCTAAAAGTAGTACTGAGACTTGGTGACAGTTTACAGAACCCACATCATTATGATGACAGGATATTTTGACAGAGCCAGGTACATCTCTGTGTTATATCAGGGGTAGACAACATGATCTTAACCTACGTAGTCCACATCTCATTTTGGACTAGTGGTACATGTACCACTTCAGATATTTATGGCATTGTGATAGAAACAAAAGGCATTTGGACATGTTCAGCAATATGATGGCGGTCTGTAAAAAATCAAGTCTGGACCAGACAATCCAGTGATTAATATTATGAGCAATGATCCATGCAATTGGGATACGATGAGATGTATCAACCAAGTCAGCCAGCCTGACCACCTGACCCCATTATTCGTTCCATATGACAAGCATAGTCGCCTTTTACAGCAAGCATGGGTTTCTGAAGACCTATTCTGACCTAGATCTTCACGAGTTATCATGGCTACACATTATTTTGACATCAAATAACAATGAACATGATGGAGCCATGTCTAAATCTTCTATGTTAACAGGGATAGAAATTAGCACTAGTCCACACCAGTATTGACAATGTTAAAGGTATCCTACTTGTCCTAAGGGCCAGTAGAATTTCAAACATTTTTGGGTATACTCCATAATTTAATTAACATGACATGTACCGTATTCGACGTAATAAGCGCCCCACTCTAATAAGCACCCATGGCGATATTTGCTAATATACTGGCTAGTGAACAATCCCAATTAGCACCCCTTCCGATTGATCTATGTACACAAGACTTATTTATTTGTGTATAATATGCACTTGTGTGTTATATGCACCCTTAATTATGGGCAATTAAATTCTGGAAAATATATCTGTCGTGTATAATAAGCACCAACTTTTCTTTGTATCATTTCAGGCTGTCAGCATAAATCATGAAATTTACAATCTTTCAACTCTATTTTTTTTTCTCACCAAAATTATATTCTAATAAGAGCCCCCTATTTCTAATTTTGAGAGCGCCCTGGCTCTTGTTACGTCGAATACGGTATATATATGCTGTACCTGCTGAGACGAATAAAGAAGGAAAGAAAAAAGACAAAACAAAAAAACATTTTAGGGTATATTGCTGTTCATTCAATCAATATATTATCACTATTCAAGCTGGTCTTTATTGGTTTATTTCTATCCCTGCTGTTATACTACATGTACCGACCAAAACAATTCTAATTTCTTGTGCAACATTACTAGTCATTAGCTAGCCTGTCTACAGAATGGTGGAGCATATGCTGGAATTCACCCAATCAATAATGGCTATTGTTTGTACAGGTTGTATCAACTATCCAGATTAATCACCCAAATGAAACAAAGAGTATTATACTATATATAGAATCCTACATAACTTGCTCCAATCAATAATTATCCTTCGTTACCGTGACAATTGTACTAACGAGGCCCCACTGTCATTAACAAGAGTGAAACAATAAACTGTACATTCTGTATTGATGTATTGTACATTTTGTAATAGCAGGCAGCAGTGTTCATTTCAGAGTGCGGCCATGGGGACTTTTACACACAAATCTTTTTTTATGGTGCAAAATATAAATAAGGGCTCGACATCATATCCAAAAAATAAAATCTGTTTTCAATTGTACCTAATTCAACACCAAGTTTTATCAATTTTGCACTGGAATACATTATACACTTATTGTAACCTCCAAAGTCTTCAGTTAGCATTCAGTAATGATAGGTTTAACATGTTTTGATTCGATGCTTCAATTGCTAGGACCAAACAGCTTCAAGCTTTCAGGGGATTTCAGGTTAAAATAGGACCCCAGAAATCTATGCTTTTTTAACAAGATGACTAAATGGATCAAGGGGATTTGGAGACTTGTGTGTCATATACATATTTTTAATTGTTGACAATTTATTAGCAGTAATTGTATTATAAGGATAGCATATGGCAGCTTTACTTCCTGGTTTTCTCACCGAATAATATTTACATCTATCAAAGAATATTAAAAAAGTAATGGGTGTCAAACATGAATAATGTAAGGTTCTATGCATGTTAATAGTTTGTGAGAAACAGCTGACTGCTGTCTTTCACAACATGTTCAGATCCCCAAATTATTATCACATACAATCAAAAATAATTCAAAAGCATGATTTTCACTATCACAACCAAATATTGGCATCAACTACTCGAAATCGATATCTACTGTAAGTGAGTGTGTCAACAGTAATTAACAGATGACACTCATTTAATGATCACATAGAACTGATCACCTTGGCTTTGTAGACACACCCCTTTACACCTCAGTGTCGCCAGAATTGGTTGTCAACACGGCATGTCTAGTGTGATCAGTTTGATAAATAGAGTATTCTGAACAACAAAATGACACACAATGGAATATTCAAATGAAATAAACGCATTACCTTCTGTGCCTAAGCGACAAAAAGGCTGAACAAGTTGAGCAAAAGTCAAATTATTTTTCTGACACAAAACCTCTGCATCTTTGCTACACAAGACAGCCACATGCGGACTGAACGTGTTCTGGATAAACTCCGGTGCAGACTGTTTGCACTGTGCCATTGTTCCTTAAGATATTTTCCCTAAAATCACCATATTACAGATATTCTACTGTCTCTGAGAAAACTGAATGCATAATAATCCATTTGTGACATGTCGTCGGCCATTTTGATGAAATACCACTTCCGGGGGATTGAAGAAGGGAGATAATCGTGAAAACCTTATTTATCATGTTGGATGCATTCTTGGGAATTTTGCGTTCAAGCCGCCAGATGGCCTCATTTTATCACATACATTTTTAAGATTTGTATTTATTACTTCTATGTTAATCGTCATAAACATGCATAAACACAAATTTCTAAGACCCTAATCAAATTCTAATAAATATAGTTCATTCTAATTATGAAAACGATAGATGCTGTACATATATACCATTGAAAATGCAATTTTGAAGTTTCGCTGTAGTAGCTACATAGTTTATATGTTTTTGTAGTATTAGTTTAGTGACAGATCAAAATAATGTGTTTAAAGTGTGTTTGAAATGTCTACAGGCAGCAAACGTCGTTTATAGTATTTCTAATGCGGCGTTAAGCATTATTTACTCACACACTCACTAGTTTATAATATTAATTTCAATTTAGATCCACCTTCTTTGGTACGCGGCGTGATACAGCCGGAATATTGCTGAACGCGGCGCACAACCACACACACTGGCTCTCGGGTCACATTATGAAACCAACTAGATGCTCCCTGTGTTGTGTGAGTGAGATACAATTTAACGTCGCATCGGCATTATTTCAGCCAAAAAGCGACCTGTGTAAAATATCCGACATAGAAAGTCAGAGAATATGATCATCGTTATTTCTTCAAAAACGTCTCGTAATCGGCATAACGTTTCTCAGTATTTCATTATACAACGTTCCACCGTTCAGGTGATGCATTTCTGTTCTGGACAGCCTCCGTGGTCCTGTGGATAGAGCGTCTGCCCGGAGACTGCCTCCGTGGTCTTGTGGATAGAGCGTCTGCCCGGAGACTGCCTCCGTGGTCCTGTGGATAGAGCGTCTGCCCGGACACTGCCTCCGTGGTCCTGTGGATAGAGCGTCTGCCCGGAGACAACCTCCGCGGTCTTGTTAATGGAGCGTCTGCCCGGAGACAAACTCCGCGGTCTTGTGGATAGAGCGTCTGCCCGGAGACAACCTCCGCGGTCTTGTGGATAGAGCGTCTGCCCGGACACTGCCTCCGTGGTCCTGTGGATAGAGCGTCTGCCCGGAGACTGCCTCCGTGGTCCTGTGGATAGAGCGTCTGTCCGGTGACAACCTCCGCGGTCTTGTGGATAGAGCGTCTGCCCGGAGACTGCCTCCGTGATCCTGTGGATAGAGCGTCTGCCCGGAGACTGCCTCCGTGGTCTTGTGGATAGAGCGTCTGCCCGGAGACTGCCTCCGTCGTCTTGTGGATAGAGCGGTTTGTAAAATGACATGATTATATTCTTCAATTTGACCAGTTCTTTTCTTTTATAGATGTTAGATTTCCTTTTCGGGGTCTGAATTTCAAGGGCCGGCTCCGTGGTCCAGTGATAGAGCGTCCGCCCGGAGAGCGGAAGGTCCGGGGTTCGATCCCCGGCAGCGTCATACCAAAAGACGTTAAAAGATGGTACTTGTTGTTACCCTGTTTGGCGCTCGACATTAAAGGGCTAAAACAAGGACTGGTCGGCTCGGAGTCAGTATACTGTGTCTGAGTGGGGTATTCATGTTAAACTACGTCATGGTATCTCAGTGGGCTAGCACTATTAATTGGCATCAGTCCGGACTAGTAGTCTGGAAGTTGATTTAAGGTACCGACGTTTGCTACAATATCTGAAAAACTAGTGGACCTACTCCAGACAAAGTTGGTATGAGATTATTAAACAGTCATACATAACTGGATATTACATTTAAAGACAATCGGTGCATGAATAAAAAATCTGTCTATTTAGCTATCACTATATTTCATCAACAACCAGACCTGTTCGTCACGGGTGGAACGAGCATTGATTGTAACAGCCATCTGCATAATGCTACCCCTGCGTCACAGGGCCATATGACACAGTTGAACCAATCAACTCAACTCGAAAGGTTGCACGGGAATCACGCACGCACGAATACGGTGTTAGCGTTGGGCGTCTCAAGCAGTTATTTAATCATATTTATCAAATTATTTTTGCACTCCTTTTCAGGTCAGTGTTATTGACTTGAATGTATCATTCCTTACCACATTATTACATTTCATGCATCATGTTATTAGGTGTAATATATCATACGTAATTATTCATTTAGACAAATCATTGCTTTATGGTTTCGAAGAAAATATTTGGATATTTTCGTAGATGATTCAAGACTTTCGGGGCTGTTTCGGGTGAAAGAGAATCAAATTCTGAGGCAAGAATTGCACAAAGTGGACAAGATCCGATTATGACATGTACTACAAAGCACGAACCTGAAATTCGTAGACGATTCCTAGAAATTCTTTGACTAACAATTTTTTTTCTCACGATTCCCACGAACTACAACAATGTTTGGGAATCAAATAAGATATATTTAAGATTCTTAAGTAATGATTAAGAATATGTACGAATATGTAAGAATTCATATCCGTGGGAATTCGGGCTATTAAACGTCGTTGTGAAACAGGGGTATATGTATTGCACTATTCTTGGTTCCACGAAATGCCCTCGTCGTCAGATTCGGAGTCTGTGCTGTCACCTAAATGAACAACAACAGGCTGGACAGTATCTGGTCGGATACAGTCTTGTTTCCAATACTCTTCCTCAACTTTGATAACATGTTGGACACAGTTTGCCCAACGTACATCTGTAATTTCTCCCATCCCTTTCAAGACAATCTGCTTGACGTCGGCAAGCTTGAAGGTCTTATTTTGCCGTGCGACCATATTTTTCAAATCACCTCAGATTAGTTCGATGGGATTCAAGTCACAATGGTAAGGAGGAAGTCTAACACTTCGTGACCGTGTTCTCTCAACATGTTGTCAATCAAATAAGAGGGCGGGGGTTTGTTCTGAAGAACCAGTTGGTAGTAGTCAGTTTTTTTGGCTTTTGTGTGCCGAGCAATGCGGTTGTTGTCCAACCACTGACATATCTCACCTTTGGTGGAATTTGAGGTTGGACAACGGTTAATAGGATCTTGACAACTGTGATAGGGGACATTGTCCATAAACACCAAGGATTTATCAGGCAGTGCTAAGAGGAGCTGCTCCTCAACATACGCAGTGAAAACCTGACTATTCATCTCGGTATGGTATTCTCTGCCATCTGTAGATCTGGATCTGAACACTAGATCACACCCAGGGAGGAAACCTCTGTGGGAGCCTGCATGGAGGTCAATCAGGCGCTCCCCTTTACCAGGGGGGATCTTGCGCTGTGGCTCTCTGGTATCTGGGTGAGACCATTGGTAAGCCGCTGTGTGGCAGGCATTAACCCAGGTTTCGGCCAAATAGACAGACTCATAGCCTTCTTCTCGTTTCTTTTTAATTGTGCGCAAATAATTGATACGCAAACGAATGATATCTGGTCGTTCACACATTGCTAGTTTCGACCCTTTCGTCTTTTTGTACTGATATCCAAATTTGGAAAGGAGTTAACAAATGGTCCATTTGGAAATATCTAAGTCATGCTCTGTAAGGAGAATTTGTTTTAGTTTTCGTGTTGAAATAAATTCATTTTCTCGTGTTAACCGCCGAATCACGTCCCTGACAACTTTCTTATCAAAGGAATCTAACTTTAAATTCCTATCCTGTTTTGAGATGTCCCCTAATATATGTGCAGGGGAGCATGTGTTTTTATGAGTGTTCAAAATCTTAACTGCGGTTTGTTTGGGAAGCTGTAACGCATGCATTGTTCTTTTCGTGTACTTTGAAATGTCAAAGAAGGGCGAACGTCTTTCACTTTCAGCCTTAAAGTATTCAAATATTTTAACAACGAAACCTTTCGCATCAGCGGAAAGATGCTTGCGCTGAGACATCAGGAAATCTAATGATAACACCGTATTCGTGCGTGCGTGATTCCCGTGCAACCTTTCGAGTTGAGTTGATTGGTTCAACTGTGTCATATGGCCCTGTGACGCAGGGGTAGCATTATGCAGATGGCTGTTACAATGAATGCTCGTTCCACCCGTGACGAACAGGTCTGGTTGTTGATGAAATATAGTGATAGCTAAATAGACAGATTTTTTATTCATGCACCGATTGTCTTTAAATGTAATATCCAGTTATGTATGACTGTTTAATAATCTCATACCAACTTTGTCAGGAGTAGGTCCACTAGTTTTTCAGATATTGTAGCAAACGTCGGTACCTTAAATTAACTTTCAGACTTATACAAGCAGTCACACACTCACGCTCGCATGCACGGCGCTATATTTATAAGTGCAATAATCTTGAACGCGACGTTAAACCCCATTTCACCTCACCTCACCTATGAATTTCAAGAACCAATTATCGAATTAATAATAACTTTAGATATAAAAAATCGGCGTTAATAAACCCCCAGAACCTCTCAAGTTGGATTTAGTCATTCCCATAAACGTTAGGTACGTTTTGCTGTGCAGAGTGAGTGTGTATGTTTTTACGCCGCGTTTAGCAATATTCCAGCAATATCACGGCGGGGGACACCAGAAATTGGCTTCACACATTGTACCTATGTGGGGATCCAACTCGTATCTTCAGCGTGACGAGCGAATACTTTAAGCACGAGGCTACCCCCTACCGCTCCTTGCTGTACAGAGATACGCCTCTTTAGCGGGCGAGAAACCTTTGATCGTGAGTTCGAATCCCGATTCACCTATAGCTGGACACCCGAATTCTTTTATCACGTCCGATCAGATCTCGAAACAATAATATAACAATGAAGGATTCACTGACGAACAAAAGATTGGTTTGTTGTTTTACGCCGCACTCAGCAATATTCCAGCTATATGACGGCGGTCTGTAAATAATCGAGTCTAGAGCAGACAATCCAGTGATAAAGGTGAAACTATTTTCGGGAATTCTCACAGATCGCTTAATGATGTTTGCTTCACGCTGATTGGTTCGTGAAAGAAGTCATTAGCAACGTGACGTCATATGAACGCACTGTCGCAAATAATGGTCCTGACGTCACGAAAAAAATTGTATGACGTCGTTCTCTGCAAAAGAGAGTAGCTGAGTTGATCTGTCCATGTTAGCTCAGGAAACCTACAATTTTCTACATTTACTCAGAGTGAGTGAGTGAGTGAGTGAGTATGGTTTTTGTCGCTTTTAGCAATATTCCAGCAATATCACGGCGGGGGACACCATAAATGGGCTTAACACATTGTACTCACGTCGGGAATCGAACCCGCGTCTTCAGCGGGACGAGCGAACGCATTAACCACTAGGCTACCCGACCGCACCTCATTTACTCAGAAAAGAGAGGTAATATACGGATTAACCTCGGAGTTAATGTGGAAAGTTCGGCGCCAAGGCTCGTAACTTACAGAAGGGCTTCACTCGGGACAGAGAATGCTTAATTCTTCGTTGTCGTATCCATTTGAGAGGGTACGTACGTAAGTCTCATTTGAGTATCTTTCATCTTTCCATGGTTTTAAATGTTTTGGCTCAAATTACTAACAATCACCAGTGACCAGAGGGATGGTGTAAATCCTGTTAGGGTACTCCATGGTAAGTCCCCATGGTCCCTAGTATGATGGCCTAACTTTGGTTGCTGGTGATCTATCGCCCATGTTTATAGTGTATCGTTATGAAAAATCCAAATTTTATTTAAGGATTGACTGTGTATTTTTTTCGGTTCATTGAGGTATGAATCGAAAAGCCGATGTGCAAACTGTATGAATCCGCGTAGCGGATTCTTACAAAAGTTTGCACATCGGCTTTTCGATTCATACCTCAATGAACCGAAAAAAATATACAGTCAATGCTTATAATTAAATTCGACAACGTAAAACATGTTTTATCTACAATAGTTTAACCCAAAACAGTTGCATATATCAAAACAGACAAAAATGACGACATTGATAAACATTCCAGGTGTAGTAATACATACAGTGGCGTGACATGAATCAGGTGATCGTTTAATTTATGCACATAACTTGACACGCCTACACAGTCAGTAGCCAATCAACGGAGAGTGGGATTAAAACAATGTTCATTTGACCTGTCAATTAAGGCAATAGGCCAAAACAACTGCAACAGTCAGACTGTAACGAACCGGAAGAAATATGTCCGAGAGAAGGCGGCAGTTTCAAATAACATGGTCATTTACTGCGTGATTCAAACATTACTTCCCCGATTACGGTAAATCACAGTTGGAGAAATGCTAGTTATAAATGAAACCCGAAGACATGAAAGTTGAACCGGGGCGAGCGGGAAAAAAACAGGCGAGCGAGCCTGCACGTTTGCTGTTTCATTCATTCTCGGCCTCCGGTTTCAAAGGGTAGTTTGGACAATGCATATGCACGAAAGTCGCTAAATGTCCTGTGCATGACGATACACGTGAGCAGAAAGGGAATTCCCTCGACTGTAATATTGGGATTCCCCGACATTCCGAAGTAATAAAAGTAGTGCGCCGCGGTGGGCGTGGCTTAATTTTTTACATTCATTGGGAAATGAATGCAATAACACGTGACCAATTCAGCTAATCAGAATGCAGGAATTTCCATGAACACAACGAAAATTTAATTATGATTACTTAAACCATGACTTTTTACTGCCTTTGACCGTGGTCTAACTTACTGAATTATGAGTTAAAACACATCTGTGACGTCATTCCATTGTTTGAACGCTCCATTATTTTTCAGGAATGGAGAGTTGCTTGTCAACTGTACATTATCTTGAAGCAACATTTGAATTAATTTCCACTTGGAACAGACTGAACTACTTTTTACATTTATTTACAAGTGAAAATTTTCATGTTTTTCCGAAAACATGTGTCGTCAGCGGGGTTCGAACCCGCATCGTTAGATTTGAAAACGTGAAATTGTCAATCTCAGCCACTGCGGCACTTAAAGGCATGGTGCGAAATTAACTATTAAATATTTTCATAATTTTGCATAATGTTTAAAAGCTCAAAATAATATACTTATATTTTGTGTTAGAGCAGGCTACCCACAACAATGTTCATATTTATAGCAATTAGATAAACCTTTGATGAGAAAAAACAAATAAGGTAATATAAATATCGCTTGTTCGGGGCTCTATATTTCCTATTATACCCATCAGCATGTATTAACAATGTGCAAGCGATTGATAAATACTAGTTTAGAACCCAACGAAATTATGAAGAGCCGTGTAACATGCATTGTAAATGTCAGCTCGCGACGGAGCTTGACGCACGTGCAACAGCGGCAGAGAACGCAATCCGCGTACATCACGCAAGGTCGACTCACGCAGTATAAATACAGACAACAAAGGGTTCCGGTTTATTTTTCAAATATTTTCAACTACAGAATATTTTGTCAAAGCGTAAAAGTAGGGATGAGTTTTAAGTAGGGGAATATCCTCGTAACTCTCCATTCCTTAAAAATAATGGGCCTCTGCTCCATTATTTTTAAGGAATGGAGAGTTACTCGGACATTCCCCTCTACTTAAACACCACTTGGCAATGATGGAACTTCTTTTTCCCCCTATCATTTATCTTGATGATAGAACAATTTCATGAAAAAGGTTTCTCGCCAGCGGGATTCGAACCCGCGAAATCTGCACTGAAGGATAACGAATGTAGCCTTCTGCCACGCAGACATGGGAGAAATGGTATGAAATTAACAACTAAATATTTATTTACATCAGTACTAATTGTGCAAAGTGCGAGGTGCACGTGCGACAGGCCCGGGGAACACATTCCACATTCTTCACGCAGGGCCGATTCACACATCGTTCTCTCAGTTGAGCATATAGTTCCTGAATATCTTTCAAAGTATGTTTAACAAAAAAATGATTTTGGGAGCTATAAATGTTGGACATGGTTCAAGTATGTTAGACCACTCGGACCTCAGTGTCTAATCGAGCGCCTGACAGGGTAACAACAAGTACCATCAATTAACTTCTTTTGTTATGACGCTGCCGGGGATCGAACCCCGGACCTTCCGCTCACCGAGTGGACGCTCTACCACCTGACCACGGACGGGGTCTGAAACAGACTACTTAACGAGCTGGGTCTTATAACAAATGTTATATTTGGGATAACACTTTTTTTTTAGTAAAGTACAGATTCTCGTACTTTTGTGGGTTGAGTCCCGTCCGGGATTCGAATTCACACTTGCCAGACTGAGGCACCTAATCGCCAGCACACAAAGTCAGCGATCTAACCCACTCAGCCACCAACTGGTAGTCTAGATCACGTACTTTGAGTACCCTTCTGACAAGCGTAAATTGGCACGGCTTCCATGGCCGAAAGTAGGGTCTTGGCTCATTGTTTTTCACGTATTCGGACATATTAGATCCCCACTACCCCAAGCCTGTAGTAAAAGCCAGTTAAACTTATAACAGATTTGGGCGTTTAAAATGTGTGGTCCGACTGATTGTATGGCATCGTTCTCTGACAGATAGTTGATCGTGGATGGTTAAAATTAATAAAACATTTCTTCCAGGGACGCAAACAACAGTACTTCTGCATGATTGTCAAGCTGTTGACACAACCGCTTTGCCACTGGGACTGAGTGGTGGATTTATCACTTCGAAACTATATGTTTATAGAAATATCTTTTAATAATGCGTATCCTTCTCAGATACTTATATCATCTGTGATACGTCACCATCACATTAATAAAAAAAATAAAATTTATTACTCTTCCGGAGTGGGGAATAAATTAGATATACCTTTACTATCATCGCTGTATCGACAAATGTCGTTGTTATAGATGTCTGTCGTTGCTGACCTCCATGAGTTAGCCGACCCGTGAAGATTCCGGGGTAGAATAGGTCTTCAGCAACCCATGCTTGCCGTAAAAGGTGACTATGCTTGTCGTAAAAGGCGACTAACGGGATCGGGTGGTCAGGCTCGCTGACTTGGTTGATGCATGTCGTCGATCCGAATTGCGTGGATCGATGCTCATTTTATTAATCACTGGATTGTTTGGTCCAGACTCGATTATTTACAGACCGCCGTCATATAGCTGGAATATTGCTGAGTGCGGCGTCAAAGAACAAACCAACCAACCATGAGTTAGCCACAGCGTGTGGAGCTGGCTCAGATGAGATAATTCTCGGGCCTGACGGTGGAGGCTATTGAGGCTGCCATGAAATATGTCGGATCTCGGCTGACGCAGAAGATTGCGACTATTCGCTCTAAAAAAAAAAAAGAACGTCGTCCAATATACGACGACATCAAGTTGCGAGCGCATATTCGAATCACCAGAAATGACGTCATGATAGAACAATGTTTTATCGTGAAATAAACCACATTTCGTTCTTCACTGTTCTTTGCGATTCATCGCGTACCTATCTTATATATGGTAAAACATCCCACAACAAAGGTTGGCTGGTTGGTTGGTTGGTTTGTTGTTTAAAGCCGCACTCAGCAATATTCCAGCTATATGACGGCGGTCTGTAAATAATCGAGTCTGGACCAGACAATCCAGTGATTGATATCATGAGCATCGATCCACGCAATTGGGATCGACGACATGCATCAAAACAAGTCAGCGAGCCTGACCACCCGATTCCGTTAGTCGCCTCTTACAAGCATAATCACCTCTTACGGCAAGCATGGGTTGCTGAAGACCTATTCTACCCCGGAATTCACAACAAAGGATATGCTTTATATGTATAATATTTTAAAGAGGCTAAGAGGCTGTACATGATGTTTCTACTGGTAATTAAATACAGATAGGCATGTCGTCTGTGGGATAACTTCATGTCATGACAAAAGCTAGCCTCTGTGCGATGATAATTCCACATGTATATTTCCACAACAACAACGCTCACACGCATGGTATAAAATGTCTGTTTATTTGAAGTAGGGCGTCAGCCCCACATGCTTGATACAATCTCGGAAAACAACATCAGATGTACAATACCACATTATATATACAGAGGTCGGGAGGGCGCTGAACCATTCAGCAGCTCAATCAAGTCAGCATTAACAGTAATAACCTACCTCTAACAAACACCTACATCTACACTGACTGGGATCGGTCATGTGACCAGGTCCTGCACTAAACGTTTCATGCACGCACGCACGCATGTCAGGACATGTAGGATGGTCAAGTGGGTTTTTGTTTCACACACCACCTGCTCCGAATGGTGTGTGCTTCTGTTGATGTCTCTATGCCAGTTATGTCATGTGTTTAAATTTACATCAATACTCCCAAACATTACCCATTGAACTTTGTACTTAAGTGATTATCGTATATGAAGCCTTTATCAATATTCGTCATATTATGACCAGGACATCAAGAATGAGATTTACACAATTAAAAATAGGGAAGCGAAACCTGTTCTGTGGAGTGTCTATCCTCCCCCAAGAGCAAAACTAAGGTGGTGTTTTTCGAAGGTTTTTAACCGTAGTTTCAATTTCCGTAAAGACCTTTGTTCAAACACATTTCACCATTTCCCAATATTAAAGCTGGCAATGTGATCATTTCTATAACATGTCAATAAACTTATTTATTGTATTTCCTTTACCATCATGTTTATATATCAAACCAGTTTGAAAGAATGCAGCTTCCCTTGTACGTATATATACATGTTGAATTTTCGTTCTTATTCCATGCGATTGAATTGTTTTCTAAAACATAATTTTAATTAAAATTTGGGGCTAAAAATCAAAATAATAAATGTTAACCACTCAAGGGCATGGCTTCCGGTTTTAGAAATTACTGACTGGCATCATTCATTAAGTAGTTTGAGGCGCCAATGTCTGCGTTTCGATGGGTTACTATGGCAACACCCACATAATGCTTTGCAGTAGGTAGGCAAATGATAAAATATTATATACAAAAACAATGTTAAAATATCAATCATTAAAATTACAACAATTGCATTATAAAAAACGTCGGCACTCAGTCGTATTGTACATAAAATTACAATGAGATATAAAAGAATCTCAACTAAAACATAATCTACATCCAAACAAAGGCCACCGGCTCATTCCCATAACATACTTGTCTTCAAGTACGGCAGGTTCTAGTGTATAACCACTACAATATCACATAGGGTTATTTACTCTGTCGTACAATGAAATCCCGTAAACCCGTTAGTGATGTCAAACAGCCAGATTACTGGCCTTAAGGCTACCGTATGGCTATAACATATAGCCATCGTTTCTATTCTAAAATAACAATCTGTTCAGATTGCATGTGGACATGACGTTAAAAGATAAAAATGGTGGAATTGTTAATTTGTTTCATTACCTTGCATGCTAATTGTGTGATTGGGACTAAAATCAATCATTTCACAAAGAATACATAAAAATACCTCACAACATCTATAGATCTTGTCATGTTCTAATGAAATATATATCATTTCGTACAAGAAGCCTTTGTTTGAAAAATAGGTACATTTATAAAGTTATCAAATAGAAAAAATAATGGATTTGAAAAAGTATTTGTGTAAAATATTGTGATGTTGATTATCGGAAACAGTTATTCCTTATTCCCTATTGCGGAAGCTGACTGTAAATACCATCCTGATTCTAACACGTGTCGTTAGTCAAAGTGAACTATAGCAACAACCGGATACATTAGGGACTGGTCATTTCTTATGGGGCGGGCGCATGTGTGAGGGCGTGGGTAGGGGACTATCATATTTTGTTAATTTGTAAAGCCTTCACTTAACCTTAATGTCCCCTCCCCTTTAATTAATGACCAGTCCCTTATGTCACACTGGAGTATGGACAAGCCAGTTGGTAACGATTGATCACTGATGACCAGCTGATATTGACCAGTGAGCTAGTACAACAGTGGAAACAATGTATGCAGGGATATGAATGTGCTGCATAGTTAGTGAGGTAACCATTCACGGTTCATGCAAATATTAATTAACTGCAAGGTATGAATTGTGGAGACAATTATACACCTGAATGATCGCTTACAACAAGTACGGGGTAGTGCAAGGGATGATCTTGCTGGAGGCGGATTACACAGCCAGGGCAACATAACATTAATGTAAATCTTGTTTCTTAGCAACGACTTGTGTATTGATCACTTCTCACATAATCTACTTAATTCTCATAATTTATGAAATATAGTAGCTTCATATATCACACGAGTGCTGGTTTTACACGCAGTGAATAGTTTGAGGATTTCCCATTTCAGAGAGAGAGAGAGAGAGTTTGGTTTAACGTCGCTCTGAACTGTATTTCAGTTTTATTTAAGTTCATATATTTAGCTCAATATGGGCAAAAAGCCAAAGTGACCCATGTTGTGGATACTGGCAGGCCAAGTACCATAATCGGTTCGAATCTGTGATTCGAATACCTTACCAGCGAATACTGGTTCTATGAAGGGGAGAAAATTGGCAATGAAGTTTTCTTTTAATAGAGTGGGAATTGCTAAAATACTTATAGTTTTTTGGAGTAATGCATTTCAATCGGAAGACTGAAGTAGTTGTGATAAGAGTAGCTGATTGACCTGTCAGTATCATGCAACAGATGTTTCCAGTTCCATCATAATGTCAAGGACACGTTGGAATCATGCTAATGATCCTAAGCATAGTCTCTGTGGGTCAATTGCCAAAGAGTACCAGACTACCATGATCCGAAATATCCAAGGCGAAGGTGATGCCGAGTCGAACACATACGATCAGGTTAAAGTATGACCTTAACGCTGCACTCGACATACCGTCCACATTTGATCCAGGCTTTATTGGTCTAAATGCTTGGATTGCTCCGAACATGGCCCTGATATGGAAGCACTGATAATTACAATTACGCTGAAGATTGGCGCCAATACACAATATTATTCGTGAATACATCTGCTATGACAAGCACGGTATATTTACAGTGATTGTGTCAACACATATTCCTGATGACGAGCAGTGTTGAAGAGGTGATCTCTGTACCCCGGACAGATGCATTGACTTTGCACTAAAAACGATCAAGCTACATATTAGTCTAGAAAGGAAGACACATTAAACTATACACTTGGGAACTAATTAACAAATTACAGAAATGTCTGTTACACTAGCAAATGTACAGCACAGGTTTTTAATATTCAGGACTATAGATCCTTAACTGGTTGATTTCGACCGTGTACCCCACGCTCAAGTACTAGTATCTCCCATCGCTTGTCGTGGTGAAGAGTTCTCATAAATGCATAGACGTCCCTGTTAATGGCGACTTCGGGAGACCAGAGACCTCACCACGAGGACCCTGGAGCTGTGTTTATGTCCCAGCCAAGTTCAAGGGACAACATAACAGTCATTGTACATATGTTCAGTAGAGCAAGGCACAGTCGTTCTACTCAATGGGCGCCTGTACGAGTCGACACATTTGGATGACGATTCTGGAGTATCCTTCTTGAACAGATAAAGTGGTTTTGTATCCGGTCACTTCCTGGACAAAGTGTGATCCCAGAAAAGGGTACTGTGTCAACAAATTAAGATCACTACCCTCAAGCATCCTTCTTGAACAGAGTACCTAACTGTTTATCCAGTCATGTCCTGAACAAATGAAGATTCCGAAGCTCGAGCATCCTACTTGATTCAAGGGCTGGCTATCTGGCCACTTTCAGGATAAACTAGGATCACAGTTCTGGGGTATCCTTATGGAGAATCCTTCTGCAGCAGCTGACATTCCTCCATCTCCGTTTAAGAAATGGTCACGTTACCGTTGTATGACGATTTTCAACAACATTGAACCTGAGTTGATGACATGCATTTTTACTCAGAAATCTTGTCATTGCAATACTTTCCCGATTCATTTACCACACCTCTTTCTTGTCATTCAGACGTTATCTAGCCTCCTACCGTTACGAAGGCTGCACGTGATATAACCATTTTTATTTTAATATTCCGAAAATTCCATACCCAAGAACCTCAGAGCCTTGTAGTTCTCTCCACACCCTCTCCAAATTCTTCTGCATCTTCGTCATCTCGAACTCTCCGAGACGCCGAGACGGGCGGAGGGGGGAGTGCATGTGGTGTGAGTGGGCCAGAGATAATCTGGGAGATGGTAGGAGGCGGGAGAGGTGGGGGTGGTGGAGGCAGTTGAGCCATATCTCTCACAGGAATATCCTCATCGAGGATGTCATAGGAACCTTCACGCTGGAACGTGTCACTGCCAGAATGAGACTCCTCAGATTCCGAAATCAGACCTTCAACATCATCCTGCTCCTCTCTAGCTGAGCTGATGTAGGGTTTTTTAGGCTTCGGCGTAGAGTAATCTTCAGGAGGGGCAAGATATTTCGCTCCACGACCATCTCCGCGTTTGGACTTGTGGGGCCGTGGGGTCTCACTCGGCCTATCATCCCTCAGAACACTTGGTTCCCTTGACAACCTGTCCTCGCTAATTGCCCGGGATGGTGGGATTAAGGGTTCTCTTTCGTGATCGTAATCTCCACCGAAAATATATCTACGATGTTTTTCTTGCCATCTCTTCTGTTTCAGCTTTTCAACCTTCCGTTTCCTTTCGGCATCCTGTAAAGAGATAAATATACTCATTTTAGTGAGTGAGTGAGTGAGTTGGGTTTTACACCACTTTTAGCAATATTCCAGCAGTATCACGGCAGAGAACACCAGAAATGGGCTTCACACGTCGGGAATCAAACCTGGGTTTTCGGCAGGACGAGCAAACGCTTTAACCACTAGGCTACCCGACCGCCCCTATACTCATTTTAGAAACATTCAAATCTTATTGGGACATACCTAATCTGCATGAATTGGGTAATATAAACCATGTATAAAATTATTTTCAAAAGTAATATTAAAACCTCAGCAATAAGAGAGTGAGTGAGTTTGATTTCACGCCACTTTTAGCAATATTCCAGCAATATCACGGCACGGGGACACCAGAAATGGGCTCCACACATTGTACCCAAGTCGGGAATCAAACCCAGAGCTTCGGCCTCACAAGCGAATGCTTTAAGCACTAGGCTATCCCACTGCCCCCTTATCCATGTGTATCAGTCACAGTGAGCGGATGAGTATGGTTGTATGCAATAATCAGAACTTGTAAAACCATATCACAAATGGTCAACATATATTGTACCATATAGGGAATCAACCTGGGGATTTCTTTGTGGGGAGTGATGGCTTTATCACTGAGCTAACCAATTGCCTTGCATGAGTTAGAAGTGTCGGAAGATGCATTAAACTTGTGGTCAATAATGTGAGTTTGGATCCATGCCCATTGATACACACTTGTTCATCCTAATTCGCACCAAATTATGCGTCCCAGTAATATGCGTACATGCCATGAGTTGAGATTTATTCCACGTTTAACAATTATTCCAGCTATCACAGAGGACAGTCTTCACACATGGTAAACAAGCATAGTCGAAGTCATCTATATCCCCTGCCCATTTTAACACATTATGGTCCCAAACCAGGTAACTGACCCAACATTTCTCTTAGCGAATGTCAAATAGCTGCAATGGAAATTCTAAAATAAACATTTCTAGAACTCCTTAATATCAAATGGCACCACTTCAGTATGCGCTTTATATATAGACATGCAATGTTTGGCAAGGAAATACTAAACAGTTTCTTTGTTATACTCCATAAGTGAACCCACCCTATATCAAAACTTAAATCCAACTTGTTGCCATTGAAACAGAATAAAAATTTCTAAAAGTGCTAAACATCAAAAGGCACCAGTTCAGCAGACAGACATGCAAAGTTTTGTAGAGAAATATTTAACGGTTTCTGAGTTTAGCTCCGGAAACGATTTCGGGACGCACACACACACACGCACGGACAGAACCCATTTCTATATCCCCCGCCAACTTCGGGGGATAATAAAAGCGACAAAACCCTTTCCATAATCACAAATCGATTGTACGATTCTGACTACCCATGAGCGATGACGAGCCAACAGTTAACTTGGCTTCCTTCCGGCCTAACTCTGGACATGACTTACGTCTTCCTTCTGTTTCTTGGAGATACAGTTGACCTGGTGCAGGAGGTCATCGATCTTGGACTCTGTGGCATCAATGTCCACAGAGGTCAGGCACAGAGCGCGGTTCAAGGGGAAGAAGTCGTAGCTCTCCCTGGAAGCCTGAAAAGAGTGAATGAAAGTGAAATTTGTGTAACGATGAGTTGGATTTTACGCCGCTTTTAGCAATATTACGGCAGGGGACACCAGAAATGGGCTTCACACATCATTGTACCCATGTCGGGAATCGAACCTGGGCCTTCAGTGTGACAAGCGAACGCTTTAAGCATTAGGTTACCCCACCACCCTCGTATGACCCTAAAAGTTAGATGTTTACTGTTTATTGTGCATATGTACCATGCAGGTCGAGAATATGTCGTGTTTGTTTACTTGTTTCTTGTTTTATGCCGCAGTCAGCAATATTCCTCAATAAGCCTTAAATATACCAGTGGGTGACGTCATGAGCGATGACATGCACTCAACCAAGTCACGAAGCCCAATCAAATCAATTCAGACACCTTTTCGACAGGCAATAGAGTGAGTGAGTGAGGTTTTACGCCGCTTTTAGTAATATTCCAGCAATATCCCGGCGGGGGACACCAAAAATGGGCTTCACACATTATACCCATGTCGGGAATCGAACCCGGGTCTTCGGCGTGACGAGCTAACACTTTAACCACTAGGCTACCCGACCGCCCCTCAGGCAATAAAGTGCTGGGGCCTATTCTGTGACTATAGTATTGTATGGTATCCATCACTGACCAGTTTGCTGACGTAGAGTTCAAGGGTGGTGTAGTCGCTGGCCTTGATGTCGTCCAGGTGAATGATGAAGTAGATATAGGCCCACATGTTGTGTTCATATCGCACATGGTAGTCGGAGCCCTGCAACAGATATGTCAGTATTGGGATTTGTTCACACATCCTAAACACATAGTAAACATACAGACAGACTCACACAAAACAATGCCATTCCACTTTGGGATAAAAAAAATATAACCAGATGTTTATGCAAAATGGGTCACTTTCGATCAGAATTTCTTTTTGTCTTATAGATACGATGAAACTATTTTGTTTTGAACAATTTCAGAGAAATCATGCAACAGTGTATTCAGGTATGATCCAACGAGGATAAAGATATGGCCGGTTGCCGTATGATTGTCTCAAGAAGAGGTGGAGTGAGTGAGTGAGTATGGTTTTAGGCCGCTTTTAGCAATATTCCAGCAATATCACGCCGGGGGACACCAGAAATGGGCTTCGGACATTGTACCCATGTCGGGAATCGAACCCGGATCTTCGGCGTGACGAGCGAACGCTTTAACCACTAGGCTACCCGACCGGCCCTATACTCATTTTAGAAAACATTCAAATATTATTGGGACATACCTAATGGAATACATCTGCATGAATTGGCTAGGCTAACCATTAGGCTACGTGACCGCCCCTAGAAGAGGCGGTGTCAAAAAGCAGCATTTACAGGACAATACAGAAATTGGCCTACCCTTCCATGATGTTCAAAATCGTAGCTGTTCCTGCTGCAAATAAAACACGTGTCTTTCATGTCCGACTCGGCTCTCCACTGAAACGAGAAAATAATGTGAATGAGTTGGTGAGTGAGTGGGGTATAACGCTGCATTGAACAGTTTGTCAACATAATGTGGGAGTAAATCCCTAAGTGTCAGTCGTTTAAGCCACCAAAGGTTTGGTGCTGACAGAACAAGGGTCATACCGGTATTAAAACCCACGAGTACCCGATCACAGCTCGGGATGAATCTCTGCCCAGAGGCAGACACACATTGCTGTTAACCCTCACATCCACACAAACACACATCAGTGGACATCACCATGTCATGCCAGAATATATAGATTTGGCAGTTCCAGAAACGGTTGATACATACCTTGAGATCTCTGAGCTCTGAGAAGGTGTCGACGATGATACCGAAGATGATGTTGAGACCAATGGTGGTGATGAAGATGAAGAAGGATACATGGTAGAAAACCAGAGGCCAGAAGCGAGAGAAGGAGCTTCCCATGGGGTTCTGCTTGATCTCCTGCAATTGCAATAGGTCATAGGTTATAGCCAAGAGATCATGTCACCTACAATAGGTGAGGTGGTGAGGTGAGGTAAGGTGAAATTGGGTTTAACGTCGCGTCCAAGATTATTGCACTTATATAGCGATGTGCATGCACGTGTATGTGTGTGTGTGGCTGCTTGTACTAGTCCGGACTGATGCCGATTTATAGTGCTAGCCCACTGAGATACATGCCGCAGTTTAACATGAATACCCCACTCAGACACAGTATACTGACTCCGAGCCGACCAGTCCTTGTTTTAGCCCCTTAATGCCGAGCGCCATACAGGGTAACAACAAGTACAATCTTTTAACGTCTTTTTGTATGACGCGGCCCGGGATCGAACCCTGGACCTTCCGCTCTCCGGGCGGACGCTCTACCACTAGACCACGGAGGCGGTCAACCTACAATTGGTCATTTGCAAGAGGTCATGTTGGTTGGTTGGTATACGTCAAGTCTTATATGGCATGTATATTCAAATTTCAAACATACCTAACATCTCATAACTATAAAGTACAAAATCAGACAGAACTTGAAGCATTCGTAAAATATCTAATATTTACATAAACAGTTCACTTTGGTTTTGATTTGGTTTGTTGTCTGTAAATAATTGAGTCTGGACTAGACAATCCAGTGATTGATATCATGAGCATCGATCCATGCAATTGGGTTCGATTACATGCATCAACCAAGTCAGCGAGCATGTAGGGGTCATGTACAATAGATTTTGTACCATAAGTCGAGTGAAACAGATTGTTTTTTATCGTGGAAAAGTTAGGTTCATAATTATCCATCTTGTTTGCAATGCTATCTGACTGTGAAAGACACAAACAACTAGTTGCTAATGCTATGTGTACTCACCTCAAACATATCTCCGATGAGGCCATATCTGATAACTGTCACGGTACACTCCCAGAGTGTAGAACAGTAGAGATATTCGTCCGGGGAGAAGTAGGAACGGAGGAGGGCGAAACCAATGAGCGAGTAGATATAGATGAGGATGAAACCGAGCACAGCCACCCACAGCAACGACATACCTGAAAGATAACACAACGACATACCTATAGTACAACACAATGCAACATCTCCAGTATAACATACGAGGGGTGTTCAATAAATTTTGCAACTTCAATATAAGACCAAGTCTCAGAATATCTTTTGCACTTTTATTTTTCAATTTAATCTCCATACACCTCAATACACTTATTCCATTTGTCCTTCAAGCTTTTAATACCTGTTTTCTAGAAATCCTCAGATTGGCCATCTAACCACGCCTCTGTGGCAGCCTTTATGTCCTCGTCACCCTGGAAGCGTCTTCCACGTAGGGCAGATTTCATTTGCCGGAGCAGGAAATAGTCACTGGGGGCTAAGTCTGGGCTGTACAGTTAAATCACCCACCCTACAGCCCAGACTTAGCCCCCAGTGACTATTTCCTGTTCCGGGAAATGAAATCTGCCCTACATGGAAGACGTGGAAAACTCGTATGCTTGTTGCATAGACTTGATACCCACAGGAACAGATTGACCTGGCACTGTGGCCCAAAGGCATCACAGCATTGCTGTTAATTCTCCTTGCAGTGTTTTATTGTAAGATGAACAATGACCACGAGTCGTTTATTTCTTAAATACATTTCTTCAACATGTGATGTCATTGTTGATGAAGCTTACCGTTGACTGTGACAGCCTTTATGACGCCGCTGAGAAGCTGATTGTTGTTGACGATGTTGAGGAGGTGGAATGCAAAGAAATAGCCATGGAACAGTGTTCCCGCTATGGACATACCAAGAAACAGCTACAACAGAAAGTGGAATATGGTCTGTTACAATTAGAAACCCCAGGGGCTTTCATACACGTACCTCTGTAAGTGTTTAGATTTCATGAATCATATTTTATCATAATAATGAAACTAGGTGTTCGGGGAAGGGGAATGTATGTCCTACCCTACCAACAGACCCGTTGTGTTACTGCAGGCAGTAGGGTTAAGTTAGTTTTGATAAATTTAAGAACATTGTCATGTTCCAATAAGGGGATGACATAGGTGATCTACAACAAACTTGGTAATTGTGATCGTACCAGACAACGTCACAGCTATACCGCTGACCAATAACATTGGCAGACAATGGGACTGTGGTATTGCTGACCAACAACATTGGCAGACCATGGGACTGTGGTATTGCTGACCAACAACAATGGCAGACAATGGGACTGTGGTATTGCTGACCAACAACATTGGCAGACAATGGGACTGTGGTATTGCTGACCAACAACATTGGCAGACGTCGTCACAGCTATACCGCTGACCAACAACATTGGCAGACAATGGGACTGTGGTATTGCTGACTAACAACATTGGCAGACAACGTCACAGCTATACCACTGACCAACAACATTGGCAGACAATGGGACTGTGGTATTGCTGACCAACAACATTGGCAGACAATGGGACTGTGGTATTGCTGACCAATAACATTGTGAGACCAGGTGACGGTGGTAATGCTGACAAATAACATTGGCAGACAACGTCACAGCTATACCACTGACCAACAACATTGGCAGACAATGGGACTGTGGTATTGCTGACCAACAACATTGGCAGACAATGGGACTGTGGTAATGCTGACCAACAACATTGGCAGACAATGGGACTGTGGTAATGCTGACCAACAACATTGTGAGACCATGTGATGGTCGTCACACGGAACAGTGACAGACATAGTGGCCAACATGACGTACCAGGTAGTAGAATGTGGTGAAGCTGAAGAAGTTGATGTCCAATTTGGAAACCTTGTCGTCCTTCTTGGAATCCTCTTCCTCTTCCGGGCTCTGACTCCCACAAAGCTTCCTGCAAACAGACATTAAAGAACATACATAATGGGGCGGTGGTGTACCCTAATGGTTAAAGCGTTCGCTTGTCACACCGAAAACCAGGTTGATTCCCGACATGGGTACAATGTGTGAAGCCCATTTCTGGTTTCCCCTGGCAGGATATTGGCATAAAATGATGTAAAACCAAACTCACTCACATCTTGGAAGACTGTTGCACATATGTGCAGAACCTACTGGCATTATTACCCATCCATCTGTAACCTCGTGTGGCATAAAAAATAGAATCTGACATCGTGAAAAGCATTCTGGGTTGTATTCACTGTGTTCCGCCATACAGGCTGTATTGTGGTGCAGTGGTGAAAGGAGGAACACAACTTACAAAAGTCCAATGAAGCTTGCTCTGAACAGTAGCCCTTAAAAACATTGCCTGAAGCTGATTCAGAAGCATTGTCCAGAAGATTTTGGTTTGGTTTGTTGTTTTACGCTGCACTCAGCAATATTCCAGCTATATGACGGCGGTGTTTAAATAATCGAGTCTGGACCAGACAATCCAGTGATTAACATCATGAACATCAATCCACGTAATTGGGATCGATGACATGCATCTACCAAGTCAGCGAGCCTGACCACCCGATCCCATTAGTCGCCTTTTAAGACAAGCATAGTCGCCTTTTACGGCAAGCATGGGTTGCTGAAGACCTATTCTACTCCGGATCTTCACGGGTCCATTGTCCAGAAGGTCAAAGGCTATTGCCCATGTTGTCAAGTGAGACACAATGCCGTTTATGCCAAGGCCTGAGTCACAACATGGTATGTAACCGACCCTAGTATGTAATCACGGGTGCTGCAGACAGTATTAAAGATGGAATCTGAGAAACATTAAATATCTTACCTGAAGTATGATTTGATGTCAGATGTTCGCGGCAGTCGCGGGTGGTTAGACAGGAAGTAGCTGATGAGGACAAACAGGGAACACAGGTTGTGGACGCCCCCGAGCGTCCATAACGTTATCTGGTACTGGTCTTCTCGTATACCTTCAATACGAGGCTTCGGACTGAAACAGGACATGGCGAATTAGGGAGAAGCTTGTGTGTGTTTGCGTTGAAATTTGCGCCGACGTTTTCGTTGATGCTTGCCCCAACGTGTACTGAGGTCAGTCATCTACAATAGGTCATGTACAATAAGTACACGTGCTTAAGATTCAGATTGCAATTGATTTACTTGCTATACCAGGGAATACACAATATTATTAGTACGCATGCACTGTGTATAATCACGGCATGTCAGCTTAATGGGGGAGGAAAGCCCGAAGTGATGCAGGTCTCAGACGTTTAACACTTTGGTGAAACCCACGAGCATGGGTATGGTGCTGACAAACCTAGAAACATAATCGGGGCAACGATATGGGTTGAATAAATAGGCGTAAAATCATATTAACACACTTATGAATATAACCTAGTTTGACTAAGCACCAGGGCCGTCAGGTAGCCTAGTGGTTAAAGCGTTCGCTCGCCACGCCGAAGACCCGGGTTTGATTCCCGACATGGGTATAATGTGTGAAGCTCATTTCTGGTGTCTATTGCTGAAATATTGCTAAAAGCGGCGTAAAACCATACTCACTCTCCCAGTCGATAAGCACCAGATTGTTACCAATGGTTGGTTGGTTGGTTGGTTGGTTGGTTGTTTAATGCCGCACTCAGCAATATTCCAGCTATATAATGGCGGTCTGTAAATAATCGAGTCTGGACCAGACAATCCAGTGATTGATATCATGAGCATCGATCCACGCAATTTGGATCAATGACATGTATCAACCAAGTCAAAGAGCCTGACCACCCTATCCCGTGTTACCAATGGTAAGATACAGAGATGCATGGATCACTTACTCGTAGATTCCAGGACACAGCAGGGTGGCGTTCTCTGGATTATCCTTCAGAATCTTCCCACAATCCTCCATAGACGATTTGGCATTCCAGGTGACCAGCATGAGGATATTGATGGCGATGCTCAGAATGATAGCACCATAGTTCCATAGCAACCTGATGAAGATGGGAAAATAGTCTCCATTATGATCTGCTAAAACTCGTAACAAGAGGCATGCACAATAATTCAGCAAAATCAATTCATATCTACTCTTAAATTAGATTATGTCCGGTGACTGTTGATCGGATAACTCTCGTATCACAAACTGCCATTTTCGTAGAATTACGTGCGTGACAGACATCTGTCTTGGCAATGTCTCCTTGGATGTGACAGAAGCATCATTATACAGCCATGTATGTATTAATGATATAATTCAAAGTGTCAACACCTGAGAATAATTAGCCTTGATCATCTGCCGAAACAGATTCCATTGGCAATAAAAGGCAAAGTAGTGATGGCAATTATATGATTGGATCTCTGAAAATCAGTGATGACACCAGGTGGTCATAAACTAAACTAGTGAAACATTTATCTAAGATGACATGCAATAGAATGATGTCACAGTATTATACTAACCATCCCTTTGTAAACATCTTTGCTATTGGGTTGTTCAAAATCTTCCTTTGATAGGAGATATCACCCATGATATCACGTGTCCAATTCATTAGGTCCCGGATCTTGTTGCTAGGCGACGACCTGTCCACATTCCATTTCAGTTTCTCCTTCACTTCTTCTCTGAGAACACTCTGTGAACACAGATGCAGATTAGAACAGCACTAATTCAGGTGAGGTGAAATGGGGTTTAACGTCAAGTACAAGATTATTGCACTTATATAGCGACGTGCATGCTCATGTGTGTGAGTGGCTGCTTGTACCAGTCCGGACCGATGCCAATTTATTGTGCTAGCCCACTGAGATACCATGCCTCAGTTTAACAAGAATACACCACTCAGACACAGTAAACACTCCTAGCCGACCAGTCCTTGTTTTAGCCTAGCCCCTTAATGCTGAGCGCCAGACAGGGTAACAACAAGTACCATCTTTTAACATCTTTTGGTATGAAGCGGCCGGGGATAGAACCCCAGACCTTCGAGTCTCCAGGCAGACGCTCTACCACTAGACCACGGAGGGGGTCTCAGCACTGATTCAACATAAAGATGGGTTAACATTGTTTTATATAGGAGAGGAGCACTGATGACAGATCATTGCACTTTCAGGACAATAGGCATGCTGGATTTCACCAAAGACACATTTAAGACCTGAATCTCTTTGGGATTTCCTTCCACATTAACCTGATGCACCGAGATGTTACTGGAATACCGTTCAAAGCAGCATAAAAAACATGTTACCCGCTCACTCTTCATTCGACAGGGACTGGATAATAATGATTATGGGTGCAAATTCAGATTTCAACTTAATGTTTTTTGTTTGTTTGTTTGTTTGTTGTTTAATGCCGCACTCAGCAATATTCCAGCTATATGACGGCAGTCTGTAAAATGATCGAGTCTGGACAAGACAATCCAGTGATTGACATCATGAGCATCGATCCACGCAATTGGGATTGATGACATCTATCAACCAAGTCAGCGAGTCTGACCACCCGATCCCGTTAGTCGCCTTTTAGGGCAAGTATGGGTTGCTGAAGACCCATTTTACCCCGGAATCTTAACGGGTCTCAACTTAATGATTACAGTGGGTTATACAGACATATTCCTAGTTTCAACTTGATGTAGCATGGACCTTGACCTTGACTGTACAAATCTTCGTCTGAAGTCAGTACACGTCTAGAATAAACACACACCTTGTTCTTGACCCTGAAGTTGACCTTCTGGAGGACATCATCTTTGAGTATTTCAATGGAGAGCGAGTTCTTCTTATAGTAGTCAAAAGCACGTTGGTTTTCAGGGCTGAGGTTGAGGGCTGAAAATGCATTTGAAAAACATGAAATGTTAAATAACATGGGATGAATGTAATGAGAGGGTTAGTCCTGGTCAAATTCAGCACAATCGAAGCTGTAGCACTGCCATAACATTATTGGCCATGGATGAGACCAACCAGTGACCGAAAGTATGAACATAGAACCAATTCGGAGTAATGTTTTTCCAGATAGCAGCTGACAATTCTATGTTTAATCGTCACCAAGGACAAGCATGGGATACTTGGAACTTTTTCTTGGCACTGCACATCCGAAAACAAACTACAAAAAATTGTACAAAAAAACAATACTGGTGGTTGGAATGCACTTGAAGAAACTAAACGAGACTCTCGGGAGACCCTATAGTGTGTAATAACACGTAGCCTTACTGTCTACTAAATGGCTGTCGATGTCGATCATGCGCGCGAGGATCATGTAGAAGCTGAATCCGACCTCCATCACAGTTTCACGAAGAGCATTCCTCTTCTTCCCTTTCTGTACCATGAAACAAAGAAGCATTAGTATATTTGTCCTTGCAAACATTGGTGCATGTATTATGTTCTCAGTGACACTAATGACTCGGTGACCGCCTTCATGGTTATGTGGATAGAGCCTAATAGATAGAGCCGCGTCATACCATAAGATGTTAAACAATGGCACTTGGTACCTTCTTGGTCAATCTCATTAAAATCAGATCTTAGTTCTCGCTATCGCAAGACAAAGATCTGAGGACATCCCATTACAGGTCACGTCAGAATGACCTTTCATTTGTCACTTACCAGATCATGAAAGTGACAGTCAGAATGTGTTTTCTAATCATGCAGCCTCGAAAATGTTAACACGGGGTATTCCAAAGACAGTTACGGCCCGTACGACTGATTCTGTCAAAATTATCGTCCGTCTCTCGCATCAGTGGGATAAATATTTGAATGGAGGAGGTGTTGCACAGTACGTGGGAAGCAGTGCCATACAATTGCAACCATATGTTAGACATTCTGGAGTGTTCAAAATTTTAATCAAGAACTGTATCAAGATATTTTTCAAGCGTAGTCTGTAAAGGAAGTTGCCAGGTTGAAATGAGTGCCATAATGCTCGAAAAAGCTGCTTTCTAATTGGCTGATGTCGACTGCTTGTTAGTCATTTCAGTGGTCGGTCAAAGTTCGCGAAAGTTCGTTCTGAAATGACCCGTAATGGGATGTCCTCAGATCTTTGTTTAGCGGCAGCGAGAACTTAGATCTGATTTAAATGTTTTTTTCATATCAAAAGATCTTTAAATATATGCATTGGAATAGCAAGAATAAAATTCTTGTTGGCAGTGCAAAGTGTCTTATTATCAGTCTACATAGAACAAGAAAATGACAATGAGATAGAAGAATAAGGTCATACCACAACGCCCTGAAGTATACTTCCGCCAAAGGCTGCGATAGATTTAGCTGATTGCAGGTAACCGCCGTTTTCGGTGGAACGCACCAGCCCCTCCAGCTTGGGTTTCTCTGATTGGTGCATTTCATAACAGACCGTCATGCATCTGTACGCTGCTTCCTTGTCAAGTGCATCCTTCACTTCCTGTTAACGGAACAGTTTATTAGAGATATATCAGAACATGTGTTACGTGTTAAGCGAAATGCACTTTGAAGTTCACATAAGCATTGTTGTAGAACAAATGCAGTGAGTGAGTGAGTTCAGTTCAACACACTTTTAACAGTATTACAGTTATATCGCAGCGTGTCAGCTTAATGTGGTAGGAAAGCCCGAAGTGATGCAGGTCTGAGACGTTTACCACTTCGGTATGATGCTGACAAACCTAAAAACAATGGGGGCAAACCGGAATTTGAACCCACAATCATAGGTTTCTGGCGTGCCCAAGGGACACAACTCTGCACAGCGAATTGAGGCGCCTTAGACGACTGGGCCACTTGTGCCCCGAGAACAAATGCCTAAATGTATTGACATGAAACACCTTGAAGTTGTAAATAATTGGTTACGAAAGTTTATTTATTATCTTTAGACACTTTCGTTCTTTCAACCAAGATTGTTGACGACCGTTTCCTCACCTTTGCCACCTGAGATGCTCCAGGGCCGTTCTCCTCTATGAGGGAGATGATGAGGGAGGCAATGGTTTGCTGCAGCTCTATCACCTGCAATAACACACCGATATTCTCATAATGGGAATAAATAAAACGACAAAACCCTTTCCATATTCATAAGAAACCTCGAGTCGAAAGTCGATTGTTCGATTTCGACTAAATCATTTTAAAAAATCCTTCAAATCACACAATCATACAGCGCTCGTCAGTCTCAACATGCAATATTAATCCTACTAATACAATATTTTATTATCTTTTAGCACGGATAGATGATGTTGACATTTAAACTTTCCAAGCTATTAGGCATGCCTTGCACTAAAATGTTTTTGTCAACATTTTTGTTATAATTTCCTTTTAAGGCATATGTCCTTCATTATCACTGAAATATACCCTTCCATGTTCAACAGGGATGAGATTTACCAAGTCATTTTTCAAATTTAGTTTTAGTATTGTTTTATTTATTGTGAACGGCTTCTTGAGAGTTATCTTACCTTTTCTATTGGACAGTCTGCTATTTCTCCGGCCCTGAGGATGAAGTTGATGTAGTCGATGACTTTCTTGTCGTAGATGACGCTGCGATTCTCCTGGTTGCCCTGAATATGGATATGGCACAATTAGGAACAAGCCCTTACCGTTTGAAATAAAGGTTTATCTCACCGAGCATTAAAATATTAGTTTCTGATTGGTTAAGGAGTGGGCAATTATTTTCCATGTAGTCCGCTGAGAAATCAATCAGAACACACCTTATGTAACTTGCTTATCTCTCATTAGTATCGTTGAGCTGATATGAACCAATTTTAACCGAATGCATTGGGTAAAGGGAACTAAGTCAGTTCGTTTGCATTGCCTGCTAGCTGTCAAAATGGCGGAATCAAAGCGTTTTGCTCAGTGAAACCTCGGACATATATTCCGGGTCTGTATGAGTGAGTGAGTTGGGTTTAACGCCGCTTTTAACAATATTCCAGTTATATCGTGGCGTGTCAGCTTAATGTGGGAGGAAAGCCCGAAGTGATGCAGGTCTCAGATGTTTACCACTTCGGTGAAACCCATGAGCACGGGTATGGTGCTGTCAAACCGAGAAACATAATCGGGGCGAAACGGGTTCGAACCCACAATCATAGGTTTCTGGCGTGCCCAAGGGACGCAACTCTGCACAGCGAATCGCGACGAGTAGCCACCCGTGCCCCCCGGGTCTGTATGAATGAATGTTGGTGAGAAAAATTCGTTGTCAACCAATCCGTCGGGGCATATGGTAAGATGTAGCCTATGTGTGAGCCTATGTACCCCTCGACTAACGGCTCGGGGTACATAGGCTCACACACAGGGTACATCACACCATATACCCATCGAGATCGGGGTGACAACTTATGTTATCATATTGATATTTCTTCATTTGGAACTGAAACACTGAATAAAGTAGGAGAGACATGAAAATGCTCCGGGATACCCCTGCCCTGTTAATATGACGGTGACATGATCATGAAGACGTCAATGTCGATTTTTACATGAGGAATAAGAAATAATTCTGTGCGAATCTCACCGAACAGAACTCATTGAGAGAGCTGAAGAGCTGTATGACCAGGTCGATGGTCTTGTTGTTGATGGTGGTGTAAACGACGTTCAGGAACTGAGTCGTCTCGCCCACGATGTTGAAGGACTTCACATTGTCCGGCTGCTCCCGTAGATAGTTCTGTAAAAGAATAAATGTTCCATATTAAGATTAATGTGACTGGTTTCCCATAATAATACTATGACATTAATTGTTGGGGACGTATAGTCCAATAAAGATTTTGTCACTTTGTGGTCATCGAAAGACCTGGTTATGACATTAAATGCCATAACGATGTTATTCTCATGTGTTATGCCTATAAAGATGCAACCTTTACCCCGCCAACTGACACTAAATATACCCCCCCACCCCCATCACACAGACATCACCAGGATTCTACTGTACCAATAACCACCCATAATGTTACCCCATCATCCGATATGTTCCCCCACTTGTACCCCCCCAACCATCCCACATGTTCCCCCAGCATCCCACCTGTTCCCCCAGCATCCCACCTGTTCCCCCCCATCATCCCCAACCATCCCACATATTCGCCCACCATCCCACATGCTCCCCCACCATCCCACATGTTCCCCCACCTCCATCCATCATGTTCCCCACCACCATCCCACACGCTCCCCAACCATCCCACATGTTCCCCCACCATCCCACATGTTCCCCCACCTCCATCCATCATGTTCCCCACCACCATCCCACACGCTCCCCAACCATCCCACACGCTCCCCCACCATCCCACATGTTCCCCTACATGTTCCCCCACCATACCACATGTTCCCCCACATGTTCCCCCACCTGTACCCACCTGTAGCCCTGTGTTCTGCCCATCACATATGCGGGCCAGCACCTTCAGGACCAGCTCTATGTAGCCCTCGTCCTTGTACTCCAGGATCTCCCGGACTCCTTCATCCATAGCAGCAACGAGCTCCTCCTCTGGCCTGCTCTCCCCACTCTACATTCAACCAAACATGGTCCACTGTTAACTGGTCCGTACTGTGATAACGCATTGATCATATGGATCTTTGAAATAGGTTTCACCGCCATGAACAGTGTCATCCATGTAAATGACATCAAAATAACTGAATTTTTGAATTGTGTACTAAATATGAATCAATAGTTAAAACATTTTATTCACAAATGGAAAAGGATTAGGAACAAATTATCCAACTTAAGACATCCTCTCCGTATGAATAAATGTTTGTGACAATATTTGAATTTTGTTCTTGTTCATGAACCCATAACCCCAGCATAGACAACACACATCCACTGATAATGACCAAAGCAGAATCTCCTCTTCTCTGATGATTCGTTACTTTTATTAATCACCAGGTCTCTCAAATTACTTTTCTGAAATCTAAGAATTGATTGTAGTTTATTGTCTACCAGTAATGTATAAACAAATGCTCTTTGAAGATAAACAGTAATTCCCAAAAATTAACAAAAATGGTTAAATCAGTCCTTAGTGTGTTAGCATGTTATAAATATTAACATGTTGACGTGAGTACAATCAAAATATTAATAAATAAAGTTAGTCGTTCTATATAACAATAAATGAACTTTGTTATAAAATCAACAACAAACATATGCGGATTAATGACAGTATTTGCTAAAATGTAAATAGCCCAGTCCCATGCACAGTGAATGTCTCAGCAAACATCTACCAGGTATGAATTAAAGCATCTAGATGTACACATATTCATGTACCTGCTTGGGCGTCCTTGTATCTACATTCCGCCGACCACCATCCTTTATGGGAGTTGCAAGCTCATATCATATAAGCTGGGATACACTTCAGCAAATAAAACGTTATAGGGGAATAATTTTATGCCGCAGCTCAGCATGATCGCGCAAGCAGCATCCACACCTTCCATTTGGCTCAGTGTTGCGTCATTGTTAAATTCACGGTACCATGGGAACGGTAGGAAGAATATGAAGACCAAATCTACGATATTATAGATCTTTCGTATGCGAGACAATGCAGTCTTTGTCTGTATGGTATCCTTGTCAAATACAATGAGAAACGAAACATCATGCCTCATACATAGACATGTGAGGTGGTTCATGTGAAGATCCGTGTTAGAATTGGTGAGAAGTTTGTTTGGTGTTTACCACTGCACACAGCAATATTCTAGCCATATGATGGCTCTGTAAAGAAGCAAACTGGACCGTTCAAGCCACTGATATTATGAATAACGATCAACGTCGTTGGAGTATGAAGGCGCGCAATAAACCAAGCCACCGAGCCCAACCACCAGAAACAGATAGGTGTTATTGGCATCTCATCTGACGTATATTATTTATTTTTGTTTCATTTAAAAATGCGAGAAACGAAGCAAGAAATCATTGCATTACGTCAACCATATTACAGAGTTTTTGATAATATATTTTATTTGTTTCATAATGGCATATATTTCTTTAATGTGAAGAAAGATAGTGTGGTCCAATCATGCATGCTTTGACGAAAGGTTCCACTAGAAACAGAACAGCTTAGTGTAGGAGAGTTTGGATAGATAGACAGAAAGTAATGCAGTGTTCCTTCAGTTGTAGCAGTACAAAAAACAGTGATTCATAAACCCAGAGCTCACAAGGGCTGTGAAGGTTGTGTATGATTTCCACAATGCATTGGGTGCACAAAATACATCAGTTTATAAACAAAGAAACAACAGAAGTCCATAAAGACGATACAAGAATGAAATGCATGTTCAAGCGCAACGCATATTTCAGCATTGATTTCATTATTATGATAAACATACCGCTTCTCAAAGCATGCCAAGTAATGAGTGAATTGCCTGAAAACCACGTGTTCACATGCACATATTTCCGGATTATGCAAGCAACATTCATTGCATTCTTCTGTCAGGCATTCACACCTTAGGCACAGGGTGTGCACATGCACAGGCGATGCACGTGCTTACCTCGACCTTGACATCAGCGAGTTCAATGTCAGAGTGGTCACTCATCAGGGCTTCGTTGTCCTTCGGGATGCCATTTAGGAGCTCACTTCCAGGTTTGGATTTAGGTTTTTTCTTCTCGCTACTTTTACGTCGCCATGTTCTTTTTCGCTTAAGTCGACCGTCATCCGGGGGTTCGACAGCTCGACATAAAGCTTGCTTTAAAACGAGGCAAGTGGTGTTAGTTAGAAGAGATTACGTGGTGGATGGCATGTTTCTTGCCATTCAGCATTTTTTCAGCTACATAGCCGTCTCAGCCTGGACAAGACAAACCAAGGCTTGAGAGTCGACCAACACCATTCAATTCAGCTTAATGAGAGACGAGTTTCCCAGTTAGTGAATTTGTGAATATTATTGTTTCCCATCAAAGTCAGCGTTGTTCCAGCTAAAGCAAGGCGCTATATATAAACGAGCCTTGATCGGGTAAACCTGTGATTGACATCATGAGCACCGATCCATGTACGGGGACGATGGAACGTAATCAACCAAAATCACAGTCTGACCCCCCGATCTGTTTTAGTCGGCTCTTACACGCTTGGTATCTGTTCGGATCTCCTGAGGATTCCAAATACAAATACTATGCAGACGTTGGTGCCATCCGTACCCATTTTAGTTTCTTACAACAAGCAATGGGTGTAGGGTACCTACGCTGCCACGATATCGATAAGAAGAACAACACATGTAAGAGAAGACTTACTCAAGACGAAGCATAGAATAGATACTCGCAGATGACACAAGTAACAGAATGAAGCAGTCAGTGAATGAAGCAGTCAGTGAATGAAGCAGTCAGTGAATGAAGCAGTCAGTGAATGAAGAATATGAGCACACACTGCTACACGAGATGAAGAGACGAGAGACGTTGGGAAAGTGATGAGTTCAGAGTCGATGACAAAAGCAGCGGTGTCATTGCGTATTGAAGATTGACAACGGCAGCATGTGTCTATTGGCGACAGATGTGATGTGCAATGCGCGAAGAGGCATATTGCGCTTTGTGATGGAGACGGTGATTGGCATAATGGTATAAACTGATACAAAGACGGGAGAAGCAAAAGAAAAAAAGGTCTTTAATTTATAAAAAATATAAGCGTTCACATACAGGACAATCTAGAATGCAAGGCTATTCTGAAAGGTAACGTGTTACTGAAAGTGCAGCGCAAAACATTGTTAGATTTTGTGACGTACATCTCTAATGTACGATTCTAGGCAGTGCATGGGTCAAATTGGGGCTTTGCTTAGGTGGTGTTAGTTAACAGTTTCGTGGACACAAAAAGTAACATTCAGCTTCTTGTGAGCAAAGTCCAAAGTGTGATTCTACCATCTAAATCCTCTATAAGTATATGCATGTCTAATTATTAGATGTTTCGTAGACTAGCATAATTACGAATGAGAGGTGCTATAAGATTCTAGGTCCACAGTTCCGTGTAGGACAATTCCACGTTAAAATCCCAGTGAAAAGACATACATGTACTAGTCCAACAGACTTCATCTGACTGTGGTTTTAATGATCACCACGTGTTGTATTCGTGCGATGAAACCGCACTTAACCTTCATCTAGTCTCACTAAGCACGTGCTTGAAGGGACATTGTGTCTTACCCATCCGCTAAGTGCCTCCATCCGCATCTTCTGTTCGTGGAGCTGGATTTGCTGAAAATTAATGATGACAGGGGTTAGGTTTGAGTCATGTAATCGCTATAGATAGGATGGATTGAGTGAGTGAGTGTGGTTTTATGCCACTTTAGAGCAATTTTCCAGCAATATCACGGCGGGGGACACCAGAAATAGGCTTCACACATTGTACCCACGTTGAGAATCAAACATGGGTCTTCAGCGTGACGAGCGAACGCTTTAACCACAGATAGTATGGACAAAACCATGCATGCAATTCACGTCCTCTCATCCAAATGTTACAACAGAAAAACAACCATAAATTTGACCTTTGGGGTATCTGGCGTCCGTTTTGATTCCACACGTGCAAAATGTGAATTTTTCGGTCTTTTCCGTCGAGAAATGACACGAATATTTTAGATATTTTACGAATGCTTCAAGTTTTGTCTGATTTTGTACTTTATAGTTATGAGACGTTATGTATGTTTGAAAATTTGAATATACATGCTATATAAGACTTGACGTATCACAACGTACCTGCAAAGCCTTCCGTCCAACCGTGAGCGACGTGTTGTAGTTGGTCATATTAGACAGTGCTTCTTTCACCCGGCTCTCGTGTTGTGCCAGCAGAGACCGCCTTAAAAACAGCGTCGTGTAACATGCAGTTGTTTCCATTCACAATTCAACTCGGTATACAGGGTATATGGGAAGGATGAGCTGCTATAGCAAATTATACACAAAAACTTAAATCTTAAAAGAAAATGCAATAGTTTAGCAAATATTTTCAGGTAAATGCATTTGAGCTTCTACCAGGGTGGTATCTAAAACAGGTATTTGTCAGAGCAAAATAAACCTGAAACGGAATAAGAATATGAATAATTGCTACAAATATCTAGTTACAGTGGTGCTGGGAAAGAGGAATAATCCGGTGCTGTGATGGATGCAGAAGAACATACTTGCAGGTACCAAAACAGGTATACGATGAAATTACCAAAAGTATATTGCCGCATGTGTTACCATAGTTACCCGCTCTTCATGAATATAAGGTACGTGTTTGGGTCTACATAACGCTCATATGGGGAAGGAGGTATGCTTTAAAGTTGCCCCAACTCCACTGGGATCTAAATGTGGTATTTACCTTATTAAATTAACCGCAATGAAATAATTTCTAAATACAATGTACATTTCGCATAAAATTATCTCTGATAATGCATGTGGCAAAATGGCGATATTCAGCGCGATAAGCCTTAAAGGCATGTTAGGAGTAAGAGATTAAAAGTTTTTAGGCATCAAGGAAATTCATCCAAAATGTAACAATTATTTTGTTGAGTCTTTTCTAACCTAATGTTCTAATTAAATTAGGACTAGGGTTACTTGGTTGAGTCTAGGATATCTACTCTAGGTTTTTCACACAAAAAATGGATGTCGCATAACTATTCATACCATATCTGACAGGTATTTCTAAGTGAAATGTATACTACATGGTTATATATTGGACGCGGTGATTCCACGTTTTGTATAAATTGGGTAGTACATTATCACTTTTGTCAGATACGGTCATATCACAACTTTAAAAAACCACATACGTACTATACATGTCAATGCCGTGCAGAATGCCGAACTAATTGAAAACTTAAAACTAAAATTTAAAAAACCTAAAGTGCACGCAACTATTTACTAGAATACAAAACCGTGAAATAAATCAGTGCTACTCCGCGAAGTATATGACATGGCAATAGCTATAGAGTGCCCTGAAAGATACAATCTGCAGAAAAACACCTGGAGAAAGACCCGATTGAAAAATAATTTCTTGAAATGAAAAATCGTTTCCTCGAAATTCCGTTTTCTTATGAATTCCGACAAAGGTGATACGAAGAGTGAGTGAGTTGGTTTTACCGCCGCTTTGAACAGTATTTCATGTCACGACTGCCAGCCTTATTATTGGAGGTGCCCCAAGTGACGCATGTCGTAGATGATTATTGCTTGGTGAAGGCACTAAGCACGTTGCTGACAAAACAAGAATCATAATCGGGGAGAACTTGACATTCAAACCCATGACCAGCGAATCCTGGCACGACTAAGGGACATAACTCCGAACAGCGTTTGCGCCACATTAGAGCATCCATCTCAGCGTTCTACAAACTAATCATGATAGACAACGTTGAAGTAACAGTAATGGGCGGCACACCTTGTGTGCGAGTACGGTCCACGAAGTACATCCCATGCAGTATATTCAACTGGACATGCAAACATGAACGCCGACGCCGTGGTTCTGACGTTGTTTCCATTGTCGTTGACGATGAGTTAGTTACTACAACACTCTACAAGCCTAACCTCACTCCGTGGCCAACAGTGTCACAAACGACTACATGCCAAACAAATTACCCAGCTCCTTTCCGCCGACTCTTTTTCAGCAACAAATATCTAGAAGAGAAACACGACGTCAATCTGACAGTGCCTTCACCCACGACAATGAGGGGGGCGCAAGAGGCTGTGGAGGAGTGTCGCCATTACAGGCGGAGGGATGGGGTCGATGGACGGGAGACACTGTTTAGGGGTACCGGTGTTGGGTTCTTAGAAAGGTAACTTAATTTACCAAAAAGGCAAAAGTACCGTGATCATAAAATATATTAATAAGCGAAAAGCAACTATAATATAGGTTGTATGACTAGACAGGTGAGTCGCGTGGATTGTATGACTCGGCAGGTGAGTCGCGTACATTGTATGACTCGGCAGGTGAGTCGCGTACATTGTATGACTCGACAGGTGAGTCGCGTACATTGTATGACTCGGCAGTTGAGTCCTACCTGAACACGTGTCAAGACAATCTCCATAAAAAAAAAACATGGTCTAATGCCACGGGGGTCGAACCAAAACTTACAAATCCAATCTGGAATTTGTAAAGTATGTTTCTGCTGGACAATCGATATAATTTGTATCAACTTTAATTTTAAACACCGAAATAACGTTTGAAACCCACTGCGAGTACGTATTCAGCAACGCAATTTTCAAAGAAATAGGTACGAAATTGGAGTTATATCCCGAAAATCTGTGACCGAGATCAGTTTATTCTGACATATAAAGAAATCAAGGGGTTGGGTATGCATTTGTTTTCGTAGTTACGCGTAGCTACTGTTTCCTAGTATGTTTCCTAGTATGTTTCATAGAACATCATCCTTTGTCACCGATAATTTGCCTGAGAGATATCAAACCAGCTACCGGAAATTCTACCCCTGCTTCTGTAGTTTCATCACTAAGGGCAGATATGGGCCAGGCATTGATGTGATTTCCCTCGACCAAGCCTAAAGTACGTCCCTGCTGCAGGTATTTCCTAGTCTTGATCTAACCCTTCCACAGCCTCGGTTATTACAAGAGACACTTCCACTCTTATTAATATCACACGGTTAAATACAGGACTGTAAGATGGCCATTATTGTGCGCCTGTGCCCCACATGTTAGCGCTAACAAGGACAGACAACTCACTTCTCCTTGATGGAATTGGTGGAGATCTGCATCCGGTCCCTCACCGCCATGAAGAACACCTCCTCGCGCGTCGACAGGAAGTACTCCAACATTGATTTCTACAAAACATATTATCTCATCAAACACGGAAACTTCAAAGGTTCTCCACTATCCCGGGTGATGACCTCAGGGAGGTCCTTTTTCAAATCAATGTCATAGTTTCTGCTTCAGAATGACTCCACTCTTTACCCTCACGCAGGGCGGAATACGCATTACATCATACAATCTAATCAAACATGGAGTGAGTGAGCGAGTTGGGTGTAACGCCGCTTTTAACAGTATTCCAGTTATATCACGGCGTGTCAGCTTAATGTGGGAGGAAAGCCCGAAGTGATGCAGGTCTAAGACGTTTACCACTTCGGTGAAACCCACGAGCACGGGTATGGTGCTGACAAACCTAGAAACATAATCGGGGCGAACTGGGATTCGAACCCACAATCATAGGTTTCTGGCGTGCCCAAGGGACGCAACTCTGCACAGCGAATCGCGGCGCCTTAGACGACTGGGCCACCCGTGCCCCCCTAATCAAACATGGAAACTTCAAAGGTTCTCCTGAGATCCTGATACCCGCACGTGTAGGTGCACGTGTACATACCTGCACGTGTAGGTGCACGTGTACATACCTGCACGTCCCTGTTGGCGTTGAAGAGCATGATGCAGATGAAGGCGAGCACCTCTCGGGCAATCTCGTCGTTTCTCCTGGCGAGGTGGGGCAGAACCTTCACAATCACATCCTGTTGGTTAATGGCGATCTGCAGATCCTTGATGTGGTTCAGCTGCCTAGAAAATGAGGGAGGAAAAGAATGACGGTCAAAACAACGCCATGGTGTGGAATCCGATCAGTAGGTTGTGTGTGTTGTTAATTCGTCGGCGTCAGCAATATTCCAGCTATACCACGATCGCATTTACATCAAGTCTGGCAAAGCAGTGGTTAATATCAAGATCGACCAGGTCACACGAATCTCAACTACTGATCCCAATTCAGTTGGCTCCTATGACAGTCTGTTCTGATCGTGAACCCTCGCAGGTCCCAAATAGATTACCTCTTACAAACTGCATGGGCAACTACTTATATACATGTTTGCACATCATGTGTTTCCAAACAATGTCTCAAATTGCTGCCCATGAAAGTGATAATTGTTCACTGGAATATCAGGTTTCGAAATTAAATAGGCCATGAATATGAAGCTGTAGCCAAAGCCATGTAAATACTGCTCTACAAAGAACCACTCAGTCTGGTCTCAAAGTGTCTTGTTCACTTGACTTACGACAACACTAGCAACTACCATACGAAGAATATTGAAGCTCTCTAACACCTATCGTAGCTGTGTGCCAACAGTTGTCTCAACAATACAAGGAGTTCTCGTGAATGACCCCGACTCTCTGTTTGTCGTAATATTAAGATAATCATCGAGGAGAGACCTAGCGGTGATTCGTTTCGTGACAACTTAGCGCTATGACGTGTCAGGAATACTAAGAAAAGCGATAAAATGTTTGATATACTTCTTGATCTTGGTTTCGCTGGTCCTCGTGTCCCAGTCATCAGGTAGTTTCCGCTCTTCGTTGTGGATGACAGCCCGGAGCAGCTGGAGACAGCGGACGTCCAGTTCCCAATGGGTGGGGACATTCTGATTGGCCTGCTTGGCCCCTGCCGAGATCCTGTTATAATCGTGTTTTTAAACATTTTTTAAATGTACTGATGAAGCATGTGTTACATAAATGGTTGCACATGTAATCACTTTGACGTTAATCAGATAGTGTAAAAACAGACATACTGACATTTAACTTGTTGATAGTTTGCACAAAGTGACAAAACCCGTTCCATATCCAATAGAAATCTCTGCATAAAGCAGAGTCGATAGTACGATTCCGACTATATCATTAGCATGTGTTTATGAATCACCATCAAACGCATCCTTAAACATGTGGCAATAATGATACGTTTTCTCTTGTTTTTTCCAATTAATAAATTAAAACTTTATAGTAAATAAAATATTATTTGGTGAAAAGGACATATGACAATCTATACTCTTTACAGACAGTGCTTTATCATACACATAGGAATTCCGTTTTAAATATACAGTCAACTATGGTTTTAACTCAAAAGGACTACTTATTTTAGTTCGTTATAACCGTAATTCGTTATAAACATATATACAGCATATATACAGCAAATGGCTGGGACAAAAAACCCAGTTCGTTATATCCGCTAGTTCGTTATATCCGCTAGTTCGTTATATCTACAAGTTCGTTATATCCACAAGTTCGTTATAAGCGTGTTCGTTATAAACGTAGTTTACTGTACTTACGCTAATTGTTCTATAAGTTTGAAGGCCGTGCCGTAGCGCTTGGCTATTTTCTTCTCGCCGCTGTTGACGAAGCACTTGACCAGGTGCTGGAACTCATCGCCCAGAGGAAGTTCTTCGTTGTCGCCTATTATCGTGTACTCTACAGGAGAAGAAAACGTGGTTCTGTCAAGTTCACACTTACAGAAAATGTACACGAAGCAAGCAATAACTAGATTTCATTAGAAATATTTAGAAATTTCAAATGTATTTGCATCACACGGTTCAGTCCATTGTTTAATGCCTTAGTCACATATCCACCGATGCCGGGAAAGATTAGTTTGTCATGCCCGAAAAGGCTGAAAATCGGCAAACTTGAGAGATACCCGACGGGGCGCCGGATGATCATCTGTGAGCATTGGCCATGTTTTTGACATCGGGAAGACCCCGGTGGACACATCGGAGAAAATAACTCGGAGTTTAACATCGGTTTTTAGCAATATTACAGGCATATTATGACACAGGACATGGGCTTGTACTCATGTTAGGAATGGAACATTAGGTTTCTCTGGACACGCTTATCAGGTTATCCGATCTCTCCTTTTCATAGTGAGTTTGACTTCAGCTATATCACGGATAAAATTCGCATCTTGAAATCATGACCAAGTCTCCTTGTTCAACTGTGTCTTATGGGACTAGCGGTGTGGCAAGGGATGGTGCTCTTACCCCTCTTGTTTTTCTTGTACTTGAGCTGTGCACTGACGGTGTTGTGCCCGCTGTGCACGACGCTGCAGTTCTTCGTGAACGTATGGAACTTGGCGTTCAGCTCCAACTCGGATGCGTAGTACTCCATATTGCCCTTAAATACAGATTCAAACACAGCTGTAGGCTTATATAGAACGACAGACCAATTTGATCACTGTACATTTGTCACATGATTATATTATAGATGGCAGAAAGTTTATAAAAAAACCCATTTCCACGTGCATTTCACACAGAATGAGAAATGGTTTCGGTTTGTATGTAAGTACCTCCTTTATTCCGATAATGTTCCGTCACTCGATATGAAATTTTATTTACTCTGAACCTTTAAATATCATCCATTCATATTTCATGTTATGTAAAATAGCTGGTGTATTTATAATTTCTTTTAATTAAATGTTATGAGTGATATGTTTACGTTGTTAACAATATTCCAGTAATATCACGACTGAAGACACAAAGAACCAGTTTCATACGTTGTAGCCATGTTGAGAATCGAACCCTGGTCTGGCGTGACGATTCAACTCTTATTCAATTTGCTATAATTATGTCTGTTCTCTTGGCCATCATACGTACCTTGCGGACTGCACTGGTGTTGTTGTCAAACCTCATCTCGCCTGTAAGCTTCTCCAGCACATTCACCAGGACCTGCACACATAAATAACAACGACATGATCATCTAGATCTGCGAGACAGACACCGGACTTCACTCCAACATTATCAACAGCTCATGTAAGCACATGTTGTCCAATGGGCATACCGACTTTGCATTATTTTTTGACATGCAGACACTTTACCTGTTTCTGGGAATGGGGGAGTGCTTATTGGGAAGTTGTTTTGTTGTTTAACGCCGCACTCAGCAATATTCCAGCTTTATGACGGCGGTCTGGAAATAATCGAGTCGGGACCAGACAATCCCGTGATTGACATCATGAGCATCGATCTATGCAATTGGGTTGCGATGACATGCATCAACCAAGTCAGCAAGCCTGTCCACCCGATCCCGTTAGTTGCCTCTTACGACAAGCATAGCCGCCTTCTACGGCAAGCATGGATTGCTGAAGACCAATTTTAACCCGGATCTCCATGGGTCTTTTTGAAGGTAGGCAGTGTACCATCATTAACGGTTATAAATTCATCATTAAAGCCTACCGTCTTTGAGCTGTTGGACACGGACACGATGGTGGTGACGCAGGTGACCATGTTCTTCATGTGATGCGGGCTGGTGATGTGGGGACCAAGGACGTCACACAGAGCCTGGGGACACACAACGTCAGATGTTGATGATGCCGTTAATCTGCTTGTCATTCAACCGAATTATTTTTTCCTTTCTTATCGTTGAATATTGACAAATAAATATAATAAAAATGAATTATGTAATAAACATAAACAAAATGAATACATAAGACATTAGTTGAATTGTTTGTTTATTGTTTACGCTACAGTCAAGAATACTCCAGCAATATGATCGCCTCTAAATAGTCAGGTCAAACAATCCAGTTATTAATTTTAGGAGCAACGTGCGACACCGTCGGGTAATATAACATGCAATCACCAGTGTCTGAGCCTGGCCACAAAATCCAATAAGTCCCTGTATACATTTTGGGCTGCCGTGAAGCTACAGTAACACTGATTCCTCACGGAGCCTCCATGCATCCATGACTAATATACTCACAGTGAGAGCGTTGGCAAGACTCTCGGTGGCGTACACCTCATTGGGGTATACATCTTTGTCCGGGAGGTAGAACACAGTGTAGAAGATCTGCAACACGCGAGGGTGGGCGAACATAAATTCATAAATTCTCCAGGAATGTGAATATTTCGCCGTACATACAGCTATACATGGGATTATTGCGGACGAGGTTGTCACACTTACATGGAGGAACGGCATGACGGCGTCCAGGATGTAGTAGAGCCCGGCGTGCATGACGGCGCGGGTATCGTGTCCCTCGGCCACAAAGCTGCAACACAAGCAACCGCTGCTGATGAGGATGTGGTGTTTATTGATATACACGTGTCATTATCAGCATCTTTATGACACGTACATTGATGAACCATTATTAAAAGAACCGTTTTACCGTTTGCTTAGTCACTTCGTTATTTGATTAAATATAGCCAGAGCTGGCACAATTACACAGACAGTCTACAAAGAACGCTTGCTACAATGACTAATGTTTGATCTGATGGGGGTACCTCTTGGGGGGCTCAGACTTGAGGAGCTGTGTCATCCTGTCTGGATGGTGTGAGAAGTAGTCGATCAGCTGATTGATCTCACCGCTCGCCGACGTAATAAACTCCCACATGTCCCTGCAATGATTATGACAATAATAATAATGATGATTATGACAATAATAATAATGATGATTATGACAATAATAATAATGATGACAATAATGATAATAATGATAATAATGATATTGATGACGACAATAATGATAACGACGACGACGTCAATAATGATAACGACGACGACGACGACGACAATAATGATAACGACGACAACAGTAATGATAACGACGACGACGACGACGATGATAGTGATAATTATAGATTATAATGACCATGCCCCCTGCTACTCAAAGTATAGGTCTTAAAGTGATAAGTCCAATGCCATTGGCACAATGGCGAATCTAATACACTATGAATAGCATGGTGTGTGCAAACTATCCGAATCCGGTGCCAAAACACAATTTAACTGTTTATGAGGGCAGTTAATACGCAGGCAGTCCATGAGACACAATTGTTTATTTCAACAAGCCTTTTTATTGTGTATTTTGTAGCCCCTATATTGCATGGCCTCACTTGTCGTGCTGCAGGTCCGCCGCGCCGCTCTCCACCAGGTTGCTGGTCGTCTTGATGTACACCCACAGCATGAACTTGATGAAGGGCTTCTTGAGGTTGGTGTCGATGTGGGGGTGGTTCATCACCCACAGCAGCTCCTCCACCGGCAGGATTGTCTGGCACAGGGACTCGATGAACTTGTTCTCCCCCTACAGGATCAGAGTGAGTGAGTGAGTAGTGGTCGAAGCTGTTGCTGGCAGTTCTGCCACAATATCACGAGGGAGTGAGTATGGTTTTACGCCGCTTTTATCAATATTCCAGCAATATCACGGCGGGGGACACCAGAAATGGGCTTCACACATTGTACCCATGTCAGGAATCGAACCCAGGTCTTTGGGTACGCTTTAACCTCTAGGCTACCCGATCGCCCCCACAATATCACGAACGACACAAAGTTCACATATAACACCCATGAATCGACCAGTGGATTCTACGTGACGCGTGGATGCAACCACTAAGCTACTCCACTATCCAAGAGAAATATCTTACACGAATATGTAAGCATGGATAGTCACATCACGTTTGTAAGAGGGTCAAGTGAACAAAAGGGACCAAGTGATATCAAATGGATAGATGGAACGTTATGATGAAGGTTTATAAAGAAAACCTATGTACCTCGGCGCATGTTGCTAGCAGGTCGACCAGACTGATGAAGTACGTCAGATGCCCTCGCTCTGTCTTGTTAGTAAGGATCCTTTCCCTGAAATAACCAATAACGCTAGGATGCATATACATGTTATAAGTCCGTCATACAGACCCTTAAACAAATAATACAGCTCATGCAAGTCTATGATATTTGGCAAGTCTAGATCTGAAAATGAAGAAAACCTCTTGGTGTCTTTTATATTTTTTTATAAGTAGTATTTAACGACTGTTTTTTTGCTGTTAATTATGTTCATTTCAGAGACTAGATGTTAGTCCAAGAGGTTATGTATACTATTACTTATTGAGAAAAAAACATTACAGAAACACATAATACGATACGACGAAGGAAATGAAAAGTCTTTTCGCGTATTAATCCATGGCGAGTTTTTAATCTCTTAAGATATTACTCAAGGAAAGAGGGGCGTAATGTTTTTTGTAGTGAGGACTGAGCACACAATGTAATAAAAACACCCCAAACAATATTCATGATCCCGAACATTTTATGGTTCCATCTTGACGTTGAGAACCACCGACCTGAGATCTCTAGGCTGGTCGAGTACATAGGCTGCCTTCTTGAAGGTTTGCATAATGTACTTCATGACCAGCGCTTGATTGCGTTTGATTGTAAGGTCCAGTCCTTCCACCTTCACGAGGACCTTGAGGAGTTCCAGGAACTCTGGAGCGCGATGCTGGTTCTCCGCGGACAACAGAACAATCCTCTGGATTTGACGGGAGTACACCTTCAGACAGGTAGCCTGGTTCCCGATGAACAGCTGTAACACGGTGATTCAGGAAGTAAAGTACTTGCAAAGCAACTGCACTATGAATGACGCTTTTAATTCGAATTAGTGCTTTCCAGAAACTAGATAATATCACTTGCCTCATAAACCACGTGTAATATCTAACAAAACAGAAATTAAATTGGAAACAACAAATTATTAGATTTGGATTGACTGAAATCGATAAGATATTGTCTTTATCATCGATAATTTACTGGCACGGGTTAAAACAAAATGGAAATTCAGGAAAATATATTTTGCCTTTAGTTTTATTGATCGGCATATACTTTCAGAGGATTTGAGGAAAAAAACTCGGCCGTTGTGTTAAAAAAAGCCATATCGCCAAATGGATGGCTTTAGGTACCTCTTTGAGCGCCAGGGCAAGATCTGAGCGGACGATCTGGACGTCGAGCAGGGTGTCCAGATGGTCAAACAACTGCTCCTGCACGCGCTGGTTCTCTCTGGTCAAAAGCTGCAGCAGGTACAGCGTCTTCTTGAACACCGTCTCCATCCCCTTGTACTGATCCTGCAACGTCATCGACAACACAAATGTTGGTGTGCGAGTGTAACATCGTTCTGAGCATGCATCAGATTCACATTGTGATCGAAGATACGAACAGATGTTCCTTCAAGCTTGAAGCAGTTTAATATGTAAGTGAGGTAAAGGGTGTTACTTACAACTAGCCGACTATCAATTTCCTGAGAAAGTATGTCCAGAACAATCTTCAGAAGTCCTAAAAACAAAGAAAATGAAACGTTTCAGAGTATTAAGCCTCATACATTCAAGTAGCTTTTTCAACAGTGTAACCTTATTACTCGAACGCCATCTTCTCGTCATATCATTTAATACGATGCATCTTTTTTGTTATTGAACGCCGCACTCAGCAATATTCCAACTATATGACGGCGGTCTGTAAATAATCGATTCTGGACCAGACAGTCCGGTGAAAGGATAATCGATCCACGCAATTGGGATGTGATGGCATGCATCAACCAAGTCAGCGAGCCTGACCATCCGATCCCGTTAGTCGCCTCTTACGACAAGCATAGTCGCCTTTTACGCAAGCGTGGGTTGTGTAACCTACTGACCGTGACTGATCATGATGTTCTGATTCATGTGGTGAGGTTCATCTGGAGTCTTCGGGAGGTGACAGAACCTGTAAAACACAGCGTAGAATCAGAGGCATGGTATGTGACAGTAGAGACATTACTACCATTTATGTCCTAATTGACCATCTTTACACAGATTACAGGCGAGATTGCATGGTGTCCATTATAATCTTTCGACGAACATACAGTCAACTACGGTTATAACGAACTCAAAGGGACCACTAATTTTAGTTCGTAATAACCGTAGTTCGTTATAAGGATATATTCAGCATATATGCAACAAAAGGCTGGGACAAAATAAAAAAGTTCTTTATATCGGTAGGTTCGTTATAAGCGTGTTCGTTATAAACGTAGTATATTGTACGTCGGTTTTCCAAACATGAACAAGAATGTTGTATACAGTATACGACATACTTGTTATAAATTATAAATACTTGATATTTTCATATTGTTATATCTTCAGTTAAAATTTTATACAAAAAGAAGGGAGATCACTCACTCTGCTAATTCGTCGAGGACATCACTCATCAGTTTCACCTGCTGGTCATTCAGCTTTGCACGTGACAGACGTCTCAAAGTTGGCAGTGACCTCTGAACCTCGCGGTGGACACGTGCCGAGTCGTGGGTAAGTAGCACCTACAAACATAGTATAATTACACAGGCATGAGTGAGTGAGAGGTTTGTGTGTGACATGGTTTATTTCTTTGTTAAACACCAGTCAACAATATTCCCGCTATATCACGGTGACCTGTAAATAGGTGACCAGGCAAACCAGTGATTAATGTTATGAGCCACAGTTCCGCCTTTATGGTGCGTCACACAATGACCTTTGGGGGAATATTGTATCTCATATGTGTAACTATGAACCTGTTAAAGATAAATACTTTAATAATGAGCAGCCGTTTGAGAGAAAATCAAGTTAAAATTTAAGAGTTAATGAACACTCACCTGTGCTCTCTGCGCCAATTTAAACATGTCGTTCTGTGAGGAGTACATCTTGTTCAGGATGTCCAGGGACTTGACCACCATCTTGTCGGACTTGTAGTTCGACAGATCCTGATAGAAAACACAAATGTCATTGTCAGAATATTAATGGCATTACACATTACCATCACCCGACACATTCGCATCAAAGAAATGGTATACAAATATTTCGTTCAGAGATATTAGGAACCCCCAGCTTGGTAAAAGGATCGTCGTGACTTCTTACTATGGTCTCATGAAGGTATATAGGTTAACCCGATGTTAAAGGGGGAATGAGGTGCAAGCGTATTGACTTCTTCCCGAGGCAAGGTAGTTAACTGACTATAAAAGTCCAGTTTCCACTGTAGGTTTAACTACTTTGCTTTGGGAAGATGGGTATTGACAGTCCCAGCAAGTTGTATTCCTTGTCTACTAGTTCATATTTATCAAACTACCAGTAAATGATAAGCCTAATTACAGAAATACAATGTCTCCGTTAATTATATGGTATTAATTACAAGGCCTAAAACTAGGCAGGTGGCGGGAGAGTCTAATCAAGGGGCTACACGTCTTGTACTGACCAGAAGCACTGCAGTGGTGCTGTCCAGATCAAAGATGGCGGACGCGTGGAACATCTCCTTCAGCTCTTTCAGCACGTCTTTCTGCTTTTTCAGCGCCTTCCTGAAAACACGACAGTCAGTCAGTACATGGACCCACATGCATGTAGAGAATAGCGTCCGAGGCGAAAAGAGCGAACGCTTTAACAATTATGCAACCAGTGGTCCCACTATACACTTACCATACACACATAATAGAAAGCGATAATATACTACTCAAAAGAAGTTAAAGAACACCCGATTCTTTCATATTACTATAGTTGATCTGTCTTGGCATGTGAGATTGACTATAGTAATATGAAAGAATTGGGTGTTCTTTAACTTCTTTTGAGTAGTATATATAACGTGATTACATGATGTTCTTTACATTGGATAAATGGTGTTTATTATAGGAAATATGAATCATGATACAAGCATTATTCTGCATCTTGTTAAGAACCTGACATGTTTTTTAATTCTTATGATTATTTTTGCGTTTCGTTATTACTGTTGATTATCATCATCATCAATATCATTTTCATTATTATCAACAACTTACTTTGACGTGTCTGTAGGGTCGTACGTCTCGTACAGAAGGGGTTCTAGCACAGTCTGGGACTTCTTTTTGATTTTGACAGCGCCCTGTTTGGCGCCGAGTTCACCATACTTGAACTTGGTGACAAAAACCTGCAACAGGGGCGAATGATGGTATAGGCTACAGTCTTAACAAGACAGTGACGGAAACTTGATCAGGCAAACCTGTGGTTGACAGCATGAGCTGGGCAATAAGGGAACGATGCAACGATGGCAAGATCACATCGTAACCAACCAATCCCTATTTAAAACGGCTTTTACGATAGACCTTGAGATGCTGGGGTCCAGATTACCCCAAGACACAAAGAGAGCTTTGTAATAAGAATGACGGACGTGAGCTAACAAAAATCATTTAATTAATTTTCATAATGATGGAATAAAAATTCCTTTACCAAAGAAATCTGATTCACCGGATGAAGGAGTAAGTATATACTCCGAAACGTTGTGTCCCTCATACAAAAGAGTGAGTGAGTGAGTTGGGTTTAACGCCGCTTTTAACAGTATTGCAGTTATATCACGGCGTGTCAGCTTAATGTGGGAGGAAAGCCCGAAGTGATGCAGGTCTAAGACGTTTACCACTTCGGTGAAACCCACGAGCACGGGTATGGTGCTGACAAACCTAGAAACATAATCGGGGCGAACCGGGATTCGAACCAACAATCATAGGTTTCTGGCGTGCCCAAGGGACGCAACTCTGCACAGCGAATTGCGGCGCCTTAGACGACTGGGCCACCCGTGCCCCCTCATACAAAAGAAGTGACATTCATAAATTCTTCCATATTTTTTATTTTTTTTGTATTGATTGAGTTTGGTTTTACGCCGCTTTTAGCAATATTCAAGCAATATCACGGCGGAGGACACCAGAAATGGGCTTCACACATTGTACCCATGTCGGGAATCGAACCCGGGTCTTCGGCGTGACGAGCGAACGCTTTAACCACTAAGCTACCCGACCGCCCCTTTTTCTTTTTTTAAATTTTTTTTTATAAAATCGACAAAATAATTTAAGTGCCAGCAAACTCACCTTCAATCGTAGATTTCTTTGGAATGTCAGGAGGAGATCCAGCACCCACATGGCCCTGAAAAAAGATGTGAATATAATTTACATGAACAAACAATATCGGTCGGTATTCATTTAACTATCTGTGTCATTTATCATGTTTTTCGGTGTTTATGGAATAAGTACGCTTACGGGACGATTATCTCATCTTCTTATTCATAACAATTATTTTCTCTTATAGGAGGGGGTCAACGACACAAATCATCTTCCTGGGATCCAGTGAACGACTGTTTTATAAACTGTCAGCCTATTCCACTACTTACTGGTATTTGGCATTGACGATGGCCTCCATTTCTTGATTCTGTTCGAATCTGGTTGTGTTTCTGTACTGGGCGACAGACTTGCTTGACTCTTTCGAGTAGCCTGGAAATAGCAGGTCGATTTTCTCACAAACGTTGTATGAGTGAGTGAGTGAGTGAGTTGGGTTGGGTTTAACGCCGCTTTTAACGGCATTACAGTTATATCGCGGCGTGTCAGCTTAATATGGGAGGAAAGCCCGAAGTGATGCAGGTCTCAGACGTTTACCACTTCGGTGAAACCCACGAGTACGGGTATGGTGCTGACAAACCTAGAAACATAATCGGGGCGAACCGGGATTCGAACCCACAATCATAGCTTTCTGGCGTGCCCAAGGGACGCAACTCTGCACAGCGAATCGCGGCGCCTTAGACGACTCGGCCACCCGTGCCCCCAAACGTTGTATGAAAGGCATGCTGTTAGCACCAGGAACCATGCTGGTGTATTCGTTACATACAATTAGTTCGGAACTATAACTGTAGGGAACGTTTACACTTGAAGGGGCACCACAAGGTACACATTATACTCATCACTCGTTCATAGGGTTGGTTGGTTGGTTTGTTGTTTAACGCCGCATCTGCAATATTCCAGCTATATGACGGCGGTCTGGAAATAATCGAGTCTGGACCAGATAATCCAGTGATTAATATCATGAGCATCAATCCACGCAATTGGGATCGATGACATGCATCAACCAAGTCAGCGAGCCTGACCACCCGATCCCGTTAGTCGCCTTTTACGACAAGCATAGTCACCCTTAACGGCAATTGTTCATAGGGGCATTTGTTAATCCATACGATTTCATTGGGTGAGTGAGTGAGTTTGATTTTACGCCTCTTTTAGCAATATTCCAGCAATATCACGACGGGGGAAACCAGAAATGGGCTTCACACATTGTACCCATGTCGGGAATCGAACCCAGGTCTTCGGCGTGACGAGCGAACGCTTTAACCACGAGGCTACCCGACCGCCCCGATTTCATTGGAAATGATACCGTACAGATTAACGGGTTAACTTTACACCGTGTATAGCTATCAGTGGCAAAAAGGGAGTGAGTGTGGTTTTACGCCGTATTTAGCAATTAACCAGCAATATCACGACGGGGGACTCCAGTTATAAGCTTCACACATTATACCCATGTAGGAAATCGAACCCGGGCCTTCGGCGTGGTGAGCGAACGCTTTAACCTCCAGGTTACCAAACCGCCCCTTAGCGAATAAACAATAGCAGCAATGTTTTCTCCGTTTCTAAGTGTACCTTTGCCTTTGTCCTTGTCCTTGGGAAAGGGGACGTCATGCCGCCCGTCCAACAGACTGAGTAATGGCGGCAGCAGCTTCCTGACGTCATCCAGATCCATGTAGTAACCGAACTTTACAAGATGATGCAGAAGCCGGAGAACCTGGTGATGGGGAGAGTTGGGATTAATGGCCCTTTGAAATGTACTTCCGTTGATTCACAACGTCTCAGCTGAAAGTCACATGTATGGTACTGATGGACATAATCACGGCAGTGGAATCTGGGATTCCAACTCACCCCCTGCGTAGCGGATCCTGGATCTACGCAATTGGGATCAATTACATGCATCCACCAAGTCAGCGAGCCTGACCACCCGATCCCGTTAGTCGGCTCTTACCACAAGCATTATCACCTTTTACAGCATGCATGGGTTGCTGAAGATCTATTCTCTACCCGGGTCTTCACGGGTCTCGAGAGAGTGTTGATAGGATGGGTCCTTGCCCGTAATTAATGGTACAGCTGAAGCAATGTCACAGCAGGGGGATCAATAGAATGGAGATCACAAACTACCCACGCAAAATCATGTGCAAAACTTACCTGTTCTACGAGAAGGTTCAGACCGACCATTGATGCCGTCATGGTACAGTTCTGCGCAAGGAAGTCCGCTAACCAGTCTCTAAGCACTGGGAAGATGGTGACAAGGTCCTTTACCACCTATGTTATAAATACAAGACAATGACGGACAAACCTAGTGTTGTAGTGGAATCACACATTCGACGTTTCATATCCACGTAGTTAAAAATAGATATTAAATTTAAAATTTCTAGAAGCTCGACATTCCATACCAACGTCATAAGTGAAGCAGCTTTGCCTGAACCACATACCCGAATACGTTAAAACATTTGAAACGGGACGACACAATTTGTAGAGTGAGAGGTGTTAAGGATGTGAGTAGGTTAACCAATTGTTAGACTGTAATAAAAGACATATGATTGAATGAGTTAGTTACTGGCGTAGAGCTGGGTATATGTAGATATATCACTAGCAAGCCGCCCGAGCCGTGTGATATAGGCACGATGTGAGGTTAGGACAAATATCAAACTCAAAGACAGGATAATAAGTGAGAAGGTTTTGTGGATAATCCCCTTTTCGTGCACCCCTTGTACGTTTAGTGCTGACTAATCACTTTTCCTCAGAGTGTGACGTCTTTGTATTTAGGGCAGTGGGCATGTAAGTTCAACTTACTGAGGCGTGACTCGTGAATGATTTTAAACTAACCATGTCATTGTTGAAACATAACATTGGATGTATTCTCATTTCATATCTGTATCCTAAATCCAAACCAAAAATTAGACAAACGATTCCTCTTTAATTTATTTATTTCCAGTTTATATAAATGAGTATAATCTAACGCCGATGTTAGCACTAGTCCAGCCACTACACGGCAGGGGACACAGCTTCACACATTATGTGGAATGAGTGGGTGAGTCTTTAAGCCGCTTTTAGCAATATTCCAGCAATGTCACGGCGGGGACACCACACATGGGCTTCACATTGTACCCATGTCGGGAATCGAACCCGGGTCTTCGGCGTGACGAGCGAACGCTTTAACCACTAGGCTACCCGACCGCCCCTCACATTATGTGGAACAAGTCGTGGTTCCATAGTGGGATTCGAACCCGGAACTTCGGTTTAGAAACCAGCGTTGAAAGCCACCCACCGTCCCCTATGTTATCACAGCGTTCATCCGAATTTCTCTATGCATCGTAAATTACTTTTTAACACTGTATTTGTGTTATTATTATATGACTGATGCCATTCTCTGTTCACATATATATTTCACGGGATTGTAGTTTGTTTTGCACCTAGAAAGCAAAATGATTCACGGCATTCACTCGTAGCCTATTTACCAATATATTGCTGTCTAGTCTCATCTTCCCAAGGCAAGAGTGTCCACAAGCCTGTATCAAAGTCTGGTTTTTGACCAGGCTAGTGGATACTCCTGCCTCGGGAAGATGTACAACTGTATGTATAATACACATCAACATACAATCATCACGTGAGCCTACAGATACTTTACCTCGCCGCTGTCCCGTCGTTCGGCCTTGTGCTCCTGGGGTACGGGAAAGCAAACAAAGGCTAATTAGCGAGCAGGTGCAAAGAGTCCCCACCCCACGCTCTCCTTTGCCCCACCCTCCCGAGTGTGGCAGCATCCCAGTGAAATCCCCTAAGTTCACACAGCAGAACGTTTGATGCAAACAAAACCATTCTCATCTTCTAATCAACGAAAATGTCAGACTTTAGTACATCTATGTTCTACAGGTAAAACATAACGGATGCGAAGTGTTTAACGAAATGCTACGACCTACGGGAATTAGGATGAAATCTACAATTATTCTAGACACAGGAAAATAAACTCTTCGTGATATCAGTAAGTCAGCGACATGCAAGGCTCCGGTGTAGTATACAACAAGAAGTGTTTACGTAATCTGCGGGAGCCTTGTATATCAAACATCGGGCGAGATAGCAACGCTTGGGGAATAATTATGTGCAGATCACAATTCACTGACTGGCATAGATTTCAAAAGAAAGAAAAAGAATATTAAAAAAACATGCACTTCAAATGTGCAGCGAGCACCATGCACGTGTGCGTGTGCACCTCAGGCGTTCTGCCACCACATGCACCTCTACTGCACGTTAAAACTACCTGGTATCATCACACGGGGCCTCGGTTACATGCATCTTCCCGAGGCAAGTGAGTTAACTGACTATAAAAGTCCAGTTTCCACCCTTGCCGAACTAGGCTGGTATTATGGAGTTACATTTTGGCTGGACTAACGAGTCTATGCATAGTCCAATCAAAATCGCAAACCGAAACCGAAATCCGGTTCGTAAAGTGTCATGCAGATTTCGGTCGACTGCAGGATTTGTAAAACATGTGCACCGCTAAATCGTTGTCAACAGATATTTTCTATATCTTTTCATGTTTTTAATCAAGGTGCTCACGTGATTTGATGCACTTCCCGATGTAAGACTCGTTTTATCACAATATAGATCTTGATTATCAATCAGATCGTCTTGACTGGGCGCCACCGTTTTGTTTGAAGCAAATGCAAGTGATACGAGAGGTTGAATCTGATTGGTCAATAGGAGAGGCATAGAAAGGACATAACTCGTAATAGCCACTGGTGGCGCTACGATCGAGCCCAGGAATTCCAGCCTAGTTCGGCAAGGGTGGAAACTGGACTTTTAAAGTCAGTGAACTCTCTTGCCTCGGGAAAATGGGTTACATGCCGCTACAAAAGAGTGACATAGTTGCACCTACACTACACAGACAGTCTATATTGATGACTTTGCTACAATCAACCATTACGGGTATATACCACTCTACGGGGGACAATGCTAATTCTACCACAGAGGTCGATGCGATTGTTCATTGTCAAGAAGAATCTCAGTCGGTGTAACTGTTCGTCTAATGTCACCTAAGGCTGATATACAAGTTTTGATTCAAATATATCATTTCCGCAGTAATTAATGTCGTGCGTATTCATGATCTATGTGTGTTGAATCCTCTTTGAAATAAGTCATGGCCTTGGAAGTATTTATGTTCGTGTCTGTCACGAGAAAAGGGTTAAACTAATTAAAGCGGGAATTAAGAATAGCCACCGAATCACATTAAAGTGACACCGTGTTCGCAAAACGGATGAGTGGGTCCTATCATGCAAGAAACACCCGTCGTGAAGGTCAAAGTCGAGGTCGAGGTCAAGGTCGAGGTCAAGGTCGAGGTCAAGGTCACGCCAGATTAGACCGACAAGCTTTCAAGTTAGAACACCCCGATGCGCCAGCCCCAGGTCTATTTTCCAACTGATGAAGTTTCAGTTTCGCACACCTTCCCTTTGGATCATTTCTATCCCTTAACAAAAAATCGGAGTGAATCTTCGGACGTTACACACTGATGCATCGCGTTGGTTAGTAAAACGCATTCGTGAGAACACAGTACTCCACTATTGCAGGTAAGTGCACGACAAGGACAACACACATGTGAGAGACTTGACGAGAAACGCCCATCCCAAGTGTTACCACTTTGATTTTAACAGTGTTAAACCCACCCACCGTGCACACGAGTGAGTAAAGAAAACGAAATACAGAAGGTCAGATGTCACCACGCTTTTCGAAATGCGAGAAGATTGTGTTAGTGAAGTGTTGGAATAGTAGATGTTTTCAGAGAGTCCACCCAAGAGGGGTTCTTGCGTTCTTACCGGTCCGTTTGGGTTTGTGGTCTGTAAGGATAAAATGCTAATAAAAAACATGGACGTGATACAACTAACTACAATGACAATGGCATACACGTACTAGTTTTCTACAAACTGTAGAAGGTCATACTGGGGTGCGTGAGGTAAGATGAATCTAATGTGACAAGAATTGCAAGAACATCTACAGAACGAAGTGCCCCCTGTGCTTGCAATCACACTGACATGCTTCTGGCATATCCGTCAGACATCATTCTTCCAGTCTGGCTCAGTGTGACTGCCAATCAGATTTGAACTTACTAGGCCACAATAAATTACTTGATATATTTTTATATCTTTTGCAGATGGAGGACAAATTCGAAGGAAGCAACTGAAATTATGTCATCACTTTGAGACACTTTTAGGTAAAGACAAGTGATTCGGTACCTACGATATAATGTCTTGGCTCGGAAGTTTATTAATTTGTTGTGGCCTTCCTTGTTGTGATTGGGTACCATAGTAGCATAACTCCAGGCTAACCAAGGATGAACATCGTATCAAGCTATATATTTTTTTCCAATAACAATTCATACCTTACCATGTATAAAAATCCAAATCGACCATTTTACAAATGTAATGGCATACAAAATACATTTTCCGTCCAAGATAATTCACTCATTTTCGCGAATATGGCTTTTCTGTAAATGTTTTTATGAAGGATGGTGTCAAACTTGGTTCAAGATTCAAGATTCCATACACATACAAGTTATAGGTTCATGCAAGCAATGTGCACAAGATGTGTCCTTTTCATCACAACACCGGAAATGCATCCTTGCATTGACAGAGCATGCACAGAGAGACAGATGAGAGAGCACTCTACAGAGACTAGCCACTGGCCCCGGCTGCATCAGGTCCATCCTGACCACGAGACATACTTACATACTGAGTCTGTTCCCGGTCCGAGTCCTTGGACCCTACGTACTCGTAGACGAAGCAGATGTTGGGGTTGTCGAGCACGGAGTAGTTGTTGCCGACGTCCACAAACAAACCTGGAAGGGATGAATTCAATGACTGTTATTGCTTGTGCTCAGCATTCGGGTACTTTGAAGTTGGAGACAGTTCTTTGAAATGATGTAGAAATCAAAGAGTCAAATCTTTTTCCATAACCACACGAAATGGGAATTCCATGATCTGACGACGGCAATGGGGATTTGTATCAAGTGGATGTTTGTTTGTTTGGTTGTTGAACGCCGCGCTCAGCAATATTCCAGCTATATGAAAATATCTGTAAATAATCGAGTCTGGACCAGACAATCCAGTGATTGATACCATGAGCATCGATCCACGCAATTGAGATAAATTACATGCATGAACCATGTCAGCAAGCCTGACCACCCGATCCCGTTAGTCGCCTCTTACGACAAGCATAAACCCAATTTTACGGCAAGTATGGGTTGTTGAAGACCTGTTCTACCCCGCATCTTCACGGGTCGAATCAGTGGGAACTACTGGATCAATTTGTTAGCGAATCAAAAGCTATTACGTATGACACTAGTGCCGTGGAGAGAATCCCGACGCCTACCTATGATGAGTTCACAGAACTTGGCCCTGATGGAGTCTGGCAGCAGCTCGGACTGGATACACAAGAACACATCCTCCCACGTCACGTAGCCGAACTCTCGCGTGATCACATGGATTGCGAAGTCATTCCGGCCCTGGACATGATAATACAAACATATGTGAAACATTTAATTTAACAATATCAGATGACCGTAACTCAGATATTTGACATGTTTGAACAGTTAGCTGGTGTAGGTTTGGTGTAGGGGACAATTCGGAAGACGATAGACAGAAAGGGGCTACTCACAAAGCAGAATGCCTGGAAGAGCTCCAGTTGGTGCAACAGGAACTGGTATTTCTCTTCGTCATATTCAGAACTGTTGGGCTGGTAACAGATAAAAGGAGTATTTAAGTTCGCAACGACGTACAAGCTGCTACAAATTAATATATTAAATATTGAAAGCCATAGTTTAGTCGCGTTGACAGCATGAGTGAGTGAGTGAGTGAGTTGGGTTTAACGCCGCTTTTAACAGTATTCCAGTTATATCGCTGCGTGGCAGCTTAATGTGGGAGGAAAGCCCGAAGTGACGCAGGTCTCAGACGTTTACCACTTCGGTGAAACCCACGAGCACGGGTATGGTGCTGACAAACCTAGAAACATAATCGGGGCGAACCGGGATTCGAACCCACAATCATAGGTTTCTGGCGTGCCCAAGGGACGCAACTCGGCACAGCGAATCGCGGCGCCTTAGATGACTGGGCCACCCGTGCCCCCGTTGATAGCATGAACACCAATATTGAAGTCAAGACACACACACCCTTAAAAAAACAGGGTTAACATTTTTTGTTGTCAACATTAAATTTTATACCAACTCTTAGCAAGCGTTAAGAGAAAACAAGTAATTCGAGACAAACGAGTTCGATATATAACAAGAGAATACACGTAACGCAGTTTGAAATTAATCGATATTCTAAAAAATGTAATCAATATGTTAACAACAGGTCTCATCTGTACACAAATGAAAGAACACAAATGACAGATTGTCACGAAATCGTATGCAAACAAATGTCGTCCCGGGTTGATGGTAATGGAATCCTGGGTGTTCCGGTAATCCGTGCATTGTCCTACAAGGCTAGACTCACGTCAACAAAGTGATGCAGGGCCACCCAGTGGGAGCCGCCGTCAACAGAGATGTAGACGATGTTCGGCTTCTTGTTGATATTCTGACCACGGTCCATTAAGTACACACTGTCCTGTAATATAATATCGACAAGATTACAGAATGTCAACGAAATTGAATTGGTTTTAACAAAAAGGAAATATCGTGGAAGCCATTCGTGATTGGTGACTGGTGTTTAGAACTTCAAACACCACGGGAGATTGCTTTTTCGACAAAGTTGAGTACACCATTCTTTGTCTGAAGGATTTAACGGTTTGATGACGCTATCTGGTATACACGTCCCCGGTTTCTGGAATAGGTACAGGACCGACACAGATTGTTCTTATACCGAAGATATAATCTTACCTTCAATATACATAATTATGAATACATTGCCCAAAATTTACAGGGTTTTAAATTTGTACGAACCCCAATACAACAAAGAAATAAAAGAAATTCTATCTATTATTATCAATATATTGAACCAGTAAAGTGAAATGTTTGGAATATAGATGGGGCGATTGCTTATGTCTGATTTACGAATTGGTCTGTGTGTTTATTCAAATTTATAGCAAGCCAGCTTATGGAAAACCTAAAATGTACGCTAAAAGAAATAAGTGAGTGAGTATGGTTTTACGCCGCTTTTAGCAATATTCCAGCAATATCACGGCGGGCGGGGGACACCAGAAATGGGCTTCACACATTGTACCCATGTACCCATTAATCGCCCCTGATTTTCAGCGTGACGAGCGAACGCTTTAACCACTAGGCTACCCGCCCGCTCCTAAAAAATAAATAAAACCACATGGATTGAGTTCAATGATACGATTGAAACACTAAATGATAATGGTCACTCTGTAGGCTGACCTTGTAGGATCGCAGCCACTGCTGCACGATGTAGCTCTGGTTGTTGGGGATGGCAACGCAGTCGCAGACACACAACACCTGCAGGAGGTCCAGGAACCGGTAATTCTGGAAGCAAAAAAGTTCCAGAAAGAGGTTTGTTTAATGCTGTCTTGAGCAGTATTACAATGATATCACGGCGCGGCAGCTTCATGTGGAGGAGGCAGGTCTTAGACGTTTACAACTCCTATGGGTACGATGGTCACAAACCAAGCATCAAAATCAGGGAGCATCTAGGATTGGAACCAACGATCATAGGATTCTTGAACGAACAAGGGTCCAAGCACCGCAAACCTAAACTAGCGTTATGAACAACAAGGGTTTGATTTGCATTAAAACCCTCAAAAATATGTCTTCGATATATAGGTAGAGACGATATGTATCGTTATAGGCCGGATAGTCCAACATCGGAACACAGATACGGTGGAAATGTGAATAAATCCTAGAACTTAATGAAGCTCCACTGTTTATGCCATTTTTATTTGTTTAACAAAAGATGAGACTATAAACAGTGACCATATTGTGCAAATTGTTTATAACACAAACACATTTTCTGTTCACTGTTGTTATTTTGTTCCACCTTCTCAAAGATAAGCCAGAAGATGTAAACACCCCAGGGTACGGGTGACCTTACCTGGTTGGACCTGAGCAGCTGGATGAAGATGTCGATGTGGTTGTTAGTGATCCTGTCCACAATCTTCCGCTTGTCTCGGATCAGCTCGACAATCATAGAGGCCACGTTAAGGCCAATACCACCCTGGAGTCATGGACAGAGAAGTGTAAAGAAACACATCGACACATCAGAAATAAAACACGACACTTCCAGATTCGTTGTAGGTAATAGGTACATAGGTAATTTTCAACAAATACAACACAATGGTAAAATGTCTTTAAATGATATATGTGACCCACCAGGAGATTAAGACCTGATGGTGAAAAAAAAAAAATCACATTTTGACTTTTCATTATATTTTGAAACTACAGCATCTTTGGCACACACAAATACAATTCACAAGCTTCAATTCCTATTTAATAGAGAGATACATGACATCAAACATGTGAACTCATTTTCCGACATAACTATTTATGCAATATTTGCAATTTTTAGACAATGTCTTATGAATTGAAAGTAGATAGATATGTATGCTGAAAGGTTTTGAAATAATGTTTTTATTAAATAACGAAATAACGAGAGAAAAATAAGATATTGTTGTACAGGCCGCACACATGGCGATCTTCACAGAAGTAAGTTGACGTCAAACGATGGTATTCTAGCACTATGTATCCTAACACCCATAAGGTCCCTTTTCTCCTGGGGGTCACATATTTTCTTTCGACCGCCTACATTTCGGGTTTAAGATGAATATAGGTAATCCAGGTGATTGGAACAGAGTTCCTCCCTTATATCATGCTAAGAAAACTGAAGAAAAGTCCGTACTACCTTTTGCGTGAACTGTGTCTGGAAGAAGTCGATGTACTTGGCGAAGTAGAGGGCGTTCTTCCTGCTCTTGCCTATCATGTAGGCGTGGAGGACATCGTAGGCCTCCTTGAAGATCCTGATAAGATGCGCCTCCTCATCCCCATCTCTTAGTGGGGACTGGAGCAGCTTCACCAGCAGGTCGATCACCTGAGCAGGAGGAGTGGAGGATTAGCGGAGTCTTTATGAAATGCCTGTGTGGCAATATTCCAGCTATATCAACGAAGTCACATCCGGCCCATCTACTTTGTCGTCTCTTACAAGACCATAGGTGACTGATTGTCTCATTGTCTTACCCGTAAGTTCCGCATGAGCTTCTGTCTGTCCTTGTCTGGTTTGTTGTGTGGCAGCATGAAGTCCTTCACCTCTCTCAAGGCCTGGAAAACAAGAGAACCATGGGAGTGAGTGAATGTTGTTTGCGTTTCAAAAAAATAAAGTAGACAAAGAATTATGGATGCCAATCTTGTTGGATAACAGTATAAGATCTATACCGAAACGTCGCTATTACAGTACAACAAAGGTGTTATCCATATTTCTTTCTACTTTGTCATCCTTCAACTTCTAAGAAAAGCTATCAAATCAATATGCTGATGTTAATAATGAACTATTGGCCAGACAAACCGGGGAAGATATATGCAGTATGAGTATATATGCATCTATCTCAATCACACATTGGTACCATCCGATCAAAATTTGAGCCTGCCCTCGCGACCACCATGTGTTATTGAAGAAACGGGCTCTCATATATGAAGAAAACACATAATAACAATCGTCCCTTTGGTCACTTTTCAACAAAAATCTTGGAATCGTAAACTGGATTTAGAGCCACCTGCTTTAAAAGTTTATATTTTTTCCTAAACAATATGCACGCACCATAAGTATTCCGTGGGTCTTCCTTGCATTCAGCGGTGATGCACTCCGACGCTGCAAAGACAGGGTTATAAATGCAACTATTTCAATATTGTGGATATCATCAACAAAATCGGTCGTTTTGTTTTTGTATATTGAAGAACAAACGTTAATGTACAATGGACAACGGGTTAAAGTACGCACGTCCTGTATGAGGTTGAAGAGGAAGGGCACCATGCCGGCCACGTAGTTGAAGTTGCCGACGTCCACCTTCTCCACCCGCTGTATGGTGTAGGCGTCGTCGTACACGCTCTCATTGCTGGCGGACACCTGTAGGAAGGACGGAGAAAATGTAAGTCTAAAAAATATAGAACGTACATTCGAGTATATGCCCCTCTGTTTATGAGTGGTTTATTAATTGTATTTCTCCAACATTGAAAACGATCTTTTGTGTTTAAAGTTACTGTATGATTCATAAACAAGCAGATGCAAAACTTTACATTCCTCCTTAGATGATTTTCAGTAATAATATTTATATATTAATATTTATTTAACTTATAGTCCTCCGCTTTTTTTTATAATAAAGAATAACAAATGTGACATTGAAAGGTTTGTGGAGATGCGTTTACAGCCACAATATATTCATGGAAGCGCCGTATAATCTACCTTTCTGACCGCAGCGCCGTCCCAGCGCAGCCCTTGCATAGAACGCTCATTGTCACCATCGAGGTACTGATGCTTCTGATAGTCTTCATCTGAACAGGACATTGCATGCAGTGATTAACATACGACCGCTAACAAGGAGGGTAGAGAGCAGTGAGATCACAGGTCGTAGTTTTCTCCACACAAAAAACATGACATGTTTACGATGGTCAGCGTGCAATATCAATATGACGAATATATATCAGTTCATTTTATACAGCATTAACTAATCCTTTAAACAGGATCTTTAACCGTAAGGTAATAGGCCCAGCTGAGTGCCCCCTTCAACATCGATTAATATTATGATACCTCCATTCTATTATATACATTTTTATTCAATGCATTATCTCTCTCACTAGTGGCCAAGATCCCGTGTTTTAATCTGTATAAATGATATTGTTATGCCAAAATATTTTTGATAATATTTGTTGTTAAATATAACTTTGCATTCATGACTCCCTTGGGAATAGATCAACTTGGTCTCGTCACTATAAGGCTGAAATAATGCCGACGCGACGTTTAACTTTAACTCACTCACGCCCTATCGCTCCATTCTAAAACGATAAAAATGGTTATATAATTGATATATAAATAATCGAGGACGATTATATTTAATATAGAGTATGGTTTAGAACATGCCGAGAACTGGAATTAACTCAAAAGAAGAATATTTTCAAGGAATACATAAAGTCCCGAGCAAAGTAGAAATTATAAGAAAAACTAATAGAATAGCAATGAAATACGGCTAATAGAATTATGGTAAAGCTAGGATAAAATAAGGTAGGTTTAAGGTAAAATAAAGTAAATATGGATTAACAGAAAAGGAATGATGAAAGATATTTGTCATTATTGACTAATATTGGCGTATACTAGAATATTACTCTAATAAAATTAAAATCCTTTTATCTCGAAGTTCATAGATTAAACGAAACGTTCAATATGAGTAAGTCACAGAAATGAACATGCCCAGCCACTATGATTCCACAGTGATTAAGGAAGGTTGACTTCGAGGTAACAGGTCAGGGGTATATATTGACTATTTCTGAATATTATACGAGTATGGTTTGGCCTGGGAGATGTACAGCATCTCGGTGGTACCTGCGGCCCGTGCATCCGACACCAGCAGAACTAAAAACACGTAAACTTAAACTGACTGTGCACTGGATGAGAATGAATGGAACCTTTGAGTGCGTGTAGCCAGCAGCCTGTCAACATATGCTCGATCCGGGCGTAGCTCTCAAACTGGATCTCATCCCGCTCCTGAAACACGGGAAAATAGACATGATTCTCTAGGGATCAATATTAGACACTATAATGCAATATTATACAATACCGTACAATTTTATACAAAACCGTACAATATCATACAATATCATAACTATTATATATTATTATAAAATATCATACACTATTACACGTTATTATACCTTACTATACAATATCATACAGTATTATACAGTATTATACAGTATTATACACTATATAATACAATGTAATAGAATATAATACACGATTATTTTGTTTGTTGTATAACGCCGCACTCAGCAATATTCCCGCTGTATGACGGCGGTCTGTAAATAATCAAGTCTGGACCAGACAATCCAGTGATTGACATCATGAGCACCGATCCACCCAATTTGGATGCGATGACACGCATCAGCCAAGTCAGCGAGCTTGACCAACCGATCCCGTTAGTCGCCTCTCACGACAAGCATAATACAATATTATATCCTAATATACATTATCATACCTTAGTATACAATATCAAACATGGGAATGATAGCAATTCGATTTTAACACACAGGAATAGTGAATGAGAGAGCAATATCCCTGCAATATCACAGCGAGGGGCACAGAGATGGAGCTTCAGCAATTGTACCATGTAGAGAATCGAACTCGACTTGACCTACCTTGAGAACAGAGTGAAGCCGGAATACCGTCCTGGGGTCAGAAGGGTCAGGACAGAGACTGACCTCTGACCTGGAGTCTATACACAAATACTGTCGCGTCAGCATGTGACGTAAGCGAATCTGTTGTTCCCAGCGCAGTACGTCACCTAGAAACGTGAAACATTGATAACCTTCTGTCAACGTAAACACAACGGAAGTAGGCATGTCAATGGGATCGAGGAAACTGATTGGAAGTATTCGCATTTTGTATTCTATTATTAAAAAAATCCTGTTAGTTTGGCTTTTGAGCGATAACCAAGAATACAGGCGAACTACCTTTTGTCAACATTAAATTTCCAATATCATACCAGGTTTATCGACTTGATTACCTGAACATTATAGCTATTTAATCCTATTCCTAAACCTTTTTCATTTTGTCTTACATCTATAAATGCTCGTATTGATATACATGTTAATGGCTATACTCATCCAACTTCGTCTTAAGCAGGGTCACGGAATATATAACGATATATATGGACTAGTTCTGCTAGTGCAAGTCATTTACATGGTAGAGACATGTCAAGCTATTAGATTTCACGTTGACGAGGAATTACATATGCGTTTCACCCTCTTTGCATTGTTTGTGATGTAATACTTTAATAGTGCGTTTTAGTTCTGTCAAATGGAAAAAGAATATTTTTAACTATCACGGGGAATACACTGAGGAAATGGAAACGAGGCTGCCTCACCATCAAGAATACTGTGTTCAGCCTCGATCTGCCAATAGGTGATACCGGAAGTAGATGGAGACAGGGACTTGGGACGATGCTGGTCGATTGCACGCACTCGGAAGTGAACTGAAATCATATATGAACAGTGTATATTTTCATATCCCATCAGTTATATTGCTTTGAAATTATAGAAGATATTAGCGAATACAGATTAAGATGTCAGCAAGAAACAAAATGATGCATTAACTCATACCATCTTCAGTGACAACCTCGTCAAACAGGCCCTCGGCGACCAGATACGCCTCCAGCTCTTTGTGGAATAATCGAATCACTGATCCGCCCTGTAAATATAAAATGGCATTGGTTGCAATAAACACGTGGAAAAAACGTTCGTCTCTAAACAGATTTCGAAAGGATTTGCATGAATGTGAACGTCTTTATAGCTCATTGTATGATTTAGTAATTCAAAAAGCAAAGTGTGACTCAATAGAAACCAACCCTGACAAACTTGTCCAGTTCCAGGTTTTCACGCATGCTTCCAATGAGTGTAAAACTCGACCGCTCTACGCCAAGATTTAACTCCGACCTGTAAACGAAGGTTCAATATTTTGATTTCAAAGATACTGATAAAGTACTGAGCAGCATTTTTATTACAAACATGTAATATTCATAATGTTCAGAATACCGCGTTCATGGCTTCTAATTAGAAAGGCCAAAGGTTCGGAATAATTAAGACATGTTCATAGCCTTTCAAAATTGTTTTGGAAGTAAAAGATATTCCATTTGAAAGAGAATACTTGCATGTTCAAAGCTAAATTTGTGACTGAAGGAACGTTTGGAATATTTTGAACATGAACAAGTCTTTTGCCCAATTGTTTTTCTTAGATGTAAATAAAGACAGTTAAAACATTTGGTGAAAAATTCATCTCGGTTCACGGATTGACTCCTGCTTAGACATTTACATGAGTTTAAGTGAGCGAGTTGGGTTTACCGCCGCTTTTAACAGTATTCCAGTTATATCGCGGCGTGTCAGCTTAATGTGGGAGGAAAACCCGAAGTGATGAAGGTCTCAGACGTTTGCCACTTCGGTGAAACCCACGAGCACGGGTATGGTGCTGACAAACCTAGAAACATAATCGGGGCGAACCGGGATTCGAACCCACAATCACAGGTTTCTGGAGTGGTCAAGGGACGCAACTCTGCACAGCAAATCGCGGCGCCTAAGACGACTGGGCCACCCGTGCCCCCTAAATGAGTTTGAAAACAAACCTTTTCCACTAATTTTAACCATTGATATAAATTTGACCATGCCAGGATACAAAATGAATCGGGGCTTGTAAGTAAAAAGTTAAAGTCAAACTATTGGGTTTCATAGAAGGTTGTCCAGCTGCCTGTGACTCAACCATCAAGAGTCTATGGTGCGTTTCAATGTGACACCTCACAAACACTTCAAAGGATCAATGTTCGTATAACAAATTCTGTCATTTCTTCAACATGACGAAACAAAACCCACTGTGAAATCTATGTGTTTTCCTTGTTGTATCTTTTGATGTGTGTTTACTGCTCGACTTATTTATTGTTTATTGTCTCGACCTTGTCCTTGATTTTGTTCCAAACTCAAAGCTGTGTCTATTATTGAAGAAGGGAAACAATCTAAACCTTTAGCAATAGAACACAAGACTGCTCTGTTGGTGCCATGCGGGCAACAATTGACTATTCTGAGCTATCTGTATTCCGTGGTCTGGGGTTCAGTGGTAACTATCTTTCCACAGCGAGAGCACGGCGATCAAAGACAACTATATTTCTGTGGGACACCTTGAACCTATTACTATTCATATCGGAGGGGTATTATATGCCACGTGTTCTGGATGAAGACATCAAGCTCTGAACTTGCCGAGGTGAACCTTTCCGCCATAGAGAGGTTGAATGCATTTTGCGCAGGCACCACATGTTGTCTGCCACACGGAAGGGTGGGGAGAGGGGATCCGGGGAACAAGCTGGGTAGGAGAACATGTATAAAAGACGAAAGTGGGGTAATATGTCGTGTGTTTATAATCAAAGCGGGTCAGGGTCTGTTCCTCAAAGCGATCTTACGACTACAGCTATAACCTCTATACTTTAACATCGACTTGCAATTACAATAGGGCTTTAACGGGTTTGTGGAACACTGCCCAGGACATGGTGAGCTCGACTCGGCGGCAGAGCTTTCAGAGTATTTCCAACAATGTAGGCCATTTAAATAACTCTTTCTGCAGTGGCAAAACATTCTTCATAAATTTAACCGCGATAAATTTAACATTTGAAACCTTACGGTCTGCGTTCGGTACCAATTCAATTTAGCGCGATTAAATTATAATTCTTGGTCGAGTGAGTGAGTGAGTTCGGTTTTACGCCGCTTTTAGCAATATTCCAGCAATATCACGACGGGGGACACCAGAAATGGGCTTCACACATTGTACCCATGTCGGGAATCGAACCCGGGTCTTCGGCGTGACGAGCTAACGCTTTAACCACTAGGCTACCCGACCGCCACAATTCTTGGTCGAGGTCACGAGGGGAATGGGTCTTTCAGACGAAAACCTGTTAAGCAATTTCTTAAAAATGCCACTATAGAAGGGTACCGGTAAGTATGATCAATGGGAGAACACAATTATATGTATGTATATATCACAGATAGCTGTATGCTGAGCGTAAGAAACTGAAAATAACAAGCGTCTGTATTCAACATCAAATAATACCGTGACGTGTCATTGTTTGCCTTGCAAATACATATGTATACAAGCTGGGATATTTTGCAATAAACTTATGAGTTGAATCATAAGTTCCTCATTTTTTTTGTGATGGACATTTGAAAAGGCCTTAATGCAATGTCGGACGCCAGCAGTGCGCATGCGCGTCAGGACCCGGTTGAAGACAGGAAGCCGGTTGCCCAGGGAGATAATTTGATCGCGCGCTGATATTGCCCAAATTGCTAGGATATAGGTCATGTGTTGGGGTAAGAGGGTGCAGAGGTATGTGTCACATCAAAAGCGGGACGACATTCAACAGCAGGGCATCGTTCACGTTTATTTGGGGGAAATGTAGACAAGGATCTCAATTTCTGGGGTCAGACAATGTTTGTGAATCAGTGTCGTGTTTCTGCGTCGTGGATCCTCATTCGGCACGAGTGAAATATTTGTGAAAAAGGAACTTCAGGGGGCGAGTGAAATGTGTTTAATGCCGCTTTGAACAGTATGTCAGTTATTTTATGGCGTGTCAGCTTGATGTTGGAGGAATGCCCAATCTGGGATTCGAACGAACGATCAGAGGTTTCCGCCACGCCTAAGGGACGCAACTCTGGGTAGTGTATTAATTATTGAGGCAAACGCACATGGATATTGTTTTTGCAGTATGTCGGGAATTAAACAAATGGACTATTTATGATATTATCTAAATGTGGTTTTAATGTCTTGAATTATAGTATTCTTGATACACAAGATGTCAAGATGTAACTTTCTTCTAATCACGCTTATGGAAAATATAACCTGGGAAAGTGATTGATGTTCTTCATATCTTTAAGACTTTTCATAAAAGGTTTTTGTTTCCGATTAGATAAGTTTTATTGGTTCAATTAGAAAACTACATCGACTTTTTCCAACTTTCAAAAAAGACTGTATGCATAAACCTTGAGACGAGTAGTTTGGATATATATGACTGGAAAACATATCGTGCCTAAGCGTTACACTAAACCCATCTTCACAAACCACATTTTAATGACAAAATGCACTGCAGCGAAGCGTTGATGGAGTAAGAACGTAGCGTAATCTCTCGTCAAATCTCATTTGACGCAACAGGTGCGTTCATGGTACGCACAAGGTTGAGGGGTGAGGTAAGGTATGCGAGGGTGAGTGGGAGGATAGATACACGTATAATCCCAAGATAGGGGTGGGTGGGTGTGTAGGAGGAGGAGGAGGAGGAGGAGGAGAGGGGGCAGTTAACGCATGAGGTGGAGAGAGTTAACGTTACCGGCCGTAAAACACCCACACTATAAGCTGCCATGACAGTGGTGTCGAAGTAAACACGGATGGCCTCCCTCCCCCCCCCCCCCCCCCCCCCCCCATACCTGGTCGGGCCGAACATGATCTGAGATGATGCACAAGGCCCTACGTGTCAACATATGTCTGTAGTTAACGCCTACTTAATGAGATCATACTAAAGTTGGACATCTAAGGAATTCTGTAGAATGTTGTGTATGTTTTCGGGTCACGAGCTCTGCTACAGTGCATCTCGGTGCAGGGAGTTTGGATATGACAGTAGAAAGGGATTGGACTCGTGTTTGGGAATTCCCAAGATTGTTTTGGGGATATTTTCAGCAAGAAAACAAAACATTAGAAGTATTACATGTCTCTAAACCAATCATTGGAATCTGTAAGGGTGGAGTATTCAAACGTTTTCGCTGTAGTCAAAACATACGCTTTAAAGTGTATAAAATAGCATTCTTTGATTATCTGCTAAACGTTATATGTGTGATAACATTTATACATACTACTTCTTTCTACTCTTAGTACATCCAAGGCGGAACTTGATTGGAACATGCAATCTATTTATTCATAATTTAGTTGTGATGTCTATATGTATATACTCTCTGCTTTCACCTTTATCCTTCCGTTTCTATAGGTAATGATGAAGCAATGAAACGTTTGTATATTGAAGATGACCAAGTAAATGTCACAATTTGTATCCGAGCCTTTTGTCTTTTGATGATCAAACATATTTAATATTACACATGATCATACTTGTTATTGAAATAACATTCCAGGTCTAACCGATTAACCGACATGATGAAACAGTTATTACTGAAATAAAATCCATTTTCTGGTATTCGAACTCTGATACCGTCCTGTCACGTGACGTGGCTATGACGTCAGCACTAAAGACTGCTTTCCGTTTTGAAGTGAAACCAAGCAGAAATAAGTACCACGAAGGTTAGATCCTTTAACATACAGACACATGTGTCACAGTCACCGACACCTTGCCACGTGTTCGACATGTGTCATGTATTAAAGAAGGATTACACGGTACGTTGCAGGAGTTTAAGAGGCGGGGGATGGAGGCGAGGGATGGAGGCGAGGGATGGAGACGGTGAAGTCCTTGTGACCTATGAACCCGCTGATTGCAGTACACGCACAACGTATCCTCGTTAAACCGTACAGCACCTTTCCAGGAACATCGTCCGGATTAACATATTTCCGTGTTTAGGGGGGCGGTAATGTTCACGTAGCTGTACGAGGACGTTCCTAATAAGCGAAAATGTCTGGAAGAGTCAGTGTACGGTTAATCGGGTCCGGGGTAACGAGTCACATAGAAACAATATCTCTATATTTAATAGTATATACTAAGCGTAAATGCAGGCCATCTTCACCCATTTTAAAAAAATTCCATTCCAATTTCCAACATGCATATGATTTGTTTTCATAGACCTGAACCTTTTAACCTTTCCCCCCCGATAATAAAATGACAGCACAGTGTCAGCCTATATCTCCACGTTAATATCACTTAGTTACCCCCGAAAAACAACCCCGAAGTGAACTGACCAGTTTTCTGTCTCCACCTTTGTACGTGTCTACGTGATTGTGTTGCGGCCACGGGGTATTTTCCTGACAATGACTTTCCCTTTCGTGTCATTAAGTAATGGGCAAATCAATGACAGTTGCCGCCATTCATTTTACGGATGAAGATTATCTGATGAAGCACACAATATGGGCTCCCTTGCCAGGAATTTCCATCCACCTGAGACCTGTTTATTTCCGCTTAGTTGACCCCACTCAAACCGTACAACCAGTTCCATTAATTCTTACTTTGAGAACTTCTTTTTTATCACCTTCGACAACAGGATTCGACCATGAAAATGATTTAGAGCTCTCCAACGTTAATGTCTCCAAGTGACTGTAAAGAATATAGCTCATGCATATCCAAAGTAAGTCCTCGGTCTCAGCGAACACCTATTGTAGCATTTTATGGTAACCATCAGCATGCCCTGGCATTTTTCAGTGTTATTCGTGATTGAAGTACATGGATAGGTCGGCTGACCGGTAACCTACCTCCACTAGGGAGGTTACTGGTCAGCCACTAGGGAGGTAGTTGAAGGGACGCATGACGCATGGTATGACAGATTATGAAAACATCCGACGTTTGTAAACTTCTTTTGAGTAGTAAACATGAGTGAGTGAGTATGGTTTTACGCCGCTTTAAGCAATATTCCAGCAATATCACGGCGGGGGACACCAGAAATGGGCTTCACACATTGTACCCATGTCGGGAATCGAACCCGGGCCTTCGGCATGACGAGCGAACGCTTTAACCACTAGGCTACCGGCCCGCCCGTAGTGAACAGTATTCTTCCAGTTGAACCCGTGCTTGCGTTAAACGCAGTACACGATACTATACAATGCGAATGCGTGTGCGGGTATACAAGTTCATAACGATGGTTAGAACTATGTTCAATACCCTTGTAATGATAGACTTAGCGGCGTAAACATCAATAAGGCGTGTGTGCTTGTGCGCATGCTTGCGTATTCTGCAAGAGAACTACCAAATAAAGATCGGTTTTTGAAACAATTATTTGTATAAGTATGTGTTTGTATTAGTGCGCGAGAGCGTGTGTTTCGTGAGTACGTACGTACGTGCGTGTGCGTGTGCGTGTGCGTGTGCGTGTGCGAGTCTGTACATGTCCTGCGACGCGAGGAGAGAGACAGTAAGTGGTTACACTTCTCACAGATCTCAATACCATAAATTAGTTTCAAGGCGCTGTCACTCAGCCGAGGCAGGGATAGATGGACCACTCCAAAACCTCATTTAAAAAAACTCATCTTCATCTTCCGCCTTTCATCACGGCCACAAAATGGAAAAAAGTTTGTTAGTCTCACAAGCATGTAGGGTCTTTTGAAGTTTTCGCACCTGTTTTTTTTTAAGAATAATAATTAAATACCGAAAGTGTTATACAACTAAACCTATCCCAATAACAGAAGCAATGTGTAGTTTCTATTGGAATAAGATTTAATTTTATCACTGCTATTAACTAAACACATACATTCCTCGTGCGGTAGGTGTGTTGTTGAGATTGGTATGCCTTCCATGTTGTTAGATAACGAAGACAATGTACCGTCGACATCAGCGTTCACGAAGGTGACGTTGACGTGGTGTTGCTTTTGTTTGTTGATTGAAAGGCGACTGATTACGGAGGAGATAACGGATATCTAAAAATGGTTTGTGTTTGTCCGGTCTCCCTCTAAAGGTTGATATTATTTATTTATTTACTTTGCAAAGCTTAATTGTCCTGTATTTGAGCACGATAAACAATCTTCACAGTAGTAACTGGAAGGGTGATTGAGTTGCCATGCATTTGATGTTTGTGTGTTTGTTTTTTGTTTAATTGTTCGAATTTTTTGTCAAGTCTCGAATTGTTTGTCAAGTCTCGAATTGTTTGTCAAGTCTCGAATTGTTTGTCAAGTCTCGAATTGTTCGTCAAGTCTCGAATTGTTCGTCAAGTCTCGAATTGTTCGTCAAGTCTCGAATTGTTTGTCAAGTCTAGATTGCCTTAGTCCTAATCAAGGATTGTTCTGGGATCCATTTGGCTCCAAAAGGATTTTAATGTTTTTTATTTTGTACAGATATATTTTTAAATAGGATAACTTTATTTCTGGGACAAAATGTCAATCGAGGCCTAAAAAGGCAAACTAGTGAAAAAAACGATACGGATCACTGAAATTCAGTGATGACACCAGGTGTCCGCGATCTAACAGTTAATGTAATGAACATACCCGCATGAGAAGTTGTCGATCTGGAAGGGGTCGCTTGTGTGAAAGTAGTGGCCTGGAGACTTGACACTCTCAAACACGATCTGGTCGTACAGCTGGACCTGGGAACAACAGCAGGAGGACATCAAGTGAGATAACCATTAACAGTGAAACCTCGCTAATAAGGATGGTTTATTCCGTATTGACCTATTTCCGACTTTCTTTGCTTCTTTGTTGTTTTACGCCGCACTCAGCAATAATTAAGCTATACGGCGGTCCATTTCCCAATTAACGAATAACTGTCACAGAGCTATATGTCATTGATATGCTACTCAAAAGAAGTTAAAGAACCCAACCAACTCACTCACTCACTCACAAAAGTGGTCGTCCCTTGGGCACGCCAGAAACCTATGATTGTGGGTTCGAATCCCGGTTCGCCTCAATTATGTTTCTAGGTTTGTCAGCACCATACCCGTACTCGTGGGTTTCACCGAAGTGGTAAACGTCTGAGACCTGCATCACTTCGGGCTTTCCTCCCACATTAAGCTGACACGCCGTGATATAACAGGAATAATGTTAAAAGCGGCGTTAAACCCACTCACTCAGTGAACAGTATTATACTTATTTTCTCGCCTGGTTATTTTCTGAAAACTAGGAAATCCTGACTTTGTGTGATTCTAATGTGCTTGTAACTAAAGACTCTTGTCGAATGGGAAATCGTCCTTTCATCAGTTGGCGTGCATATATTTTACATATAAATCCCGTGAAATGTACAACAGACAATGCTCTTTGTAGATATGCGTTCGCGTGCTGCACGTGCATTTCATGAAACCCCGACATATGGTTGTTCTTTTAGTAAGGAGAACACATACAGTGTTCTGCTGTACGAAAGAATGTTCGTTTTTTCTTGTTTTCGATGTCAACACCTTTGTATCCCAATAATCTGCATCTGCCATTCGGCCTTTATTATAAATGTCCTATCAGACACACTAAGATAATAGTAATTGTTCTAATTCTGACTGCATGTTTCTCTGTAGGTCGCGACGAGTCTGCGCGAGTCAGCTGGGAGCTGCACGATTGGCCGTCTGGAAGCTAGTACATGTGGTTCTCCCTGTGGTGGGAACCTATGTTGGTGCGCGTGATGAGCTGATCATAGGGAGGCCATCAGGTGGGAGGTATACCCTCACTCCCGCTTCCTGCAGCGTTCCGCCAGCCCAACCCGTCAGACACCTGACCCGGCCAGCCCAAACCGGTCAGACACCTGACCCGCCGGCCCGACCCGTTAGACACCTACCCGGCCAGCCCAAACCAGTCAGACACCTGACCCGGCCAGCCCAAACCCGTCAGACACCTGACCCGCCGGCCCGACCCGTTAGACACCTACCCGGCCAGCCCAAACCAGTCAGACACCTGACCCGGCCAGCCCAACCCGTCAGACACCTGACCCGGCCAGCCCAACCCGTCAGACACCTGACCCGCCGGCCCGACCCGTTAGCCACCCGACGACCAAACACTGGCCACCGTGGCCTCAAAATATGCTTAAAGAATGAATGGGCAGGAGTGACGCAATAAGAATGATAACAAAATGGGACAAGGATTGGTAGAACCGTATGTGATGGATAAACGTATAACTCGTGTACTTTATTATTCTGATAAGGCTATTCCGTAACATCATCTGCTTTATCATCACTAAAATATTGTTCAATCGAGATTGCTGATGCCTTATCTTTTTTTCCATATAAATTGTATTCTCCACGAAAATTATAGATAAATTGGGCAATGTTTATTTATTGATGAACCAACCATGGGCTATCACGTCTGATATTATGCTTCTTCTGTTCCTCACGAACATATTTCCTGGAATTTATTCAGTTATTTCTAAGCATTTGGTCAATGCGCCTCCGTTCACAACATTCCTGGGATTTAAACCAATGTTTTGAGGACCGCTTGCTGCTACCAATCCTTATAATATAGAATACCTATTTCGTCTTTTGGAAAGAAAAAGTTCCCAACTGGCATGTCATACCTCGCAGTCACAAAGGGCTTCCTTCCCCATTTGAAACCTCACGCTGTGGCTCGTATTTATAGGGAGTTAATGTACAGTTAACACAAATCTAAATTGAAACCCTCTGGCGTCTCTTGATCAAACAGACGACAGCGATACTGTACAAGCCCGAGTCATACAATTTAAACGAAACTGATTATAACACTTCACTGGGGAATTCAATGGAACCCCCGTGAATTGTACCTACAGTGCGCCTCGTCTATGAACACCTTGCCAACACCTACAGGGGTCAGAGTGTGACCTTTGCGGGTCAGAGGTCACGACTGTTATGGCCGACCTGTGTCATGTGGCTCCACCTTATACTGTTTATCAACATTGACTGGTTCTACAGGATACGTACCACTTCGCCTTCCGACTTGACTTTGTAGCGCGGTAAGATGCGGAATTGAGCGTTCTTTGCATTGAATTCGTGCATGGATACCTGGAACAGATACAGCGTTGTATATATCATATAAATATATGTTGATGATGGGCAGATGATAGCCCTGAGAAGAAAGAGATCGCCAGATAGATGTAAACACCCTAAGAAATTTTATCAATGATTTCCCTCTTGGCTGGCGCTTTTATCAATGGGTGCAGCTCACTGCCAAATCCGAGTTTGGGGGAATTAATCACTCCCTGAAAGGACTGTAAACAGTTTATCTTTCGACTGAAAGGTCTCCAGACACATTAACAGTCTCTGTTATGTAACAGAGAGGAAACTTTCGTTTGTTTGGTTGTGTGTTGAACGTATCTTACTTCGAGCAACAGAAATAGTTGTTAAACGATTGTTTAACCTGTGGGGGTAATATAACATTGGCATGGCATTTGAGGAAATGGGCGTGGTTACCTTCATGTTGTTCTTGTCTTTCATACTGGTGTGCGTTGTGCTCATGTGAACGAACTTCCCAGAGAAAGTATGCTTAAGCTGGAAGAAACAGAAAATTGTTTGAATGAGTATGTCAAATAAAAATGTATCATCAAATTACATCACAACACAGCTTGATGTTACCTATGACCGGCAGAGCATATGGACTCGCGTTTCAAGAACGCCCTTGTCATCTCTAGCTTCGGGGTACCATGAAATACGTCCATACTGTTTGGACTTGTTTTCCTTGTAAAATGGAGACCAAACGACTATATTCTGCGTTGGCATGGAAAGGTTGTTGTTGGTTGGTTTGTTGTTTAACGCCGCACTCAGCAATATTCCAGCTAAATGACGGCGGTCTGTAAATAATCAAGTCTGGACCAGACAATCCAGTTATTAATATCATGAGCATCGATCCACGCAATTGGGATCGATGGCATGCATCAACCAAGTCAGCGAGCCTGACCACCCGATCCAGCTAGTCGCTTTTTACATCAAGCATAGTCACCTTTTACGGCAGCCATGGGTTGCTGAAGACCTATTCTACCCCGGAAGGCATGGAAAGGGAGGGATGACTAACATATATTTAGATCGTGGTTTTATACGGTTCTTCTATGACGTTATGGTTAAACGACACACAGAGACAGACCAGACCACAGACCAGACCACAGACCAGACCACAGACCACGGGGCAGTATATTACCTTTCTGCCTTAGCCGATGCAGACTTGCACGGTCACTGGACATGATCAAGTAATGTCTACACAAGGGGATACCTATAAGGACGTCGTTTTCCCGGCACAATATAACTGTCCACTAGTCATTGTTAAGAGTGAGTGAGTGAGTTGGGTTTAACGCCGCTTTTAACAGTATTACAGTTATATCACGGCGTGTCAGCTTAATGTGGTAGGAAAGCCCGAAGTGATGCAGGTCTCAGACGTTTACCACTTCGGTGAAACCCACGAGCACGGGTATGGTGCCGACAAACCTAGAAACATAATCAGGGCGAACCGGGATTCGAACCCACAATCATAGGTTTCTGGCGTGCCCAAGGGACGCAACTCTGCACAGCGAATCGCGGCGCCTTAGACGACAGGCCACCCATGCCGCCCTCATTGTTAAGAAGTTTCGACACGACAGGGGTGGTTTTGAAACTATTGTATGAAAAGAACAGTGTTTTTACCATGAGGTTTGGACACACGACCTTGCATGGCCAGGGTATTACTTGCAGTGTGCAGTCCTCCAGGTGTTGTCCTCTCAAGTACTGGTGTTTGACTGGTCATGTCACTTCATGTCATGTCATGTCATGTCACGTCATGTCATGTCATTAAACAAAAAACCTTAAACGTCCAAGTGAGTGAGTGAGTATGGTTTTACGCCGCTTTTAGCAATATTCCAGCAAAATCACGGCGGGGGACACCAGAAATGGGCTTCACACATTGTACCCATGTCGGGAATCGAACCCGGGTTTTTGGCGTGACGAGCGAACGCTTTAACCACTAGGCTACCCGACCGCCCCAAACGTCCAAGGGAAACACTTCCCGTGTCGTCTGCTCATGGTGTGTGGTGTGATACTATTTTGGTGCCTTGACAAAATCTCCAAATGGATGAATCGGCACTGAGGGGCCGGAACCAGTTTGAACTACCAGGTATGTGATTACTGTTGTGTCTTTAAACGTTTTTCAACATGGAGAGGCCAGGAGTTAGTCGCAATACTTTCTAGGTTAACAGGACAGTCACCAAGTTTGCCAACAGCAGTAAATGCTCGAGGTATCCAAAGGGGCAAAACTTAGATCAAGACTGTTAAGTTAGCTGCTTTTCAGGCTAGTAAGGCACTGTTAGTTACTTTATATGGACGAATTAAAGAGGGAATTAACCGTCATATTTCAGAAATTAAAAAGCCACAGCATGCTTTCATGAAGAAATTCTGTTGGAATCATGAGAAGAACTAGTGACGACAACGATACCGAAATTTAGGATCCCCTGATAAAGATGGTCAAACGATATTGTAGGGAGAGATCGGACTCAGAAGATAATAGCCCATTGACTGAGAGCTGAGCACACGAGTTGTCTGAACTATCAGACTGTACACGGCCGATGACAGGGTCCCGTGAAGGACAAACCCATGTCGGGTAGCCATGAGCGCCTGTAACCCGTGTGTAGCCCTGTCCAGAGAGATGAACAAATCACTCATGAAGGACTGAAATCAGATCAAACGCTAATGTAAGATGGCTGAATATTGTGATCCGTGGAGTGTAACGACTGATATGAAACTTCTCGGTAGTTTGTCTGCTTCGATGATCTCGTTCAATAACGATCAAATAGCCAATACTCTTCCACTGATTTACCCACCTGAACTAGAAATACAGGAGACCAGTGAGACCGCCTCATCTGTTTAATATTTAGACATCTGCAATACTGTATGACAAGAGGGATGACTTCAACTTTTTAACAGTCAACTTTTTAACAGTCAACTTTTTAACAGTCAATTTTCCCGTTTTGTCGAGCAATATTCCATCAGCTACACCCTCTGGTGTTTATATTTCGCAACTTAAAAAAGCTTTATGGTTTACATGTGGAGGACATTTCCAAATTTGATGTATCAGTGATAAAAATTATGTCCGATGCAATTCCCTATTGACCATATGTTCAATTTTTTTCGGTGAACAATTGACTTGCCTTTGCATGTGTTTTAACGGTGGGGAAGGATACGCTCACCTTTTCGCGAACGCCTGGTATCATTTCTATTTGATAGTGATTCATAAACACATGCTCATGATATTGTCGGAATCGTACAATCGAGATTTCTTCTGGATGTGGAAAGGGTTTGGTCGCTTTATTTACTATCAAAATGAGAAAACATATCAGGTAGATGACATATTCATGAAGTGGGGAAATGAGTACAATGTTTTAAACATGTCACTTTGGAAGCCACTAAGCCCAAGCAATCTACCATCATAATCACTTAATTGAATGTGGTGAAATTTCAGTGGTTAAATTGATTAATCAGCTGTTGAGTTAGACGATTGAGAAAACCCAGAATCAAAATCTAACTGGGCGTAGCTGTTGTGAGATTAGTGCTGACAATTGTCGGTTGTAATCTGCTGTATCTGAAGGAGGTGAGTTGAGGTGAGGTGAGGTGAGGTGAAATGGGGTTTGACGTCGCGTCCAAGATTATTGCACTTATGTAGCGACGTGCTTGCACGTGTGTGTGTGTGCCTGCTTGTACTAGTCCAGACTGATGCCGATTTATAGTGCTAGCTCACTGAGATACCATGACGCAGAGTAACATGAATACCCCACTCAGACACAGTATACTGACTCCGAGCCGACCAGTCCTTGTTTTAGCCCCTTAATACCGAGCGCCAGACAGGGTAACAACAAGTACCATCTTTTAACGACTTTTGGTATGACGTCAAAAACTAGCCAACGATAATGTGACAGGAGGAAAAGTGTCTTGGTTGCAAGTGGACATGGTGTCGGTTTGAACCGAAGGTAAAGGTCCCGCCTCCAGAGGAAGTGTAACCTTAAGATGAACATGGTCCACACACAGCTCAAACCATCTCCAGCAATCCAACTCAAACCCGATTTGGACGGGCCGACACCCCTGTGAAAGCCAGGGCTATGATATTCGCTCAGGCGTGAGCCTGATCTTGGAGAGATTTTATTGACCCTAGCAGGGGCCTGGTTCTGTGAATAACTCTGCTGGGTAGCAAAACGTAACCTGACTTTGAAGAGATCTTAGTGCCCCAGTTTCTACGCTGCATGTGTTTTAAGAAATGTATAGTGTTTTTACTATGTGGCATCGGACACACGACCTTTGACGGCCAGGGTATAACTGACGGTACACAGCCCTCCGGAGAGTGCACGCTTAGAGTAGATACCGGCAGAGGTGAGAGCAGAAGTTGTTTTTTCTGCTCAGTGTGGTTGTCCGAACCTGTCTCCTGTTCTTGTGTTTGATTTTTCATGCCTTGAAATTAAATAAAAAAAGACCCCATCCTCACAAGCGAAAATACCTAATACCTGTAACATGAACCTATGACAACGGAGCTCCGTGCTATCACTCATCTTCTTTGGTAAGTAAAATCTTAGACTATTGCAGAGAAATATTCTGCTTCTGTGTGATGTACAGGGTTCCGTTCCACAAAGCGTTCTTTGCGCCAAAACTATCCTAACTTCCAGACTGTAGGGGAGGTGAAATGGGGTTTAACGTCGCGTCCAAGATTATTGCACTTATATAGCAACGTGCATGCATGCGTGTGTGTGTGTGTGTGTGTGTGTGTGTGTGTGTGTGTACTAGTCCGGACCAATGCCGATTTATAGTGCTCGCGCACTGAGATACCATGCCGCAGTTTAAGATGAATACCCCACTCAGACACAGTATACTGACTCCGAGCCGACCAGTCCTTGTTTAAGCCCCTTAATGCCGAGCGCCAGACAGGGTAACAACAAGTACCATCTTTTAACGTCTTTTGGTATGACGCGGCTGGGGATCGAACCCCGGACCTTCCGCTCTCCGGGCGGACGCTCTACCATTAGACCACGGAGGCGGTCCTTCCAGACTCACTACAGTTGTTACGATATGATCACTTTGAGGAACGAATCCTGGCTTTGGGGAATAAAAAGAACGATTCGCCAATATCTCCCTATGGCCATATTATTATGTACATAAAACGTGTTAGGAAGACGCCAATGCTCGTTTAAAGTTGTATGTTTTCTTATCAATACTCGTGTCCTGACGAGGGGGCGATGAATTACCCCAACACAATTAAGTGGGGAATACCAATGGGCTTCACATATTTCACTGATCATGTGAGGAATCGAACCCGGATCTTCAGCTTGACGATCTAACGCTTTAACCACTGGGCCACCATACCGCCCTTTATAGTTTGTTTGTTGTTTAACGCCGCACTCAGCAATATTCCAGCTGTTTGACGGCGGTCTGTAAATGATCGAGTCTGGACCAGAAAATCCAGTGATTTACATCATGAGCGATCGATCCACACAATTGGGATCCAATGACATGCATCAAGCAAGTCAGCGAGCCTGACCACCCGATCCCGTTGGTCGCCTTTTACGGCAAGCATGGGTTCCCGAAGACCTATTCTACCCCGGATCTTCATCGGTCTCAGCCCTTTATGAATTTGTTAGTTACTTGATGTAAAAATGAAAGGGGATGGCGCCCAACTGACCTGTACGATCTCGCCATACCGCACCCTCTTTCCATGCTGTCGCTTCTGTTCCGCCTCGTTGTCTTTGTTCTCAGCTTCCGCCGCCATCTGTAGGACAAGGGGGAGATAATACGTTAATATGAGGCGTGTGAGTTGGGCTTAACGCCGCTTTTATCAGTATTCCAGTCATATCACGGCGTGTCAGCTTAATGTGGGAGGAAAGCCCGAAGTGATGCAGGTCTCAGACATTTACCACTTCGGTGAAACCCACCAGCACGGGTATGGTGCTGACAAACCTAGAAACATAATGGAGTCGAACCGGGATTCGAACCCACAATCATAGGTTTCTGGCGTGCCCAAGGGACGCAACTCTGCACAGCGAAGTATCTTGTGTAAGGAAGATACCTTGTCGATGGGATAGCATACTTTTACGTTGTATCCTTTGTGTAAGGAACAGTTGGACGAAGGGGAGATAACTCATTGGGCATGACAAACATCTTATCTTGTGTGCAGATCAGTATAACGAGGGGAACGTAATTGCCTGTACGTGGAATAGCATACACCTACAATATATTGCGTGTGAAAAGTAGGAGGATAAATGCATTCTCGACGTTATATAGTGACGGATACCGGAGATACTGCGCATGGTATATGTCGGTCATGAATAGACCAGCTGGGAATATGAGTTTTCTGAATATAACATCACTATGTATTTAAGTATAACTATGATACGGCATTGGCGTTATGATTGTTGGTTAGTCGGTGTTTGGAAAGTAGGTTTATTATTTAGGTCGCAGTGGATCAGGCTCACTGAAGTTGATGAGTGAGTGAGTATGGTTTTACGCCGCTTTTAGCAATATTCAAGCAATATCACGGCGGGGGACACCAGGAATGGCTTCACACATTGTACCCATGTCGGGAATCGAACCCGGGTCTTCGGCGTGACAAGCGAACGCTTTAACCACTAGGCTACCCGACCGCCCCCACTGAAGTTGATGACGTACAGTAATAGCATTATTTATTGATAACGTGGACATATGTTCATCTTGATTGTGAGCATTAGTATGGTTAATTAAGCATTCATAGTTAAGGACAGAAGCAACTAAACCTCATTCTGATGCCAACATGTTGAGCGCGTAATGTCTTCCAAACCCCTTTATTTAAGATTTCTTTTTATCAATTAAGGGTCATTGTAAAAAAAACACATAGCGGGCTAGATACATATTTTTACCAGGGGTCAATGTTCTGTATCTGAGCCTAAGTTACCGTGGTCGTTCAGTTTCTTAACGTTGAGTGAGTTTGTTTGATACCGCCTTGGACAGTATTTCAGTTATATCACGACGTGTCAGCTTGATGGGGAGACAAGTGGCACGGAATATGGACCAAGAGTCATTATCAGAGCGAATCCTTGCATGACTAAGGGACGTAACTCTTCACGGCGAATCGCGGTCACTTAGACCACTGGTCGATCTGTACAAGGAATTATCACTTCTCTTGAGCACATTTCTATATGACCTTATCTATGTGTATTAATATACACGCATTACCGTAATGAAATAATTGAAATGCATGTAATAAGTGTCGTATACATAAAAGTATTAATCGTGAGATATCACTAATACACCAAGAAACTGCTGTTTTAGATATGTCCTGAGGTCTACTTGGGAATAGGAAGAAAAATGAAGTGTGAGTACACGTAAATAGCCACGTATTACATATGTTGACACAAAATATTCTAGTGAGTAATACACAACAACTATCTGTAAAAATTTACAATATTTTGAGATTATTCGCAAAAGATAAACACAAAAAGACGGGATGGGGCCAATTAACATACGTCGACAGGTAAAGACCCACACGTGGGTGGGTCAGGTACGTGCTAAATCTTTGATAAGAAATATTTCTTGGCAGGAGAAAGTCGAATACATACATCTCGGATACAGCTTGCAGAGACAACATGTCCGAGCAGGATGAGGATGAGGTACAACAACCTATATTTATACGATGTGTGCAGGTAAAGGAAACAAGCAGGTTTGATGCACATTTCAACTGCACTCAAGATTGGAACGTGTACTGCACTCATTTGCGTTTTATTTTATTTCATGAAGACATTCCATTGACTTTGCTGCTATTTTTAATTTCTATTGTTATAACATTTTGCAATTTTTTCAGACCATATTTGACATTAACGAACTGATCGAGAAACTGACACCTGTGGATTTGTATCAAATCGGGGATTGCTATTTGACAAAATCCCATTAGTGAACGAGTATTGTTTTACGCCGCTTTTATAAATATTCCACCAAAATCACGGCTGGGAACATCAGAAATGGGCTTCACGCATTGTACCCATGTGGGGAATCGAACCCGGGTCTTCGGCGTGACGAGCGAACGCTTAAACCACAAGGCTACCGCCGCCGCCGTCACATCTGTAAGTAGTATTGACTCATCTATCAGTTTTGTGTAATTTAAAATATGACTAAAGGACACATTAAACAACACGTTAATCACAAACGTACTTAGTGTTATACTGACAAAGGAATGTCTGTGTGAAGGTGCGTGTTGGATGGTCAAATGGGATTAAAGGGTATTCTAATTTGCTTTAGTGGCGTGAGACTAAATAAGATATGACCGGTTTCATAACATGTTTACTGACCTTGGCCTGGTTGAGCATGACCTTGATCCCCGGGTCCGCAACATCCGGGTTCTGTGACAAGGCAAGCCATTTTCGGTATTTTTTGTTGAGTTTGTACCTGTTCTGGATGAACATTTGGAACACCACAGCTGAAATAAAACATATTAACATATTGTGAAAAAAACAGACTTATACCACAACAAAACTCCATGTGATTAAAGGCTATTCAAAGTTGACGAGAATGTCCATGAAGTTTTACTCTTCAAAGCACCAACACTGAAGACAGCGCCAGGGTCTGTTTTACTATGTTATTATATGTATGTGGTCTTAGGAGAAAAACTGTCGGGGGCTTTTGTTTATTAGAATGGATCATATATTTTCCCGTTTCACGACATTAAAATGACGTTCCACCATGTCGAGATTCGAAGCAAGCCTGACCAGCCGAAACAGTAACATGTCCACTGATAGGCGCGAAGCTCAAAGAAATCGCAGTTCATCTTAAACTTTTGATCGGTTGTCAAAATAAACATATATATAATTTTAGACCCTTTTACTATTTTGGGTTTTTTCAGGGTCGGTAGGGTTAGAAAACAATACAGTTTCAAAATGTATATTTATCTGCCCTTATGGAAATTAAAAAGTGACAGGAATGTTATTTTTTTTACAGCATTTTACATGAATACAGTGCCACCCGTATGAGTAGCGATGAACCTCTGAATAACATTTCCTCCTGATGCGGAAACAGCATCCCACACAACACAATGCTATAGCATCTCTATGATATGAAAATAGTTTTAGAAATTATTTTGTTACATGTCCTGTAACATAATGTACAGAAACCAAAACAATGTGAAAAAAATCCAGACTTGCCCCAAGGCTTTCGGGGATGTTTATTAATTAATATGTTCGTGTTGGTGGTATGTCATACAAGGTGTGGCTGGAAAATGAGGGTGAGAGGTGTCTGACCTTGAGGGTTTGGAATGTTGACGGGTCTGTTGCGATCCTGGTTGGAGTACACACAGAGGCCATTGTTGGTGGAGCTGCAAGAGAAAATAAACAATAAAATATTAAGACATAGGAGGTGAGGTGAAATGGGGTTTAACGTCGCGTCCAAGATTATTGCACTTATATAGCGACGTGCATGCACGTGTATGTGTGTGTGTGGCTGCTTGTACTAGTCCGGACTGATGCCGATTTATAGTGCTAGCACACTGAGATACCATGCTGCAGTTTAACAAGAATACCCCACTCAAACACAATATACTGACTCCGAGCCGACCAGTCCTTGTTTTAGCCCCTTAATGCCGAGCGCCAGACAGGGTAACAACAAGTACTATCTTTCACATCATGGTATGACGCGGCTGGGGATCGAACCCCGGACCTTCCACTCTCCGGGCGGACGCTCTACCATTAGACCACGGAGGCGGTCCTTAAGACATAGGAAACAGTACGTATACAACATTCAGTGAGTGAATATTTATCAACGCGACGGTCAGCAATATTCAAGCTATTTCACGACAGTCTATATGATCGAGTCAAACCGGTGACCGACAGTATGAGCAACGATCCATGCCATGGGGGCACAATGTCACGACACTGGTTCACGCTGACATACAAGCAGACAAGCCGGATATCCCGACCTACTTTAGGCGACTGTTGCGACTATCATTGGTTACTAGGGACCAAATCTACCCTGCCTTCATACGGGTGTCAAGCCGTGACATGGAAACCGAACAAGCAACAGTCAACAAAAAAACCTGTGCTTGTATGACCATTTAACATGATCGCAACGAATTGGTCGTTCATTTATATAAATATAGTTTTTATCAAATTGATTCTGCGAAAGTTTTACCATTCCATGCCATGCCAGGCATGTTATTCACGAAGATGATACAAAGTGTATTGAATGGTGCTTGAATATATCAAAAACATGAAAAACATTAAATAATCATTTTTTTCAGAACCAATGCCGACAGAAGGATGCTAATATTGCTAAATGCTAGTTGACATTCTGACTGCGGGATCTGAAGGACAACTTGGCGGTGCTTGCATTACTGATAGTGGTTACCCGCTATTTCAGTATTAAAAAAAATACACATGCATGTCTGCGGGATCCTGAAGATTGTACACGCAAGGCTACAAGGTGTCGGTATGTTCTATATGATCGTGATCTTCACGGCACTCGCGCACCTGTAATATAACGGTAAACTATGTCCGATGTGGTATTTCGGCGCAGCCTCGATGCCAGAGCATGTGATTGGCATATAAACGAGGCGTAAAACAGAACTTGCGAGTAAGACAGACCACTGAATGGAAGTAGTAACAGACAAAAGAACAGGATGATCAGGTTAACCGTTAAACTTCACACATTCAATACAAATATACAGTAAACTACGGTTATAACGAACACGCTTATAACGAACTGACGGATATAACGAACTTACTTTTCGGTCCCGACTATTTGCTGTAGTTATGCTGTATATATGCTTATAACGAACTACGGTTATAACGAACAAAAATTAGTAGTCCCTTTGAGTTCGTTATAACCGTAGTTTACTGTATTTAAATTGAGGCTTAACTTTAACAAATTCAACCCATGGGACCATATGAACTAGCATTACTTTCTTCCAATAGCCGACCCGTGAAGATCCGGGCAGAGAATAGGTCTTCAACAACCCATGCTTGTTGTAAGATACGGCTATGCTTGTCGTAGAAGATGACTAACGGGATCGCTGACTTGGTTGATGCATGTCATCTATCCCAATTATGTAGATCGATGCTCATGATATCAATCACTGGCCCGTCTGGTTCAGACTCGATTATTTACAGCCGTCATATAGCTGGTATATTGCTGATCGCAGCGTTAAACAACCAACCAACAAATCTTCCAAAAGCCGAAACGTTTTGTTTTAGTTTCATCTTTTGAGTGGGTCGTTGGGATTTAACGCCGCTTTAACATTATTTAAGCGACACCACGGCGTGTCAGTTCGATGCGAGGGGAAAGCCAGAGTTAAGGTAGCTACCACTTTGCTGAAAATCACGACTTTTTGTATGATGCTGACAAACCGTCGATCATTATTAAGGTGAAACTGGCATTCAAACCCACTATCATAGGATCCTGGCACACTAAGGGACGCAACTCTGCACAGAGAATTATGGCGGGGAAACCTGTGCCCCATTTGCCTTCTGAATGAGCGTTAACTATTTTATGTCAGAGCTGTGTGGTATCCCCTTACAACACTGGAAAGCAATACTCATGTCAACGTGAACTTTTGAAAGAAGTTGATTAATTATTGCCATACCAGCTTCCACGAGTTTGAATGGGTTTTACATAAAGCCTTGCATTAAACGTCTATTGTGTGCCCGCGATAAAAATACGCTTTCTGCTTGTTTTGTGTGTAAACACTTCAAACCTGTTACTTGGATGTTATTTTGAAGTTTAAAGGGAAATGTCAAAAGTAACGAGAGGGTTTAAATGTCATATTTTGGAGTTCTTTCGCTACATGATCATGTGCACTTTTCTCCGAAGAGAAGGTTATGTTTCAAAGTGGCACAGAGCCCACCAGCCGTCCTACACTGCAACACCGATACCGCTAGGTAGCGTCTAGACTAACATCTAGTCTCTGAAATGAACATATCGTACATAAAAAAACAGTTGTTCAGTTATCTTAATAAAAATATAATAAAAAGGAGACCAGTGACTCTTCATTTTCAGATACTGCAGTGATCTAGACTTGCCAAACATTATAGACTTGCATGGGCTGTATTTGATATATATTTGTATCAGCGTCTGTAAGACAGACTACGTAGCGTCTAGTGAATATGGTTTAACGCCGCTGTTAGTATTTCCTGTTTATATTACGGGAATAGTGCTGATGGCGACGGAAAACAATATGAATTCATTGACCCATGTCCGTGGTATCAGTGTTAATATAATACCCCGTGGGCACTCCGGTTTAAGTTGACCACTAGAAACCTTTGTCATCAAGAGTGTGTGAGTATGGTTTTACGCCGCTTTTAGCAATATTCCAGCAATATCACGGCGGGGGGACACCAGAAATGGGCTTCACGAATTGTATCCATGTCGGGAATCGAACCGGGGCCGAACGCTTGAACCACTAGGCTACCCGACCGCCTCTTTTTCATCAAGAGCCCACTAAATGTATCGAATGGCGGAGCTCGGTTCGACGGCGTGGGATGTCAGTCACTGGATTGTCTGACTGCTGTCATAACTGGAATATTTCCCATTGTGGCGTTAAACACCAAACAGACAAATAAAACCTCTCTATTAATCCAAAAAACAGGAGGTCTTGACAATTCATTGTGGGCTTTGCTGCCACATTAATATATGGAAAACTGTTAAAAGCGTCGTTAAACTCAATCACCTTTTCACGCTCACTGTGTTAAGCTCTAACTTACACACTCGTTATATATATCAAATGTCCATAAGTGCTTGGAGGGGATGATGTAACGCCGCACTCAGCAATATTCCAGCTATATGACGGCGGTCTGTAAATAATCGAGTCTGGACCAGACAATCCACTGATTGATATCATGAGCATCGATCCACGCAATTGGGATCGATGACATGCATCAGCCTAGTCAGCGAGCCTGACCACCCGATCCCGTTACTCGCCTTTAACGACAAGCATAGTCACCTTTTACGGCAAGCATGGGTTGCTGAACACCTATTCTACCCCGGAATCTTCACGGGTCCATATGTACATGTAACTCTATAAAATAGTCAAGCACTGTTAACTTATATCAACAAACAACAGATGCAGATGGAATTAAACTCCCCATCACAAGATGCGCACGTGTTGTTTTTCATGGATATGCGTATCAGTGTCAAGCACTTCACACACTATGCGACAAACAAACCGGTCCTGGTATTAACAATACAACCTATTAAAACACCGCTGTGGTTTTATCGCTTCACACTATTGCAGCATCACGTCGCCAAGCCTATGTTCCACCTTCTAGGTCCAACCACCTGCTGGAATGTTTCAATTCTATTTTCTATACCAACGCCACCTGAATGAATACAACGCGGTATGCAGATACACGAAGCTGGCCCTCCCCAACCAGCTTCATCACATATAATGGCTAGTCTAGCATCTCGGTGACAAGCGTAGCGAAGGGGTCAGCATATTTGACGGTCATTGGACGACTGACCCCGCAAACCTGGCAATGAACGTGCCTGGATGAGCCAGGGCGACACTCTACGACCCTTTGTTTACATGACGTTGGGACATCACAGAACCAGGAAACTTAATTTGACCTTAACGTTACCTATTGTTTGTATAGTGTCTTCGAGAACATGGTGTGTACTTGTGGATGACATTCGACCATGAAATGTTAAACTAACGTTAACGTTATGTCATGAATACATAAGTGGACGTCATGAATACATAAGTGGACGTCATGAATACATAAGTGGACGTCATGAATACATAAGTGGACGTCATGCTCATGTCTTTTTTAATTACTGTTTTACTGTTTTGATGCTATACAGGACAATAGCTATTTCATCCGTTTATTAAAATATGTCGCAGCAACTGTCTTGGCCTTGGTCAATCATTATGACTAATTTAAAATTAATAGATGTAATCTTTCTCTCTGTGGAAGCGCTTAAATCATCATATAAATAGAATAGATTTTCATTTGAAAACAGACCCATGAAGATCCGGGGTAGAATAGGTCTTCAGCAACCCATGATTGCTGTTAAAGGTGACTATGCTTGTCGTAAGAGGCGAATAACGGGATTGGGTGGTCAGGCTCGCTGACTTGGTTGATGCATGTCAACGTATGCCAAGTGCGTGGATTGATGCTCATGATATTAATTACTAGATTGTCTGGTCCCGACTCGATTATTTACAGACCGCCGTCATATAGCTGGAATATTGCTGAGTGCGGCGCTAAACAAACAAATTTGAAAACAATATCAACATGTTAATATACTTGTATTAATATTGACGTATATGTAGAGGTAGGATGTCCGCTCATTTGTACATAGCATACTTGTGTGGATAACGGCAGA